GTGAATGAAGATAAAATAATTTTTATCTCAATATCTATATATTCAAGAATATTAATCGCCCATAGTCTGTAGACTTATTTTCTAACTGTTCATTTATTAATTATTTTTAGTCAAATGAAATATTTTGTTTAGATAATTCATTATTTTAGAATATTACTCCATAATGTATTTTCGGAAATTAATTATTCCTAATGCTCATTTTTTTCAAAACACTATCAACTATTAAACTATTAACAATAATAAATTTAATCTAAATTAATTCGTTATTTATATGACCTAAAATTATATTCTATCATTCTTATTATTGATTAAACCAATGTTGGATAAAATAGTAAAGAAGAATAATCCAGGAAATAACGAATTTGTAAGACGACGATGTAAGAATATATAAATGTATCACTGAAAGCAAAAGCACGTTCAGAAACCAATAAATTTTGGATATTTTTTGCGAAGTAACGGTGTTCGGTTGAATAAGATAAAAAAATAGGAAACATCTGTCAGTACTCGATGCCTATCGAACGGTTCAATTCTTCAACATGCATTTAAGCTTCTATTCCCTCTACTTTCTCCTTCTCTTACCTACTCTCACGCTTTTTTATTTTTCATCCCTACCATCTATAAAACCTTCAACGTCCCTTCTGTCTTCTGCCGCTTGCATAAAGTGCGTTCTCGCGAGAGTCGATCGAAAATCATCATGATCATAATAATAACCGAATCCCATCAAGCACGACGGGACAACATCAGCTGGATTGAAAAAAAAAAGTATTGGTACCTATCACCTTTAGAGACCTCTAATATCCGTAGGGATGATTATCATTTTTGAGAGTATCAAAATAATTAAAAAAGCTGATATATTGTGTGTATGCGCACACAAATATTCATAGGAAGTCATAAATAACATTTTTTTTTCTTTTCTGTAATCCAGTCATAAAACCTAATTTATTGTGTTCTCGAAAAATTCACACGGAAAAATACACTAATCCTGACTGTCAATGCTGAGCCATAAATACTTTTCTATCTGTATATATTAGTTTTTGTATTAGGAATAAGACTGCTTAGTAATTAATGACTCAATCTGTTTTTTAGTTGAAAGAAAATTTAACTAATGTCATAAATAATTTATTTATAAATTTGTAACTTTTTTTTTTAAGCAATAGATTGTTTAAATTTCAATAAAAGAAGATAAAAAGCAGTCGTAATCATTTTAATCATGATTATTTTTAATTTTTAAACTAAAAGGCATAAAGTTTATGTAGTTATTAATATTGATGAATTAATTAATTTTATTGATTAAATTTATTAACAATAAATGACAATGATTATTTTTAAAACAGTCTCATTGAGGGTATTTAACCCTTAAAAAAATACTTTTATCCCAAATCGATGGAAATGTATGCAGTTATCGGATTAGGAAGCTCTTCTTCTCTACATTCAAAGTCTCATTGTTTTCATTTTTTGTCGACATTTTTTGTGCCGGCCAATTTTCGGGTGTGCAAACACGGCTATTGTTAAACGCACGCGCCCTCACGCCGATTTCCGCACGGAGGGTGGCCTCTTCTCATGTACCTCGTATGCCTCTATATATCTTTTTCTTTGTTTCTTCCTCTTTTTACCTTTTTTTTCACTATATCCAAGCCGTCAACTTTAACCCCTTTTCTTCTCCAACCTCCTAGGATTTAAATATCCCCCTATCTCTCTCTCTCTCACTCTCTGTATGGTGACAACTTTTTGTCTCCGTTTTTTATTTGTTTTGTTTTTTTTTTTATAAATAGACAAACTTTTTACAGTAGAGATTTACCCCTTATTTGGACCGTCGCGCCCACATAATTACCCGGTGATGGTAAAATAACGGGTAAAAAACACACCACTAGTTTTTGCAGTCTATGGGGATGGTTTTGCGAAGAATCACTATATACAAAGTCCATAAGAAAAAAAATTTCAAAAGAAAGGGGAAAGCGCGAAGGAAAAAAACGTGATATCGCAATTAGACAGCCACGATCCTACAAATCGAGGGTTGTCAGATCTGTCGTCGTTGAGGGGTGAATCGAAAGGGTGACGAGATGGGCGTCTACCCCCTTTCTATAAATGCTACTGGAGGTTTCACTACCAAAAGACTACAGGGTTTCACATCCTGTTGAGTTGTTACAGATTTTTTTTTTTTTCACCACACTTTAATCAGCATGAAAATTTTAAGTACATATATTATTCATATAAAGGGCAAAATGAGACTAAAAAAAAAAAAAAATAGTGCGTAACACCACTATTGAAACTGGAGAATGGAGAGATATTTATCACGCCTAAACACCATTATCTGATTATTCAGCTGTGTGTCATCAATATCTCATTAATTAAAGAGCCTCCATGGAGTCTTTAAGAACTCATTATTTATTAAACAATAGTATTTTCAAAAAACATCCATCATTTCTAATTGTTTTTTAAAATATATAAAATTAAATAATAATATAAAATAAGTTAAAATATTAGTTTGCCTCACAATGTTTAAATAATTATTATACCTATTTGTTTATTAATTTCTTTAAATAAAGCTAACGTATGGAAGGAAATTCATTTGAAAAAGTAATTGTGTAAATTAATTAAAAACTACTGAATAAATAATAAGTATCTTAAGAAAGTAGTATACATTAACCCACCACCCACTCTTAAATCACTTGTTCAGCAAACTGAATAATTAAAAGTAAATTGTGGTATGAGAAAAACCTCAGGAGCAACGGATGAAATGAGAAGCAGCAGGAAAAAAAAAAGAAAAATGTGAGTTGGATATTGCAATTAAACGGCCGCGGCTTACAAATTGGGGGTTGAATTTTTTAGGTTGACTACGAGGGCTACAACGAGGGTCTGCTAGACGGTAAGCAGGACCTAGTTTGTGGGGTATGCTAAGCTAAGGGGTATCGCAAAAAAAATCTATAAGGGTCTCTCTCATGTAGCTGAGAAGAGGGGTTAGCTGTTGGGTATGGCAAAAAAGAAAAAGAGATGTGACTGATGTTGAAGAGGGGGTAGAAAACGTCAAAGAGGGTGGTTCTTACGCAACAAGGACAAAATGAAAATTATGCATGAATGTTTGACACATTCTAAGAAACAAAACTAGCCTAATCTTTCTTAGAATTTAAGAAGTTCCATATTTCTTAAGGAAATGGATCTAACAATCATCTGTACATTTTCGTTGAATATGCGAACTCATTAACATTTTATAATTTACAATATATTGTCTTCTTGATCAATTTTATTTCTATTTAATTATTAGCTAAAGATGATAAATGATCGCTAAATAGATAATTAACAGCATTATCATAAATTTCATTTAAATAAATAATAAGTAATGAAATTATTCATTCTAACAAATTATACAAAGATTGGTAGAGCAAATATATAGATTATTTACTCTTATATATATTTAAATTAAAATAAAAAAGTAGATATTCGAGGCTACAAGAATGAATAATTTCATTACTTTATTAATGTAGACTTAGCTTGAAAAAAATCTATGGAGCACCGACCCTGCCCATTATACATATATAATAAATGCTTTTACTCTTCTTGCTTATTAGCTTTACTCTCAGCTCAACCTTACTAAGAGAGTCTTCTTCATCTTTCAAATTCAACTTTTCATCGCGCTCCTTTCTTTTTATACTGTTAATTTAATCAATATTTCGAGAATTGTAATTTCATAATTTCTTTAGTATCATTGAATATATAAAGCTAAACTTGATTGAAGTTACTTGAAAGCTAATTATTTTTTGTACATTCAAAAATTATTGGAAAAATATTTATCTTTTAGTTGGTTTTCTTAACGCATGTATTATTACGTTTTTTGTTTCATTAATTAAGTATTCAGTTTGTTAGTAATTCAACAATCGTGCTTTAAAATAAAAGAATATTAATAAATATTTCGTTTCTTCAAAAGAATTAAAAGTTTGAAAGCAAAGTTCTGTAATATCTGATATGATAAGAAAGGATTCTATTTTTTTGGAAGCTGTGTTTTGGAGCAAAACAAATGGAGCATCAACCATAGGTAATATATCATAAAAAATCTGTTATATCTCCGACCAAGCTCTATCACAATACTCAAAAATGTATGCGACTTTTTGTATTGTAGTAATCATCAAAAGCTTACCTAGAAAAGAAAAAAACAATAATTAGTATACACTATTTTATTTCATGTTAGAAATATGAAATCAATGTTTACTTTGATTTGAAAGACAAATTTTATTTTTACCTTCTACGAAAAACAAGCACGCTCGATTTCCTGGAATTCAAAAGCGCTCCAAATACTTCTCTACATGGCACACACACAAAGAAAGTCACTTATTGATGTATATCACTTCACTCCACAAATATTACTTTTATTTTACACTTAACTTCACTTTATTATATCAAAAAAACTTATTTTTATCATTAAAATATGCACTAGATATATAATTTGTAATGTTAAACTAACTAAAGACACTTAACTACGCACTTGTTGCCGGTGCGAATGCCCTTCAAAACTCCGAAAACTAATTTTAATCAAAATAATAATTATTATTATATTATTTATATCACAATTAATTTATAAAAGTTTAATAAATGATTATAAACTATTTTTCGGCTCAATTAACGTGTATAATCACAATTTTTTTACTTAAAAGCCGGCACGATTATAAGAGCCCGCGCGAATTCCCCGACTTGCGGCCATTTTGTGACGTCACAATTGGAGAGGCCGCCCTACCCCACTTCGCAAATTTCTCCCATCACTATGCGGTAAAATTTAAATAAATTATTAAATGAAAAATACTCATTATCATTATAAACAACATTAAAAATAATTTTTTCTTATCCCAATCATTGTAAGAATTGAATTGAAAAAAAGAATTAATCACTAGTGTCTCCATTATCAGCGATCGATAGTATATCGTTTACCAACAATTCTGAGAATCGCGTCCTACATTATATATGATACAAAATATACACAACACACACGTAAACTATTTTTTTTTGTAATTTTCATTTCGTACTACGTATCTTATGCTTTGTGGCGGTGACGACCGTTAGTGTGACGTTAGCGCTGGAAAAAAGTATTGTTAATTAACGATAGGTTTTTAGTTAATTAATAAAATTACAGAAAATATATAAGAAATTATTTTCACCATCTGGATATTTAGTTTCTGCTAAATAGTTTCATTGAAAATACTATCTCTGCTGATTAGAAAGGTTAAGTACTTTGTCATGATTTTAATTTATTAATATCATTAATTATATTTATTAAATAGATGTTTCAAACAATGATGTTTCATTAGAAGCATTATAAAAATATATAAACTTATTTCAACTTATCCAAACTCTTAAACAATAATCTTATTTTATTGTATGTTTTATAGAGTCCATAATGGGTTTGACAGTCAGCAGTTTGCTTACACGTCTGTTTGGCAAAAAGCAGATGCGTATTTTGATGGTAGGTTTGGATGCTGCTGGAAAAACCACAATTTTGTATAAATTAAAACTGGGTGAAATCGTAACAACGATTCCAACAATAGGATTTAACGTTGAAACAGTAGAATATAAAAATATTTGTTTCACGGTTTGGGATGTTGGTGGACAAGATAAAATCCGACCACTTTGGAGGCATTATTTCCAAAATACACAGGGTTTAATCTACGTTGTTGATAGCAATGACAAAGAACGTATTTCCGAAGCAGAACGAGAACTTGCAAATATGTTAAAAGAAGATGAATTAAGAGATGCTGTCTTATTAGTGTTTGCCAATAAGCAAGATCTTCCAAATGCAATGTCGGCATCTGAATTAACTGATAAGTTAGGATTAAATTCAATACGTGGACGAAATTGGTATATCCAAAGCACCTGTGCTACTCAAGGGGAAGGATTATATGAAGGACTTGATTGGCTCAGCAATGAACTTGCTAAAAAGTGATAGAACTATAAGTCGCTCATAGCGACGCCTTCGACCATCAAAATTAATGATTTATATCTATTTCTTTGCTACACACTTAAAATAATGAAGAAAATAAGCGTCGCTAAATCCGAAAAAAAATTAAATATAAATGTATCATTTAGATTTTTAAGTATCATAATCACCATCATTCTTTATATTGTTAGAAAACGAGAGCCAGAAATAAAAGAAATGATAAATAATGGTGTAATACTGTATGATTCTTAAATAAACTGAATGAGAAACTTGTAACGAATGCTGATGATAAAAAATTGAATAAATAAAAAGAGCACTACCAAATTTAAAATATAGAGCATCCAAAAATATAAAGGGTGACATCAAAGTCTGGATCTCATCGACATAAAATATTCTTCAATAGAGGTGATTTTTGATATTGACAATACAGTTGTAGATTGGTTAAACATTGATTAATAATCAATTAATTAATGATAAAAGTGAAAAAAAGTATTAGGGCTAATATATATATACAAATATATTTACATATATCTTATCTATATGCGTCTTTCGTTAATGTTTCTATTCAATTGATGATTTTTAATTTTATCTTCATTGAAAAATAAATTTTTGAAATATTTAACAACTTTTTTATTCAATATAAAGACATGATATTTAAAAATTTTATGTTATTTTTTTCCAAGATAAAAGTATCAGTTATCTTTATATTTAAGGCCAATATTTTTTGTATAAATATCAAATACATTATTATTTGCACTTAATTTTATCAATGTTTGTGTTCAATAAAATAACAAAAATTTTTGGAAACAGTTAAAAACTATCTTTTGGGTACTTTTATCTTACCATTATTCAATAATGTAACTAATTCAGCATGATTAATGAAATAATATTATTTTCTTCAATTATATCTAGATTTAATTCACAGGTATTAAAATAAAAAGAATTTATTTTTTAAATTGAAAGTTGAGTCAAACAATATTTTATATTATCATCTATTCTTTTTATTCATTATTACTTATAATTAACACCATTATTTCATTATCGCAGTCATTATTTATGTGTTTAATATTCATTTTATCCATTAGTTTAATTTTTTATTCATGTTAACTTATTACTGTACAAAATGGTACAATGTAAATTGCATATATTTCATACAATTCATTTAATTAATCATTCATCATTTTTTAATTATAATAATAATATTAATTTAGCTATTTTCTACCAACATCTTGTTTTGTTATATTACCTTCATTTTTTGAAAGATAATAAACTTGCAAAGTGTTTTGATATTAAAATTATTAATACGTAATAAGTCTACTGAAAAAAAAAATATTCTTATTGTTCATATTATTTGAAATTATTGATACATTTTTTCGAGTTATATTTTGGCAGTTGCAATCGTTACGAGTTAATGGTACTCAATTTTTCATCTTAATAATATTGTTTTTTTTAAAGTAAAGTCTGCATCAGCTTATGATATTTTACAAGTTTAACATGATTATATATTTATTTTCCCACGTATTATTATATATATATATATTCATTTATATATTTCTAAACTATCCTTAATATATTTTTTATTTAAATAATTTTTTTTATAAAAAATTAAACATTTTTTAATTATTTAAATAGTTAAATAATAACTCATTGTATTAATTCTTGCAGACTTTACTGTATTTAAAACGAAATAAAAATAATAATGACGTAAGGATTTAATAATATTTATCATGTCCATTAAAATCATTGAGATAACTTTAAAAAAACATCATGTATTCTTTCGAACCCACGTGTGCAAATTCTGAGTACTAGTAGTCTGTCCACCAGCCAAAGCAGGGAAATGACTGTCCAAAGTATGACTGGTGTAATGAGCTTTAAGATCTTCGCCACTTTTTACAATTTGATTGCAAGTTGGACAAACTTTCAGTGTTGTATTATTAGGGAATTCTTTCTTGAACAGCTCATAAAGTTTTCGTTGCTTAGGTAAATCTGGCAAGAGTACTAACATTTCAGGGAAAATCTGGCCGAATGCACTAATACCCATCGAATCCCTGCAATGTTTATAATAATCTTCAGCACTGCAATCTCCTTGCTTAAATAATCCGCTAATACATCTAAAATCTCCAATCGATTCTTGTTCATCTAAAACTTGACTAATTTTTGTAACTAAATTTTTATTTCTTTTTTGAAAATCTGGTGGTGGAACATAACTAAATGATTTATCGGCCCATTCATCTGGCAAAATAGAATAACTTTCACCTAAACTATTAGTAAACGTCAATCCTCCATCATTTTGGCTATTTACATCAAGACTGTCAAGCTTTATGGCAAATCCTGGTGGTGGAGGTGCTGTAGTTCCAAACCCTGGTGGTGGATTCGTTGGATTTGAATTAGACGACTGTTTTCGTGTTACAGAGTCTTGTGAATTATGTCTTAAATGATCAGAGAGTTTATGTAAATTGTCAATTTTCAATTCAGACCTCTTTCTTGGTAACTCATTGGCCTTTTCTTGAAATTTTTTGGCAGTATTTGCCGTCTCTGAAGTATTAGTTGTATTTGTTGTATCTGTGTTTTCACTATTTTGTTTAGATCTCGTGCTTTCTTTATTAAAATTGAACGTTTCTGATTTTTTTACGTCACTATTAACACAACTATTATGATTATTATTATTACTATTATTAGTATTGTTATTGTTATTTATTATTGCACTTTTATTGGTTTTATTTTTGTTATTAGAATCAAGTTTTGATACAACTCGGGACGGTTGATTGTCATTTTGTACTTTTGATCCATTAGCGTGCGATTTAGAATTAGTGGATTTACTGTCATCACTCTCATGACTTTGATCTTTAACTTTCTTCTTTTTTTTCTTCTTATTGCTTTTCCCAGCATCACTAGAGGCAGTATTCTGATCAGCAGAATCGTCATCTACAGTTTGATGTCGATTAGACTGACTTGATGTGCTTTGAAATGTTGATGATACTGATGATGTCTTTTTTGAGCGGCTTGATGGATTAGGGAGACTTGGAAACGCATCTCCACTTGATATGGCTGGTGGGGTTGCCGAAGAAAGTGAAGGAATTGAGTTTACTGAAGCAGGACGAGATGTTACCTTCTTTGTTGCAATGGTAGTCTGAGGTTTCGAACAAGTTACTTTCGTCCACTGTCCAATTTTTACTGTATTGGTATTTGAAGATTTTGAAGAAGAACTTAATGCAGGAAAATCAGAATAATTCATCTTTAATTGACTTGGTTTAATTCTAATATTAGGTCCAGATACTTTGGTCGTAATGGTACCATCAGATATTTTATGATTTACATGAATAGAAACGTTTGGGGCACCTGACCCTGAACACTGAGCACTTTGAGACCCACTTGGACCAGATTTACTGGTATTATATATGCTAAAATTGACAGTTTTTGATATTTCATTACTAGAATTCGATGCATCTGATCCTGAAAGAGCTGGAAAATTTTCATCAGTCACTGCGAGCGCTGGCGATTTCAATGACCCACGTATTGTAATATTTCCTTGGCCCTGAGATCGTTTTATTTGATTAAAATGTGGAATTGATGTTGATGTATTGCCTAAAGTTGGAAATTCTTCCGTACTTCCAACATCAATTCGACGTGGAGTGGAAGAATTAAATAAAAGTGTATTTTGATCTCGTGGATTAAAATCTCTCGAGGTCGATCCGGAATCATCATTTGTATTCTCTACATTCTTTCTTGCAGAGTTGTATTGTCCAGGTCGTTTTGATGCATTTCTATGACCATCACCACCAACACCACTACGTGGTGCTAAAGTAAATTCTAACTCTAAAGTTCTTGCTTGTTTTGCCGCAGCTTTTCCAAGATGTTTATTATGAATATTTGCCCGATGGGCTTTCAAATCGATATCTGTTCTGAAAACACAAGTAAACTTTTCTTCAGCACAAGATCCTTCCTCACATAAATAATGTTTCGAGCGAAAGTGATCTCGAAGACAGTCGTAAGAGTTGTAATATTGATGAAGACCATCAGCATCACAAAAGTGACAATATAAATGATCTCGACGGAGATGACGGAAAAGTTGATCATTGTCCATGTAACGACGCTCACAAAATTCACAAAGAGGATGACCTTTATGACTTTTATCATCTTTATCACCTTTTCTTCTATGCATAGCTAAATCTGCCCTCGAATAGCATCGACGTTCTCTTGAAAATATCTAAAAAAAAAATCAATTTTATTCTCTTACTGTTCTTATTAACAGTCAGTTATTTAATGTTATTTAATTACCTTCAAATTTTCTACACATAAATCACAATACTGAAGCTCGTGCTTCTTTCTCATATGATCCTTCAAAGCAATAAAAGTACTAAACAGCTGTTTATCTTTACACACAGGACATACATGCGCTAATAATTGAGTGAACTTTTCTTGAATCTCCAAGTCATCAAAATAGATGTTGTATCTACTGTCGAATAGCTCTCCCTTATTTAAATGTCGATATGGTTTAATATTTTTCGTGAATACAACATTAGGTAAATCTTGTCGACATATTGGACACTCGTTTTGTTGACAAAGTACTCGCATCCGAGTGCTACATTCATAACAAACAGGATGCTCACACATCCCAATACTATACGTATCGACATTCTTATAGCAAACAATACAAGTTCCTTGATTATTGCTGTTATTAGAATTGTAAGCTGCTAAATCTTTTTCTTCTTGAGACATTTTGTTATGAGTAAATTTATATCCTTTTTCCTTTTAGTAATAAAAGCTAACTTATTCAGAAGCAAACAGCTTTGTAAAATTTAATCCTAAAACATAAAAAAATTAAATGAAGGCGATGTAAATGCAAAAAGTAGATAAAATTGGACACACATATATGAAACTTAAACTTTAATTATTATGTTCAGAAATATAAAGAATTAACGATAAAAAAAATCTTACGGTTTCCAAGAATAACAATCTAGAGTAATCGTAGTGATAGTATCCAATAATTAGAGCACTGGCAGAGCATATGTCTATATATGTATATATCACGAAAAATATCAAGATTATGATGAAAACTTAAATATGCACTATTAAAAAATAGATATGATGTAAAATGATATAAAACGACAATAGATGTATCACGAAGACAAACAGATGTTGTATGTGCCAGAAATCTTTCAAGGTTATGAGTGACTTAGACCGAACAAAATTTTTCTATCCAACAGTATCTGTTCCAATAATTACGGCTGGTAAAGTAGAAAATATTTTTGCCAACATTATGAGTCAATTGAACATTTAATCGTCAAACATAATAATAAAAAACATTTTTATAAAATAAAGCCGCATTAACAAATAAATAAATATTTTATCTATTTTTTTGAATATTCAAGCAAAAAATATCTTTTTGGAGTGAGATTACAGTGATTAGTATATGAGTGTAGAAACGTGTCTGATATCCAATAAATAAAATTACAATTACCTAATATGGCTAGTGATAAAAAAATTGAAAAATCATTACCGAAAGGTACAAAATCTAACGAAGAAATATTTGCTGGATTTCAAGCACTCCGAAATGATCAGAGATTAATGGCTACTAAATTATCAGAAATGGAAATGGAATTAAATGAGCACAAGTAAGGACTGACATAAACAACTAACCTCAAATTTTATCAAAACACTGTAGAGATCACATGAGAAACAACATAATTATTTCAAATCGTCTTTAATTAATTGAATAGTAATTATTTTATTCAATTTTAATACACAAGCAAATTTACCTGCAATATAAATATAATTGTACTTACGATGAAGCTTTTTAATATCAGAAAGCTATAAAGTACTTCTTCGATGAGTTTTAAAAATTGAATTATTAATTGAATGCATTATTTACCTTTTAGAATCGTCATCGACACATTGAAGACCGTTGATCCTAAACGAAAATGCTATAGAATGATTGGTGGAGTTCTTTGTGAACAAACAGTAGAAGAAGTTTTCCCAGGACTTGTAACAAATAAAGATAGAGTATGTTATATCAATTTATTACTATGATTTGATAAGATATAATATAGATTTACAAAATAACTCACTACATTTTTAATTATTACTACCTAACAATAATTATGCATTATGATTTCTAGTTAATTAAAGTCATTGAAACTTTAAATGATCAGATAGAGAAAAAAGGCAAGGAAATTAACGAATACAAAGAAAAACACAATATTACAATACGAGGACTTGATGAAGCACAGCAGGCGGAGGAAGAGTCGAAAGAGCCTAAAAGAAATGCACTTGTAGTGAATCCTATTGAAGTATAATTGCATATTGATACTTAAAACATTTTTTGTTCTATAACGCAATGATTATATATATTAAATATGTATAAATTTTTGCTATTCTTTTGTCATCTGTTCAACCATAAATTTGTTCATTTTTTCAGTTCATCTAATTTTATTTACACTTTAATTATTCTTACAAAATGAGATAAATTAATTTATAGATAATAAATCACAAAAATAAAAATGGTTTCTAATATTAAATTCATTTTTTTTTTATTTTAGAATTAGTTATAAATATTTATTTTATTTCAGATTGTTTAATAATTGTACTGTAACCGGTTAAATGTCCCAGTTGAGAAAATCAGAGTTTTTTAGATTTTGCGCTGGGAGAAGACTCTAACAACGCCTCCAAGCAAGTTTCACTCGAATTAAAATTTAAATTTCCTCGGTACGAAACACCCTCTCCTCTGTTATTAAATGCGCAGTTAGCAACGGTTTTTGGATGACAATAAACTCTGACACATGCCTCAGACGTGATCTAACGTGCACAAAGTTGTATTGGCGGTATTCGTAGAAACAAAGTTCTGGCGGGAACAGAAGATAATCTTTACGATACTGAAATATATTTCGTTATTCAATGTTTATACTGAATTTTCATCAGTTACATAGTTTTATTAGTGATTGTGTTAACATGAACATTTAAAAGTGTGCACAAATTCACGCAATTATTGTATAATGTTTCGTTTAAACCTTTAGTATTAACTAACCTCTGAATTTTTGTTTCATTTGTAACAATAACGTCGTGTTTTGTTTTTTAATATTCATTTTAATTAATCGACATCATGACCAGTCCAAAGAAATCGTCTAAAAGACGCAGAAATTTGGATATTGAAGGATCCCCTGAAGCTAAAAAAGCCAAAGATTCTTCCAGTGAGGATAACTCATCATCAACAAATGAAGTTGTGGTATGAGTTTATGTTATTGTATTTTCTATCTTATCATTTTTTACAAAATAGCTAATGATTATAGTTGGAAATTTATATCATATACACACATATTCTTTTGGATTTACAAAAAAAATTAAATATAAAATACAGTACAGGAAATTTTCATTAACTTTGAAAATGTATACTGCAAAACTTATGTTCAATCTAACGAACATTTGATTTTAGTAAAAAATTCTATTTATTGGAGATTATAAAATTATATAAACTAATAAATCTTATCTGCAGTATATTTCAATAACACAAAAAATTAAATAAAAATTAAGATGTAGATAAGATTATTCTTTTTTTAGTTTTTAACAAATATATCATTTATCTTTTGATTCTTAGAAATTGTATCTAATCTTGAAATTAGCGATTTATTTTCAATACGTTTTTTCGAAATTTATGAAATTTAAATTGCAAACCATTCAATGATTTAAATTTCAAACTAAATCATTCATTTATAAATTTATTCATCTTTAAAGTTCTTCTTTATTTGATAAGTTGGATTTTCATTATTTATGTATAATTTCTAACATTCTTATTTCAGCCTACTGCTGGACGTGTAAAGAGACTTGTACTTCGAAACATAATGTGCCATGACACAATGCAAATAGATTTCAACCCAAATGTCAATTTTATTATAGGACAAAACGGAAGTGGTAAGAGTTCTGTATTAAATGCGCTGACCGTTGGGCTCGGTGGAAAAGCAAAAGCAACTGATCGTGCTAATAATGTGGGAGGTAACTTGGAAAAAAAATTTTTAAAACTAATTTCCATATTTATTTTTACAAAGAGTTATATTGTTCTGTAGTCATAAAGAATTTACTGCTGGTGAAACCCCATATGATAAATGAATTTCCCACCACTCACTGATCTTTTACCATTGAAACTCATAAAATTTATGATTTATTACAAGCAGTAAAACTCCATATAGCTGAGGTTTTGTTATGAACTGACGTTTTTTTGTAAAAAAAAAATTATAAATATTTTTTCATTATCAACTTCATCGTTGCAACTCAGCAAAAATGTATGTGCGCATTGAGTCTACTTGCTACCACATTTCTTTAATATTTTTGTTTTCATTACTCTACGTGTACTTTTTTTAATCTACTCCCCTATAATTTTTTCAAGAACGTGCATTACTTGAAAATAACGAATTGTACGTCTTACTCATGTAAGAATTCTTCAGTTAAGTCAATGTTAAATTATATTCTTTGCATTATATTTTGTGCTATTTTACTACCATTTATTTTATTAAGTAAAATAAATATATATTTAGTTATTTCAATAGCTTTTTTATTCATCAAAATATTTTTTTTTAGATATTATGAAAAATGGATGTACAAAGTCAAGTATTGAAACCACGCTTACAAATGTTGGACCTATGGCCTATAAACCAGATCTTTATGGCGACGAAATAAAGATTACTCGTATAATGACTAAATCATCACAAGGAGATATGTCTTCAATATATAAACTATGTTCATCTTCAGGAAGACTTATTTCATCGAAAAAAAAAGAATTAACTCAAATTTTAACGTGTATGAATATACAACCAGAGAATCCGATTTCAATTATGAATCAATATGCTTCTCAAACATTCCTCAAAGGATCGTCGGATACTACTCGATATGACCTTTTCATGAAAGCTACTCAATTAGAAGTTACTGGTGCCAATTATAAGGAAGCTTTAATTAATAGTGAAGATACGCAAAAGCGCTTAAAAGAAACTGAACAACAGTTAAGTAAAGAAAAAAAAGAGATAGATGCTCTTCGAAGCAAAATTGACAAGTTAAAAAGTTTAGATCAGCTTAAAGCTGAGATAGAGAGCATGCAAGTAGAATTGAAATGGGCATCAGTAAGTGAGCAAGAAGCAGTGCTCAATAATGCTAAAGAAGAATTGCAGAAATACCAACAAATATTAGAAGAACGTGAATCTGCACAACAGCATGAAGATAAAAAAATTGAAGATATCGATACTAAATTAGAAAATTTAAAAGCTGAACTCAATAATATCGATGATGACTCTGAGTCATCACGTGATAAGTATAATGAAGTTAAAAGTCAATATCAAACTAAAAGAGGTGACTTGGAGACGAAAAAAAGAGATTTAAGAAATTGTCAAGTTCGTATGAGAAACAATGAAGAAAACATCAAAGCATTAATTGCAGAAGTAAAAAAAATTGAAAGCGGAAATAGCCAAGCAGAACAAGAACGAGCCCAACAAAAAGAAAACTTGATTAAATATAAACAAGAGTTGGAACAAGTTGAAGCTCTTTTAAAGACTAATCACAATACTTTGCAGCATTTAGAAGCCAGTAAACAACACATAGAGAAAGATGAACATTCTTTAAAGATGCAACTTGAGAAAAAATCTGCTGATTGTACAAAAACAATGAATCGATTAAATGGATTAAAACAGCAACCATCTATGGATACTTCTATTGCTATTTTTGGTCGTAATATGCCTCGGTTAATTAAAAGAATAGAAGAAGAATACGCTAAACGAAATTTCATTAAAAAACCAGTTGGTCCAATAGGTTCTTTTATTAAGGTAAAAGATTGTTCTTGGATTCCTGCAATAGAATCAGTATTAGGCGATGGATTTTTACGTGGATTTTGTGTTGATAATGGACGAGATTCAAAAGTTCTTAACACTATTATGAGAGAAATATTTCATGATGAGCCCCTTCCACCAACATTTTGTAGCAAATTTCATGATAAAGTTCATGACGTTAGGAATTCTTGTACTGGAACCGATCGTCATCCAAATTTGTTCCATTCAATGGAAATATCCAATCCTGTTGTTGCCAATTGTATCATTGATAACAAGGAAGCTGAATTTATCCTTCTTATTCCTACTAGTGCTGAAGCTGCAGAAATAATGAAAACTGCTGCTAATGTTCCACGTAATTGTCGACGTGCTATTACACAAAAAGGTGATACGTTCTTTCCAGACCCTAGATACAAAACTTATGGTGGGAAAGTTGGAAAACCGAAGCTACTTCAAGTATCTTCCAGAGACGTTATTCTAGCTTTACAAGATGAGTTCAGCACATTGGAGAGGGAAAAATTACAAGTGTACGATGCATACAAAGAAATTCGGCAGAAATTAGAGGAAAATATGCGAGAATATTTGAAAATAGAAAGAGATTTGCGAAAATTGGCTAGCCAACGAAATAAATTAAAACATGATATAGAACATTTAAGTGACAAGATATCTGATGAACACACTGATAATTGTGCAATACATAAAGATGAGATAACTACTTTAAAACAAAGAAATGAACACGAGAAAGTTGAAGAAATACGTTTAACTGAAGAAATAGTGAAATTGGAGGAGGAAGTCAAAATTTCAGGAGCTGAACTAGCGAAATATCGTGCAAAATTATCTAATCGGGACGAAAAAATTACTTTACTTAACCGAGAGATACAAAAATTAAAAAATGAGAGATCTGAAATTATAAATAATTCCAATCATTTGAAGAAAAAAGCTCAAAGAGCTCGTGATGAAATTCATACTGTTGTACAAACTGTCAGAAATCAAGAAGAAGTTGTTCATAAAGCTATTGAAGAAGCTGAAGCTGCAGGACCAAGAGTACGAACTAATCGAACGATTCCTCAGATAAGATCTGAGTGCCAAGCCCACTATCGTAAAATTCAATATACTGAACAACAATTTGGATCAAAAGAAGAACTAGAACAACAATTAGACGAAAAATTAGAGAAGAATAAAAGTGTGCTTGATTATTATGAAAAAATTCAAAGAGTCAATGAACAGCAGTTGGTAAGAGTTGAAGAGAGACGAAATGAGTTTAATGAACTAAAAAGGATTACTGGACAGCGGATTAAAAAAGAGTTTAGTGATATTTTAGCTCTTCGTCAATATGATGGCTCAATTACGATTGATCATGCTAGCAAAAAGCTGATACTTGAAGTAATTCCTAGAAGCTCACAGAGGAAAGAAGTGAACAATGTTCAAACATTATCAGGTGGAGAAAGGTCATTTTCAACTATCGCTTTCGTAATGGCTTTATGGGAATGCACAACTTTCCCTATTTATTTTGTAGATGAATTCGATGTTTGTATGGTAAGTATTATTTTTTCACAATGCTTTAGATTATAAATTAATTTCAATCAACAGAAATTATACATATATTTTTTTTAAATTTTAGGATAAAGTTAATCGCCGAATTGCTATTGATATTTTGTTAAATCTTACCAAAAGACATCCAGAAAAACAATTTGGGTTTCTTACTCCTTTGGATGCATCGTTAGTCAAGCCTTGTAGCACAATAACTGTTTTGCGGTAATTATTAATATCAATATTTTATTTCGAGAGTTACATTCCAACCATATTATTTTTCTAAAAAAAATTACTTCAAATTTTTAATAAAATAAGTGAATTGTAATATATTTAAAAACTAATTTTTATTTTGATTTTTAAATTATCATTCTACGGAAATTGTAATAAATCATATATTTTATTACTTTTCAGAATGTCTGCGCCGGAAAGAACAGGTGATCAACGAAGCCAAAGCAGCCAAAACTGATCATAACTCATACCATTTTTTTTCTGTTTTATTCATTCTAAAAATGTTTTTATGTTCGTCTATATTCGTTTAATTTTATTTTGTTTGTTTGAAAAAATTACTACTGTGATGTACTTGCGGGTCATCAAGCTTTAGAAGAATAACACTTAAGTGTATGTTAAAAGTAACAAAGAAAAATTATTTAATTTGATAAGTAACGAATAAGTAAAAAATAATTTATTAGTGATGGTTATAAATCAGAGAGTTTAATTATAATAAAAATGTTCGTATTTTTATACCTCGTATTAAATATATTAGGATTAAAAAGCAGTATAAAAATAATATTTATTTATTGATAATAAATATCTTTATAGAAAATCTATTATCAATAATAATTCGATAACATATATATGTATAAACGTGTATATGTATAAGAATTTATTTTTGTGAACTAAAAAAAAAATAAAATAGTTTATCAATTAATTATTTTACGCAGTTATATTTTATTCATGATCAGAAGTATGTAAAGCAAAATAATCGTTATGTAATGGTCTAATGAGACATGACATTCATTTTGGAAGATATGCACAAGTCGTTCAAGGTTCTTGTATTGGTGTGACCATAAGATTGGTTTAATAACAACACGCCCAGTATTACGAGTATTACGTACACTAAATAAAAGTGCATACGCCCAGGCGTGGTCATAATTAGGTAACCCGGTACGAGAAAGTGGTGCACGGTGCATCGAGGCCACAGATATTTTTTATGAGGAATTTTTCAGAAATAAATACAATAATTGAATGGTCTAAAAAATATATTCATAAAATTATGAAATACATATTTCATTTAACAGTTCTAAAGCTTAATGATGGAGGTAAGTGGTGTATGCAGCAGGTGCAGCATAGGTGAGGGGAGCAGCTACTTTGGCAACAGCGGGTGCAGCATAGGCTACATGAGCTGGAGCATAGGTGTAGTGAGCTGGTGCAGCATAGGTAGCGTGGGTGGCGTAGGTGAGGGGTGCAGCAACCTTGGCGACGGCGGGTGCGGCGTAGGTGTAGTGAGCTGGTGCAGCGTAGGCCACTGGTGCATGGACAAGTGGAGCTGCGAATTTGGCAACATGTACTGATGGTGCAGCGTATGCTACGGGAGCAGCAACTTTGGCAACTGCCACTGGTGCTACGGCTTTCACGGCAACTGTTGCTGGTTCTTTGCGCACTACAGCGTTGAATCCATTAATATCATCAGCAGTGTAGTCAACTGTACGGCGGGTACCATCGGGATCAACCAAAGAGTAGCTTCCTTGAACAACATCTCCATCACGGGTTTCATGTTGGTTCTTGAAGTCACCAGTCAATGAGTCTTGGACATCGTAGCTGAATGAGTATTGGGGATGAGGGTCGTGCTCAAGATCTACTGCCTTCGCCAACACTGCTGGTGCAGCTGCATATGCCACTGGACTCGCTGGGATGAATCCACCATTCGCCACCGCCACCAAAGCAAACAAAGCTACAAACTGAAACAATAGAAATAATTTTTTAGTTGAATAATTGTTCTAAATTAGAACGATAAATAAAATTATGATATTAGCTATTAACTTAAAGAAATGTTAAATAATTTTTTTATTAATCAAACACTTTAATAATCAAACACTGAGCTCTACCTTGAAAGCCATTGCTTAGTTGATTAGTTGATCTGAGAGTGTCAAGTGAGTGATGTCTGACGTTGGTCGAATTCTGTTTATATACAACTCCCGGATGAACGGCCAGGACACACACTGATGCAATCAACGAACAGTAGCTACTTGATTCATGGTGAACAGCGTATACGAGGCGAGAAATTGGGCAAGGAATTGGGACCACACCCATTTTGCGTTGGAAGATTGGCTTCTCTGGTGTAGTGGACCATCGTGTGGGACTGTGATCGAACTGGACCGCGGCCTTGTTTCAAGTTACCTAATTCTTTTTTTCTTTTTTAGTCGTATTTATATTTATATCAAGAACGCTGTAATCACGCATAACTTAAATTCGATCATTTTCACTGATCTAAATTACTCAACTATGTTTACGTGGATTTCGAGAAATGAAAGCTATCTTTTTATTTCAGATTGAATAATTCAAAAACTCCAAGCTGTCTGCATTATTAGTCAAACTTATGCTGATATCTAAATATTTATTTATTTATTACAGAAACATTACAATAATTTGTTTAATTGTCAATTTGTTGAAGTTGTAACTTAGCATGGAATTGCATACATAAGGACAGTTGAGAAATTTCACCAAAAATTGAATTACAATCAATCAACCATGATTTGGTCAACATTTAAACATTTCTCCTGATACATATTCAGTGACTCTGTATGTCACGATCAGAAAAAAATGCATTTCCGTAACTGTTTTACGAAAAACACGCCTCTAATTTATAAATAAATTCTCCTCCAAGTTTATTCGACTTTCATTAATGTATGTGAACCAGTTTTTGAATGTTGTAATTGATGATGTGACATTGATTTAATATGCTAATCATGATTGATTAATTGAAATAGTTTAGAATAATTTTTTGTCATATGACAAATTGACATTTTTTGTTTTTACAATGTTTTCAACAGATCATTTATTTTGTAACAATGATGAAATTTATTCGACTTTTAAATTAGTTTTTTTTTATTTTTAATTACAAAATTGCTCTATCAAAATATTAATATCAATACATTATAGTTCTTAAAAATCGAATAATTTTTGTTTCTGAATGTAATATTAATCAAATAATTTTATTTGCTGGATGAAATCTTCTCTAATGATTCCCTATGTTATCTCTAAACTACACCTTCAATGTAGAGTTTATTTTTATCTGTACCTTGTACTTTGGTGTATCTCGTCTTGTCAAAAAAAAAATTGTAATCCGTGTGTGAACAAGACCGACCGCATGAAGGGTATATGGATCCGGAATCTGAGGTCTGTGTACAGCTCCATGGCCATCAGGAATTGTTTGCGACAAGGTGGCCCTCACATTCTCTTTGCCCAGAAGATAATGGTAATTGGTCGATTGAAATGAAAAAATTTTGAATTAAAAAAAAATATAAAAGTAAACATCGAATCATTTCGATTAGCTAAATTGATTTTCTACGATTCCTATTGACTGAAGTAAAAAAAATATAAATAAACGAGCTATAGAGTTCATTCAATCGTAAACATAGGCGTAAAATACTTTATTTCATGGTCTAAGGATAACAATTACAGACATTATTGTCGGAAGATTAGCTTTTAATTTTTTTCTTATTACATCCATTGAATTTTAGGTCATTTAGAACAACTTATTCGATGAAAGAATGAGATAAGTGTTGTGTGGATGTAAGAAATGTCGGGGTTATTATCAAATTACTTCAGAAGAATGTAGTTGAATTGATAGAAGGGTGGTTAAATGTTCTTATTATAGGTTTTGAAATATTTTTAAATCATTATCGTTAGAACAAAGACGCACCATGGATTCATTGTTCTTATGTTGCAATAAATTTAGTTGAATGCAATGAGAGAAGAAAAATATGTCTCCAGAGTGTAAGCACAACATTCAGCCTTGGAAGCATAAATTTAACGAGAACGTGTAGGAGATTCTAGTCGGCATGTTGGAAATGTGGCAAAGGGAATGAAAGAACATCCGGCCAAGTTCAAGACCGAAGGTGTTGGTGTACATTGCGGGTTGTATGACGTTCTTCTAGGTAGGAAGGTCGTGGAGGGGGTTGCAAGACGGTTGGATATAAAACCAGACCGTGATCACCTAACAACATCACAGTACCAAGTTGGTCCTCTGAAACTACTTTACAATGGCTTTCAAGGTGTGTTCAACTTTTGGTTATACAAAATTGTTCATACTATTTTAAACCTGTAATAATAGTAAAATAGTAATTTTCAATTGTCAAAAATTGGTTAGTGTAAATTTGTTTCTATTGTTTCAGTTTGTAGCTTTGTTTGCTTTGGTGGCGGTGGCGAATGGTGGATTCATCCCAGCGAGTCCAGTGGCATACGCAGCTGCACCAGCAGTGTTGGCGAAGGCAGTAGATCTTGAGCACGACCCTCATCCCCAATACTCATTCAGCTACGATGTCCAAGACTCATTGACTGGTGACTTCAAGAACCAACATGAAACCCGTGATGGAGATGTTGTTCAAGGAAGCTACTCTTTGGTTGATCCCGATGGTACCCGCCGTACAGTTGACTACACTGCTGATGATATTAATGGATTCAACGCTGTAGTGCGCAAAGAACCAGCAACAGTTGCCGTGAAAGCCGTAGCACCAGTGGCAGTTGCCAAAGTTGCTGCTCCCGTAGCATACGCTGCACCATCAGTACATGTTGCCAAATTCGCAGCTCCACTTGTCCATGCACCAGTGGCCTACGCTGCACCAGCTCACTACACCTACGCTGCACCCGCCGTCGCCAAGGTTGCTGCACCCCTTACCTACGCCACCCATGCTACCTATGCTGCACCAGCTCACTACACCTATGCTCAAGCTCTATATCATTAAATAGTTCTTTAATTACAATTCATATTTATTCTATAAAATATTTCGATGGAATTGAACTAAACTTTTCTATTAACTTCAAATGTTGCCATAGATTCAGGATCTTTGACTGATATTAAATAATTTACTGAACTGACTAAGATATTCAATATATCACATTTACAGTACTTGAATAAAGAACTCATCAATATTATCAAAAAATTTCTCTTTTTATTTCTTACTTTTAAATTACTACCAAGTATACATTTTTAAGTTAATGTAAGCATTAAGAATATTTCGCGATGTATTATTTTATCTTGATGTGGGCAAAATGACGGTTTGCTCATTCCAACTATAATTTTCACCAATTATTTCCTCCAGTATTCACCAAAAGCTGGTTGTTATTATGATGTTTTATACCTGTACATTTCCATTTTTGGTTTTTTTTTACAATTATTTTGCCACACCCTAACAAACTTTGAAGTTTGTTATATTTTATTTTTGTACCCTTGAATCGCTGCTACTTACTGAAATATTGCAGATTCGTTGTACTTTTACAAGTGAATGTAACTGCAGCCAAATTTGCACTTGGAGAATATAAGTTTTCAGCACCAAACTGATGGCCACATAAATATCATGAAGCAATACTTCCTCTTTTCTTTAACAAACTTATGTTAGCCACCATTGTGTTCGATTCCTGCAAAAGCTCAGCCGAAAAATAATAAATTTCCAATCTGAATAATAAATAAGCGAAAGTAATTGTATTTAATCTGATAAAATTTTTGTTCAACGGATAAAGCAACAAATGTCGAATATACTGGTCTTTGTTGAATTGAATAATAAATTTTTGACTTTCAGCTCTAGATTCGTTATCGATAATCACTTTCATAAAATTAAAATAAAATAATTATGGTCACAAATGAATAAATTGAGTTTAATACCATAAAATACATTAAATTTATCTTCATTCTAATTATCCAAGACATTTCAAGGTTCAAGACTTTTTTTTCAAATAAATAATTGCTGGTAAAAAAAACATTGATCAAAGTATCAAGCAGGTTTTCATCAATTCTATAAAAAAGGTAAAAAATGATCACATAGTTGTAGAATGCCAAAATATAAAAATAAATTTATGGAATTACTGGTATTCAGAGCATCTGTTATATCATAAGAAGCACGCGTAAGTTGAATTAAAAATTTTATGTCATTCTTTGAATACTTGTTCAAGTATTTATTTTACTTTCTCGTGGAGCGATCAATGTGATAGCGTAATTGGATGCCAATTTAAACGACGAGTTTCGTGAGTGAGATAGGGTTGAATCACTTAATGACTTGGACAAGAAATGCGACCCACTTTCGCGACCCTTTTCAGTCTGCCCCTTGTCTGAGGAAACGAGACATGTTCTTACGTGATCGGCCCCTTCTCGACCATGACCAGACGACCTATAGTGTCGATCCTGAAATCAAAGGACATGAAAGGCGTGGTCATCAGGCTGCTTTTTCCATATCTACTTTGATAGAAAAAATCTGCATCTCATCCCTCATCTCATTTTCAATTATAGATTTCATATCAGCCTATTATTGGCAATGAAAAAATTCATTTCAATTGATAAATATAATTTCCTACAAAGATTTTGCGTAGGATTGATGATTGAATCTATAAAGTGATTGATGAGTAATTTTCTAGAAGAAATAGTGCATTTGAATCAACTTGCAATTGATCAATTTGTATAGGATTCACTCATTTCTTCACATACAGGGTACGTGGAAGTTGATCAGATCATCTATTGATACAACTCATCAGGCGTGAGTGACATGATAGAAAATAGGGGACATTTAGAACGTTTCTAAATCACACTATATGCATTATTCAAACTATTGAATACGTGAGGTCGATTTTACTGATTGAATTTTTTCATTATGTTTCATTATGTGGGTTTTAATGCTATAACATTCCTAACTTGAAAGATACCATCCAACTTTGGATTATTATTTGACTATGAAAAACTATAATTTATGACTATCTATCTTTTTTTTTTATTGAGTATAATTGCCTACTAATTAACTAACTGAATAAAGATAAGTCCAATTTATTCAAAAGACATCGAATATAAATTATAATTTATTTGATTATCAGATTATTTGTCTTATCGTTCAGTTTTCTCGGTGTAATTACCCATAAAAATTGATCATGATTGAGGAGCGAAAAAATTAGCTGAATAATAAATTGTGAGAAGAAAAAACGTATCTGAGGTCAAAGAGGTAATAAGTAATGAAGAAAAAAAAAGAGTAGATTGATCTTAAATAAAATTAATACAACCAAATGAAGCTGTCAACTAAAAAAATTGTCTTGGAGATTTTTTTTAAAAGGGTTAATATATAATATACGTAACAAATTGTAAATACTTGATCATTGTCATTTTACTCTTCTTTTTCTCATTAAAGATTCTTAAATTTAAAACACTTTTAATTATCCAATATTTTATGCTGACTAAAAAATTTACAGCTTCCTAATTGTAAAAGACTAATGTGGAATAATGTTTAATTTATTTGCTCCATAAATGTTTATAATTCAAGGTCCAATTTTGTGCTTTAATGTACAATGCATCAGAAGAATATAATGATGAAGATATTGGTAAAATCTTGTTCACGAAAGCCATCAAAATATCCATAACATGATCGTCAATTAAATATGCACACTCTCATGACATTGGGCGCGGTTTGTCCGGTATACGGACAGCCCTGGTTTTATTCAGTGAAAGTACATCTTGTTTCTTGTATCAGAATCGCCCTTTCGTCTGTCTTTTTTTATCCATATGTGTATGTATATCTTAACTCTTTTATCGTGGAATACTTTTTGAGCTTCATTGAGGTGGTAAAAATTTCTGACGTTTGGAGTGGTAGATTTTATGTTACGTCACGTTTCCTTACCACCACCAGTATTTTTGTATTGCAGTTCAATGGGTTATGGCTTCGGATCGTTCGTATAAATACTCGGAGACATCCTGACCAAAGCAGTATCAGACACATCGTCAGACACATTACAACTTACAAAATGGCATTCAAGGTGAGTCTAGTGTACTAGTGTAATTTACTATTTTTCTCTTGAACCAGAAGAACATCTTCTATATCTAAAAAAAAATTTGTGGTAGTAATTGGAAAAATTGTTAATTTTTCAGTTCATCACCCTTTTGGCTTTAGTATCAGCAGCCAACGCTGGTTTTATCGCAACAGAATATCACGCACCAATTGCACATGCACCTCTGGCCTATGCAGCTCCAGTTGCTAAAGTTGCTGCACCAGTGTTGGCAAAAGCAGAAAATCTTGAACACGATCCTCACCCTCAATACAGTTTTAACTATAATGTTGAAGACTCAATAACTGGAGACTCAAAAAGCCAACATGAAACTCGTGATGGAGATCTTGTTCAAGGAAGCTACTCTCTTCTTGAATCTGATGGAACTCGCCGTATCGTAGACTACACCGCTGACCCAGTCAACGGATTCAACGCCGTAGTCCACAAAGAACCTGCAACCAAAGTCGCTCTTGCTGCAGCTCCAGTTGCTAAAGTTGCTGCCCCAGCATACGCCCCAGCATACACTCTTCAAGCAGCTCCAGTTGCCAAATTAGCTACTCCAATCCATGCTACCTATGCTGCACCCATTGCCAAATACGCTGCTCCAATCGCCCACACTTATGCTGCTCCAGCATTGACTTATGGACCACCAGCTGTTGCTAAATTAGCTGCTCCAGCCTACGCTCTTCCAGCTGCTAAATTGGCCACTCCAGTTGCTGCTTATGCTGCACCTGCTGCTCCAGCTATTGCCAAGCTTGCCCCTCATCCTTACATCGCTCATGTTGCCTACTCGACACCTCTCTTCTCCTACTCTCACTAAACTCCAATTAGATCCTTCTTACTTAAATTCACCCCTCTGTCTTCAACTATTGTAGAATAATTTTTTGTTAATGTGTGTTTTGATACTGAAAATAAAATATTCTTAAGATTAAAACTTGTTTGTAGTTTTGAATTATTTTTTTTCTATCAATTTATTATGTATTCATCCATTAAAGTAATTACCATTGGTGAATATATTATGGAGTAAATCGGTCAGCGGAAACTCAAGGACGTTCAAGGTGAAATAACAAATAGTTGGTGAGTTAGTCGATTTTACTTTCTTTTAGTGGCTATTTGTAACACAACTCTGATGTGGATAGACAGTGTTACGAAGGTCGTAGATTTCGCTTTCATTCCAATGTCGTTGAACAAGTGATATCTAGGCCGTGGAATTAAGAATGTGTGCTACCTACTTAAATTGATAGCGATTACATTTCTGGATTATCTCACGGATGTTTCTCTATAAAAAAATTTTTTTCTTCATTTTAAAAAACTTGAGCTTTTTGTTAAAGGTTAATTTTTTAATTACAACCGAAATAGATAACTGTACAACTATTACTCAAGTTGAAATTTTTTTAATTAAAAAAAAGGTCTAGTTCTTTTAATTATGATAATAATAAATTTATAAAAAATATTGATAAAAAAAGTTCAATTAAAATTAAAATAATCCAATTTTTCAAGTACGAACAATTTTTATTAAAAATTTGTCAGGATAAAAAAAGAAAGTTACTAACCAGGACTTAGACATTTTTGATCTAGAATTTCGTAACAAAAGACTTGTCATTTACTTTCGTAAGATCCTTGTAAATTTTTTTCAGTTATTTTCCAGCTCATTAAGTAACCAATACACAATCATCAATCTTTACAATCTTCTCCAATTACCAGTGCTATAAATAATTGTTTTGTCTGCATTGTGTTATCCATTTAAAGACTTTTAAAAGCATTCAGAATCTCCATCTTTTTTTTTCGATTCTACTCAGTGACTTGTTCCTGCAATCAAAGACAACACTTTTTTATTGTCTACAAAAGGATGTCTCTTAGATAGTGTCTTTGAAGTAAAAAATAATATTTTATGCTTTAAGATTATAAAATGCAACTTCACGCTAATTTATTCTCTTGATTTAAGCGTTAATTGACCATTTTTATTCACATGGAGAATAAATCTAATTTTATCAACCAAGATTGCTTTGAAAATTACATTTAACAATGTTGACCATAGAAAAAATTGATTTGAAAATTAGAGAGCTACCAAACTGATTGATTGCATTTATAAAAATATAAAAATGTATTTAACTAAATCATATTTGCTAAATGTTATTTATCAAATAGAAATAATTTCTCTTATACTCCAAAATGTTGGGATAAATGAAATAATAAATCATGTATATCAAGTAGAGTTGATCAAATTTATTATCTTAAAACACAGGGTCTATATTACATAAGTGAATATTTATCAACAAAAAGATTAATGATGGTAAGTATAGGTTGGTGCAGCATGAACCAAATGAGCAGCATGGACGACTGGAGCGGCGTGGACTGCTTTGACGACAGTTTGAGAAGGTTCTTTGTGTACAACAGCATTGAATCCATTGACTGGATCAGCGGTGTATTCAACAGTTCTTTGTGTTCCATCAGATTCAAGAAGAGAGTAGCTTCCATGTACTACATCACCATCACGAGTTTCATGTTGGTTCTTGAAATCACCAGTACTGGCATCTTGGACTTCGTAGCTGAAAGAGTATTGTGGGTGAGGATCGTCTTCAGGTGCGATGGTTTTGTGGGCGACCAATTGAGCTGCTGGTGCATAAGCAACTGGAGCTGATGCATGGTAAGTAACTGCTGGAGCTGCTGCATGATAAGCAACTGCTGGGGCTGCTGCATGATAAGTTACTGCTGGAGCTGCTGCATGGTAAGCTACTGGTGCTGCTGCATGATATGCAACAGGTGCAGCTGGAAGGAATCCTGCACTGACTGCGGCTACCAAAGTGGCGAGAACAACAAACTGTAACGATGAAAATAATATTTCATATAATTATATGGATTAAATTATCATGTTTTGAAGGTGTAATTTAATATTTGGTGATTATTACTTTAAATTCAACAGATATTTACCTTGAATGCCATGGCTGTGCGTCTTGTAAATGACTGATGCTGGCTGGAGCTCTGGTTAGAGCTTATATACTCACCGAGAATGTTCCAAAGTCGCTCGTTATTTCGCAAGAATGAACCAACCGCGCCCGGACCGAACCGAAAACGAGGAATCGAGTTTTCGTCCTGGCTCGTGCCTTCCCCCTTACTGCTTTCTTTATGTCGACACAAGCCACTTGAAATCACGCGATGATTCTTGAACGCACGCACAACTTTACTCCAAATAGACAAAAGTAAAAAAAATGAGTTCAATATAAATGATAGACAAGCTTGATGTGGAGTAGAATGCGATTTTTTATCAGTTTAATCTTTTGCCGCAGGTCCAGTAGTCGTAGACAAGATTAAGTCAGACATATTTTATGTAATACCATTGTTTTCAATTCATTTCGAAAAAATAATTATAAAATATGTTAATATTAAATTACAATTTTGAAAAGTAGCAGAAAAAACATAATCCAACATTTTAATTATAAATTTCACGTTGCTTTCAATAAAATCGCGAGGTCAAGCTTTCTCGGACCTTCACAGAGTTTTCCATATGTATCAAGAATATTGATGCGTTTCGATGAATAAATTTATCATAGGAAAATAGAAAAGCAGTAACTAATTAAATAAAAAATAAGTTTCAAAGATATTTAACATTTATTAAAGATTTAAAGAAAAAATTTTTTTCGAAGTAAATGTAGAGTGTAATTTTTTTACTTGACTAAAATATATTAAACATTTGCAGTAAATGGATTAATATTCAGGAGCCGTATTTGAAGGTCGGATCGGTTACACGATAACCTGTTCATTGTTCTTTCGTAAACGTTTCAAGTAAATCTTAGTTGCATAATAAAAGAAATAAAATAATCATTGTAACTGTTTATTCATTTAATTATTCAGAGTATAATATTCGCAGTTCCAGTTATTGAGGTAGATTAATTACACTTGATAAATAGAGACAGTACTTACAAGAGTGAAATTAACATGTAGCTAATAATTATAATTATATAATTTGTAGCATAAACATTTTAATACTATCATTATCTCTCCTTATGACTAATTAACTTATTTAAATTGTTTTATTCAATAAAAATAACCAGCTGCTGATGAAGTTAACGGAGCAAATAATCCAGTAGGAGGTGATTGAGGTGAAGAAAGTCTAGCCGAATGTGGACGGCTTTTTGGAGCAGTTCTGATTCTTGATGTCACTGGAGAAGATGCAGGTTTTGCGTGTGGTATTCTTTTAAGTGGAGCAGATGAAGGTACAAAAGGTGTAAGAGGAATTGATTTAGTAATAGTTACAGCTGATGCTGGAGCTGCTGGATTCAACACTGGTGCTTCAACAGTTCTTCCTACAACTGGGACAGAAACTGCTGGAGCAACTGGAGTTAATATAAATGAAGCCACTGGTTTGTTAACAACTGGAGCCACTGCAGCTTTTGTAACAATTGGAGCAGGTGCTGCTGGGAAAACTGAAGCTGCAACTGCTGGTGCTACTGGAGCAACAACAATTGGAGCAGTTTTGGTAACAACTGGAGCAACAGCCACAGCTGGTTCACGACTTACAACTGCATTAAATCCATTGACTGGATCTGCAGTGTAATCAACAATTCTTCGAGTTCCATCAGCTTCAATGAGACTGTAGCTTCCTTGGACAACATCTCCATTTCTCGTTTCATATTGAGCCTTTGAGTCACCAGTTATGGCATCTTGAACATCATAGGCAAATGTATATTGAGGATGGGGATCATACTCTTCAATTTTAGCGAGAACTGGAGCTGCTGGAACTGCTGCTACTGGCGCTGCTCTGAGAACACCTCCATGAGAGACTGCTATGAGGCCAGCACAGATAAATAACTGGAAAAATTAATTTTATTTTTAATATTGGCTGTAAAAATATAAAATATAATTATTAATTTACCTCGAAGAAGAACATTTTGCTAACGTCAAGAAATGATGACCTGAACAGTGACACAAGTATTATATCAACTGATGTGTTATTATTGTTCAGCTTCCACCTTATATTGATGCCCCCACTGTTTGCAATTTTGTTGGGTTATTGCGTGTATCCTCACTTGCTTACTAGCAATGTAAAGCAATGCCATTAGTATTTCAAGTCGTGAAGAGACTAACAGAAACGCGATTGCATACCAATGCTCCGAAATTCGAATGAGAGCGATGTTTATAGAGGATAAAGTATCTTCTTTGGTTTGAAAGTTTTAACTCTGACAGAAATAAAATTTTTTCAATGATTTATCAACAATTATTTACACATTTTATATTAGATTATAATTTTTAAAATTATTATGATAAAAAAAAAATTAGAATTTTATTAGAATTGAATTAATTTAATAATTCAATTTTAAAGATTTTTTTTATTTATTATTGTTATATAATTCAGCACATTTGCTGTTGAATATAAATAATAGAAGAGTTTGAATCACCATAAACGTTGACGGATACTTTCAAATGGCTTATTCCAATGACTAGAAAAGTTTAAAGCAAAAAGTATTTAATCGAGGTCAACAAGTTTGACCTTCTCAATAGTTTTCGCATTTCATACATATCTTTAGACAACTACCCTTGCTATAAGAAATTACATTGGAGCTCGCGCAATTGCAATGTCCGGGTAATGAGGTGGGAGGTGACATAGCATTGTGACATCTTCAGGAATATAAGTCCACGCGAATCGAACAACAAACATCAGTGTCTTCTTCCAATCCTCAGCGATCGGTAGTAAAAAAAAATATATACAATGGCATACAAAGTGAGTACTTATAAATTTTACAGTAAAATTAATTAAAATGTCAATAAATATGATTCTTAGAAATAAAAAATTAATATTCTTACAACAAAAATTTTTTTAGGTTGTTCTTTCTATTGCTATTGCAACCATCTTCATCTCTGCTAAAGCTGCAGTAGTTCCGGTCGCACCAGCAGCTCAAGTTCTTGCCAAGATTGAAGATTTCGATGCTGTACCTCAATACAGTTATGCTTACGATGTCCAAGATGCCTTGACTGGTGACTCAAAGGCTCAATATGAAACAAGAAATGGAGATGTTGTCCAAGGAAGCTACAGTCTCATTGAAGCTGATGGAACTCGAAGAATTGTTGATTATACTGCTGATCCCGTCAATGGATTCAACGCAGTAGTGAACCGTGAACCAGCTGTAGCTGTTGCTCCAGTTGTTACCAAAACAGCTCCAGTCGTTGCTGCCCCAGTAGCACCAGCAGTTGCAGCTCCAGTTGCTGCACCATTATTTGCTAGATCTGTTGCTGCCCCAGTTGTGCCTGCTCCAGTTGCTCCCGCAGTAGCTGCACCAGTACTAGCTAGGTCTGTCGCAGCTCCAGTTGTTGCATCTCTGCCATATACCATTCCTAGAGCAGTTGCCACTAGATTGTCTGCGCCAGTCTATCCTGCTCCTTTGAATTATGCTGTTGCACCTACAAATGTTTTTGTTTAATTTTATATTTTTGCTATATAATAACTTGTTTGTTTACCGATGAAATTATTATTTGTATATATGATTGATTTTTTGTCCTAGAAATAGGGCTTTTGTTATAAATAAAATTTTATTGAAATTAATTTTTTTCTACTCGGTTTTACAATTGACTACCTTTCTTCAAACGTACTATAAAATTATTATTATTAGTGTTGAATAGTTGTTCTTCAGAATAGGTTTTAATTTTTAAGTCATTGTTCTCCATTTTTATTTTATTTTTTAAGTAAATCTTAAATTTTTTTTTAAAAAATAATACTATTTTTGTATTACTCAAGAAGTTATTTGTTTAATGCTACAATGTTTTTTTTTGAATTCTTAGTAAACATGCAGTAGATATGATTAGATACAAAAATAATATTTATAATTTAAATAAAAAGCTTTCAAAATGTTTTCGTATTAATCGAGTGAATTATTATTTGTCCTGTACCTCGCATTGCCCATTGCAATCTTTCGTGATACATACATTAAAGTGATGAAGCAAACGACATATGATAATAAGTTTCTGACAAAGACGTAAAGTTGTGCTATGTAGAAATCACCGAGTGGTCAATCGAAATTCAATCCATGAAACTGTCTTTGGTCTGCTATTTGGGTTGAGTGTTACGTGAACCACAGGTAGTTACACACATGACACTTTATATGATTATTAGGCTTCATAAATTGATCAAGTAGCTGTCAGAAAATATGTCTCTTTAATGGTGGCATTACAAGGTGTCATGAGAGTGCTTATTAAAATAAATTTGATGAGAAAATATCTCTTTCTTACTAAGTACTTCAATTATTGGTATTATTATTCATAAGTCATATCATCAGTCAATCAAATATCTTGAGTTAGAGTAGAATCAATTAGACTAAAACATATCCTTGTTTGTTCCAAGTAAATTAGCACCTTAATAAGTATGTCGACATTTTAAATCATGAATTCTATCAGCTTAACTATTAAAGAAGAAGATTAATGGTGGAGAGAAATTATTTTTACATAAAAGAATTTTGTTTTAATAATCCAATAATTTTATTAATATTTCAAGAGTATTAACATACCGGATTAGACAGTCCTATGAATGATTATTATTTAATACTATTATGGATGAAGTTTATAAAACTATAAAAAAATAAAGAATATAAAAGCTTATAATTAAAATGTTATAACAAAGATAATTATTCTTGTTTCGTTTAAATAGAAAGTAAAAAATTATTTAACACTTTTAAACATGTCGATTCCAATTAACATCAAGATTTTTATATAACTTTTTCATGACTCTGAAAATGTAGGTGACCAAAAAAAACCAATCGATTACATAAAATTTAAATTGACTTACAAATGATTTATTCATAATTTATTGGTACAACAAACGATTACGTAGATACCATATGTACAAAAAATATTCAAACTACTTCATGAATATTACAAGTTCAAAGCTGTGTAAGTAAGTCCTGCAACAGGAGCAGAGAAGGCCAGTGGCGAGGTGTAAGCGCCCGTGTAGGCGGTGTATGCAGGATAAGTCAGAGCTGCTGGACGTTGAACTAGTTGTTGGCGTTGTTCTGGAGCATTACGAGGCTCTGATGATGCTGATTTTTGTTCAGCGGAGGCGGGTTGAGAAGGAAGTCTACTGGCAAGAGCTCTCAAAGGTGCAGAATTTTGTCTTGACTCTGTTTGTTGTCTTGCTTCAAATTGTTGTCTTGACTCAAATTGTTGTCTTGATTCTGCTTGGGGTGTTGGTCTTCTGTTGATCCTTGCGAAAAGTTCACGTGGTTGAGAATTGTCTTCAGATGAAGGTCTTTGCCGAAGTGGTCCAGAACGTGCATCAATGACTTCAACATCCGAATCAGGTCCATCAGCAGGAATAGAAGGTGCTGGAGCTGGTGCTGGTATTTCTGCAGCTGCTGGGGCTACAGGTACTGCTGGTGCTATTCCTAAAGGAGCCACAGGAGCTACTGGAGCTACAGCAGCAACTGCTGGTTCACGGCTCACTACTGCATTGAATCCATTAACTGGATCTGCAGTATAATCAACAATTCTTCGAGTTCCATCAGCTTCAATAAAACTGTAGCTTCCCTGGACAATGTCTCCATTTCTCGTTTCGTATTGAGCCTTTGAGTCACCAGTTAAAGCATCCTGAACGTCGTAGGCAAAACTGTACTGAGGATTGGCATCAAATTCCTCAAGTTTAGCAAGAACTGGTGCTGCTGGAACTGCTGCAACTCGGGCTGCTGGAAACACAGCTGTTCCTGGAGCTACCGGCACGATGGCAGCTTGAGTTACAGAAGCGAGGAAGATGATAAACTGCAACATTACAAATGATGGTTAATATTTTGGGACAGGAGTTATTAGACTTAAACACAAAGGTGGAAATAAGTTTGTCTCACCTTGTAAGCCATGTTTTGTGAGCGAATTGATCACCAAAAGACTGATGGCTTAGGGTAAGATTCACCGTGCTTTTATACAACTGGATGTTACTAACACGATGGCAATGACCAACAAGGAGCTATTTCATGCACCAATAACACCCCCACCCAGTCAATATTGAACTAAGTGTGACCTCCTCATAACTATGCGCCGTTTACCAATGTGTTTATGTTTCTTCATATCAACTCGTCGCTAAGGCGCCTTCTTATACCATACGTATACGTTTTACGAGTTCGACAGCTGCCAATACGCGACTTGGGAACCAAGCGTTGCAATTTTGAGGATCAATTGATCCTTGTTAATTTTTTAATCATGTAAACCACTTTCTAATTTTTAAAAGCAGCTTACATCTGACTTATTAGAATAATATTTGATCATTTTTTAATTTAGCAATATAGAATTTCTCATTTAATTCTATGAACAGGGGCACGTTATCATTTATGTAATAGTTACACAAATCTAACAGTCTTGAAAAAAAATAAACAATTCGTTATTAATAAATAAACTTTGGTTATTTTTGTAGATTTTAAAGGATATTATTAATCTTCATTTACAGCAGAAAAAATTCTAGATTATTGCAAAAAATATCTCATGTATTTATTTGAATTACATTAATTTAATGTTTTATTCATTTGCAGCTAATGAACAATTTATAGATGAACCTGCTAATAGAACTATTTTAATTGATCCATATTATTGTGAGGAAACATTAGAGGGTCATTCGTCAAAAATAAATTGGTAATCACGTACTCTTAAAAATTGCGATCATCTAATATATTATATAATTCATTGAAAATGATGAAATAATCATGAATATAATGAATCGTCGCGACGCCTCCATTGTCACGTAAGTGTTAGCAACATGGAATGAAAGCGCTTTACCTCATCTTTATGAGCTTGACTATCACTCATAATTAATTTTTTGCGTATTCAGAATTGCTTATATGATATTTTGCATACAATTGAGTTGAGAGCATCCAACGTTTTATGAAATGAACATGGAATAGTTTGATTGGTTTTTTTAAAATAAATTTATGAACATTAAATCCTATGACCTTCTAGATCACCAAAAATAAAAGCAATTATTCAAAAATCAATGGAAACTTTTGATATAAAGGATATTAATAATTCTTTCATTCGTCTGTTGTTTTTAATCCTTTAATGAAGCTAATCAATTAAATTTCTAATGGATTATTTCAACATATCCACGTTAAAATGCATAAAATAATCTCACGAATTCAGGGAGAGAAAGTCGAATAAGTTTGTCAATTAGATATAGATGATTTAATGTCAATAGCCTATTTATTATTCTACTAGCAATTTAATCGTTTGTTACTTAAGTTTCTGAAAAGCCTGCGAAAATGCCCAGCACGTTGACTTGCTATGTGGTAAGACTTGGCAAATGCCCACTTTCGCGTACCTTGAAGAATTACTTTTTCAATAATCTTCGTTCATTATTCTTCCAAAAGAGTAATGAATTTTAAGTGTGATTTTTTTTGGCCTTGTTGGCTAAAAGCAATAATATTGCTATTAACGATCAAAAGCATCGTGTATACCAGGCTTAATTAAAATAAACTAAGATCTTTGATATGGAGGCGAAATGCCTGACCTTCTAGGATATTGACTTCTAAAAATTATTCACAATCAAAAGCAGAGAATATGGTTTTTGTATGACGGTTTTTGATTGAAGATTTCAAAACTTGATGGAATTTTAATCGTTTTTTTATTTTTATCTGTTATATAAATTAATCTTATTATAATATTTATAGATTGAAAATATTTAAACTAGTTGATTAAGTATGATAATAAAACTCATTTATTTATCAATAACATATCAAATATAATACAATAACAAAAGTCATTACAATAAAATTCATGATCCAGATTTGAGCATGCATATTTTTTTTACATAAAATTATGTTTTGTGTAAGTAATAATAAATATATTAAATTATTTATAATTAAATTTGCTAAATGATTCAAGAATTTATAAAGTATTACAATGTTTTCTGCATTTTTTCTTGAATTAAAAAAACTTCTAGATTATTTCTCAAGAAATGTAATTACTTGCTTGGATTCATATAATTATTCATTAATTATTTATTTACCATTTATTAAATATTTCTAAGTATTTAATAGAAAAGTGAAAAAATATCTTTAAGCCCTATTGAAGCCCTAGTTCAGCAATTCATATTAAATAAATATTACTACCAATAACCGTAACAATTTTTTATTTAATATGTACAAAATTATGACTAGGAGTAACCTTTAAACATTAACAATACATTATAGACAAGCAATAAGTTCTTCAAAAGTTGTAATGTGGATGTATAGGACTAGGACCGTAAGCAGGTGCAGCTCTGATTAAACCCGGGAATATACCAGTTGCACTTGGAAAAGGTGGTACAAATGGTGCTGGTGCTATTGGAGCAGGGAATGCCGAAAACGCTGATGCAGGAAATGTTGGAAAGGCTGGTGGAGGAATTGCTGGAAACACCGGTGCAGGAGCTGCTGGAAAAGCTGGCACGGGAACTGCTGGAAGAGCTGGTGCAGGTACTGCTGCTACTTTCTTAATAACAGCTGGAGCTACAGCAGGAGCCACTGCTGCTTTGACAACAGCAGGTTCTCTATGGACTACTGCGTTGAATCCATTGACGGGATCAGCAGTATATTCCACAACTCTCCGTGTTCCATCGGCTTCAATCAGACTGTAACTCCCACTAACAACGTCTCCATTTCTTGTTTCATGTTGGGATTTGGCATCACCAGTCAGACTGTCATGGACATCATAAGCGTAACTGTATTGAGGAAATGGATCATGGTCAGATACTGATTTGACTACTGGAACTGGTGCTGGTGGACCAACGATAACACTTCCAGTGGCTGCTGCTATGAATCCCAAAACTACGAAGAACTAAATAAAAATAAAAATGAGTCTTTAATTTATTTTTTACTAGATAGAAATTCTAAAAAAATTATTTTCCATTAAACAACATAATTATAATTTATAAAACTTTTTTTTAACTTGAATACTTAATTATTTTTCTGATGACATTAATAAATGAGAAAGAATTTATTTTCAACAAATTAATAAATTCATTTCATAGATGAATTATTGATCAATTGAATATTTTGAGTGAGTTAATAAATGTATTCCGAAATAAAAAAAAAATCACTGAATTTTGATTTTCAATTCCACAAACACTTGTTAAAAAATCACTCTAAAAGATATAAAATATTGAATAAACACTCGCGAAAGAACTCCTTGAATCATAGCTCACCTTAAAAGCCATGTTGGATAAGTCAAGTGAATCCGGAAGTGTTTAAACACGTTTGAAAGTAAGACTAATGTCCTGTTGATTGAGAGCAAAGGTTTTTATAGTAAGCTACGACGAATTCAAGGAGTGAGGATGAGACTCTGCACACTTTACGTGCATTGTAAACAGTTTGGACATGCGTACGTGATTTGTTCGCGATCATGTAGAAAAAGTTTCACTTGCTCCAATTTGTGAGCAACCAATACTTTCGCTTTTTATCTACATCTAATGGCTTCAAGATGGTAATGCTGATTATCATTATTTCTATCCTCAATTATTGCTAAATCTATTGATGACAATAAAAGTAATTGACAATAGCTTCAACAACAAGAGAATTTTAATAAGATTTACAGGAATAAAATTACCATGGCCATCAAGATGTACAGAAATAAATGAATTTATAATTAAAGATTTATTTCTCTGTCTACTTTAAATAATACGGTTTATAATTTTTTTTAAGCGTAAAATGCTTTCTCCGGTTGCATAAGCTGCTTTTGGTCATCCGTAAGTGTAACACTTCCGTCACGTCCTAAGCAGTTATCTGAATGCTAATCGTTGCACTATGTAGATGAACATTTTTTTTTACTTACGTAAAGTAGTTTGAACGTAGACCTTCATATACTAGAATGTAGAAATTATAATGATACCCTTCAGTCTTTTTTATTCTTCAGTTAGTTTATAATCATCTAGAGATACTGCATCAGTTGGACATTCAATAATTTTTTTTTTTTAAATTATCTCTTATCTTTCAGCTCCAACTCTTTACTTGAACATTCTTTATTTAATTCGTGATAAATTGATAAAGCTACATCATTCAAATTGAATGGTTCAGTCATAGCTACTTTTATTTATCTGAAAAAATACCAAAATATTTTTACATTAAAAAAATAACTGTAAATAATAAAAAAATAGTACATTCATATTTATCCCAATATTTACCTTTGTGTCAGGGTCTATCCTATCATTATCAAACATTATCACATTAGTAGAGTAAATTCCTTAATGCTTTTTTTTATTCGAGTTATTCAATAATTTATCCATTTATTCTTAAAATCGATAGCCACATTTAAATTTGAAATGTCTACATTACATTAAGGGAAAGAATAAGTAGACAATCGATATTCAAGGCGTTGACAGACTTTCACATCCTGGTTCACTAATTTTTGACAGGTGCTTTATATTATCCAAGCTTGGTGAAGTTTCATAATAATTTTTATATATTTAACATTCTGATACTAATGAGATTGTTTTAATCATTTCCTTCAAAATGTTTCAATATTTTTACTCAATTATCCAATTAAATTCCATGTAAGTAATAAAATTTTATTTCAAAAATATAACCTAACTTTTTTATTTTTATCCTTTAATTATCTTATTTATTCCAACATTCCGTACTTTTAGCTATAATTTATAAAAAAAAATTATAACTTTTAATAATAAATTTTTCTTTTAAAGAATCTAGAATCCTCAGTTTTGTTAATGAAGAACAAGTTTTATAAGAAGGAATAATTTATGCGAAGATGATTCACCCATATACGTAACCAAGAATGAAGATGAGTATAGTAACCTTGACCATGAGTATCACAAGTAGGTCGTCGAGCTCAAGAGTGAGAGATTCACGTCTGCATCTCGATCCACAATTCTAAAGAGTAAACGACTTACGTAACATTGCTGGAGTTCTGAGGTCAGCGACTCATCTTTAACTTTTTTTTACATCTTCCGGCTTAACTGAGTTTTAATGGAGTAATAAATCCAATATTTTTCTTATTTTAATACATTTATTTACTTTAATAATTAATATTAATAAATAATTTTTGATTTTTTTTCTAAATAATACACGTGTCTACAAACCAGGACATTTATTATTCACTATTGCTAAAGATTGTCCTGATTTTGTAATGGAATATCCTGTGCAATCTGAACTCATGTATGTATATAAAAGACTCTTTGTCACCATTACTTCTAGTACGGTTGATCATAACTTTGATTTTGTGTGTTTGTTAAATTAAATAAAAAAATAATATTCAATTTTATTATTTATTTTAGACCATGCATAATTGATATTTATCAAAGCAAATTGCAACATGGATTTCTTGTAGTCATCAGGCTGTCATGATAGTTCTTCAGACTAATGTTGAGGATTCTTTTGTCCCTTATATCGAGCGAAAGTGAAATTAAAAGTAAACTCTTCAGTATTCTAGTTCCTTGAATACTGTCTACCTACTTTTTGCTTGCGTTTAATTGCGTAACATGTGTCTACATCAAGTAAAACTAAATGTAACAGTTTGTCAAAAGCAATGTGGGAGACAAGATTCAATCGCTCTCTTTAAACCATGGCAATATAGATTTTATTAAAAGTTTTTTGTCCACACCAAATACTTTCTCTGCATAATTTAAAGATCTTTAATAAAGACCCCAACTGCATTTTGTGACTTAAATCTCATCTAAATATTGTGTAAGAATTTATTTTTTATATATATTACAATAAATACGCTTATGCGAATATAAATACTAATTTTCGAGTAAAAATAAACATGAGTAAAACTTTCAATTTTTTGATGGCATTTCTTCTTGAAATAATTTAATGTATATTTTGAAGGTAATGAAAGGTTCATGAACAGCAATGCATTTTTAATTATTCTAAAATTATTATTGAACAGTTAAATAAATCATGGCCTAGATTTTCAATAATACTAAAGTTTATTTAAAAAATTATTACTACAAAGTTTACTTACAAATAAAAACAGATTATTCTTATTCAATTGATTTTTTAGTAACAGTACATTCATGCATGAGCAGGGGTTGCAATTTTAGTTAGTGGAGAGCTATAAGTAATAGGAGCAGTATGGACTAATGGAGCAGCTTTGAGGACTGGAGCTGCAGCATAAGGCAGAGGAGCTTTGGAGATCAATGGAGCTGCGGCAATTTTAGAAACTGGAAGTGGAGCTTCTGCAGGAACTTTATGGATGACTACATCAAATCCATTCACAGGATCAGCAGTGTATTCAACGATCCTTCGGCTTCCATCAGCTTCGATGAAACTATAACTACCACGTACGTTGTCGCCATCCCTTGTTTCTAAATGCTGCTTATTGTCACCAGTGATAGAATCCTGGACATCATATGAGTATGTGTATTGAGGATGAGGGTCGTAGTCATCTTCAGCTGGTTTAGCGAGAACTGGAGTTGCAATTTTGGCGACTGTAGGTGCAGCAACAGGTGTAGCAATTTTTGCAACTGGAGCAGTATAAGCCACTGGAGCTGTGTAGTGGGTGGTGATGAGATTTCCGGCGTTGGCCAGTACAAAAAATGTTGAAAGAACAACGAACTATAAAAGAAGAATTTATTTAAAAATTCTAATTCAATTTTTATCATCACCTTGCTTGATAGTTGATAAATGCAAATAAATTTTTATTCAATGAAAGATTGAATAATAAATCATTGTTACATTCTTTATTTGTTATTAAAAATATATTTCAAAAGCTTAAATAATCTTATCAAAGATAATAATAAATAATATGCTTACTTTAAGGACCATGCTTCTTTGTTGTGACCTTCGTCTTGTGGTTAAGATGAAAAAGGTGTGCTAAACTGAATGCATTCTCAGTCATTCAACGTCCTATATATCCTGGCCACAACCCCACCCTGGATACCAAAGAGGTATCCTTCAAAGAGGTACCCAGTACATCCCGTCAAAAAATCTCCCATTTAGTCAAGCGTCTTCAGTATGTCACAAATTACGTAATATTTTATTATCTCGGCTTTATGTACAATATATAAAATACTTGACATTAAAAAGGATTGGAGCAACATTGAAAGTATTTTTTAATAGTTAATCATGGACCAATCTTTATTGGTTTTAATTTTTAATAAGTTTCCTGTTTATTTTATTTATTATTATTTTTTATTGTTTATTATTATGTTTGAAGTAAAATAACAAAAATTCGTGAAATTTCGTCAGTAAGATTTGTTTAATGTGCTTTCAAGCTATTTACAGCAGTATAAAGTTTCAAATTTCATTTCAAAAAAATATTTCTTTTATAAAAACAGAATTCTTAGTCTTAAAGGTGGTGGGTGTAGTGAGCAACTGGGGCAGCATAGGTGTGAGCAACGGTGGCAGCTTGGTATACTGGAGCAGCAACGGCAGCTTTGTATGCAACTGGGGTGGCAACAGTTTTGACGACGGCTGCTTGTTTTTCAACTACAGCGTTGAATCCATTGACGGGATCAGCAGTGTAGTGGACAACTCGTCGGGTACCATCAGATTCAACGAGACTGTAGCTACCTTTGACAACATCTCCATGACGGCTTTCTTCTTGGGTTTTGGAATCTCCAGTAAGAGAATCTTGCACGTTGTAAGAGAAGTTGTATTCTGGGTGTGGGTCGTATTCAGTATCTACAGCTTTAACCACTGGGTGTGCAATGGCAACTGGTGCAGCATGGGTGTATTGGAGATGAGCAACTGGAGCTGCTTGATAAGCTACTGGTAAAACTCCAGCATTGGCGATAGCCAAAAGGGCTGCGAAAGCGACGAACTGGAAGAAAAGCAGTATTGATTTAATAAAAATTATTGAATCGTAATTATTAACTGAGTAAATCATTTTAAAACTTTTCAATTACGAACATGAAGAATACAATACTCAGAAAATATTAAGAAATTTATAATAAATCTTTTTCATTGCTTTCATCAATGAAAATAAATTGTTTTTAATATATATATTAACATAGAAGAATTAATTAATCCTTAAAGAGTAATTAATTTTTTGGAATTATGAATTATAACTAAAAAAATAGTAAAAGCAATTGTGAGACTAATTGTTTACCAAATTAGATATAAAAACTGTTTTTTACTTCAAAAGTATTAAAATCAGTACCTTGAAAGCCATTTTAGTAGTTCTTAGATTGATCACAAGATCCAAACTGATGACTAGATTCGAATCTCAAGAGTTTATATATGATTGACCCTCTAGCCAAAGTTTGGACCTCTCACTGTGGTTTGAAACACTCCTAGTCTTGGGCAATAGGTAGATGATACAATATTATGCTTGGGAATGGCTGTATTTAACTCGGTAGATTCAACATTTAAATCATACGTAATATACAAGACATCCGTCAAAAATTTTCAATGTTTGATCTATCATTGCTGACAATGCATAAATGTATCTTTAGAATTTTTTTTATGAAATTACTGTTCTGCTGCAATACGTAATAAAAAATTATAAATATCTTAATGATTTTGGTTGCTGAACATTGGTATTACTGAAATTGAAGCGGCATTTTTTATCTTTTATTTCTTTTTTTCCTTTTATCTCTTTTCTTTTTTAATCCTTGAAATAAATTGAGGAATGTTATGTTTATTTCTTCAATTAAAATAATACTTTTCTTCATGATTGTGTCTAAAGTGTCCAAGTGCATTAATTGATGCAAAAAAAGCAAGAGGATAATAAGGAAATTATGGTGGGAAGGTAAATGGACAGTAGGTCGTTGGGTGAAAGTGACGTAAGATCAAAAGTTACCTGGTGCCTTGTTACATGTTTTGTAAAAGTGGATCAGGTGTCTGATCTGAAAGGGGCCCTGCCGAAAATTTAGGGCGTGGTGTCCAGACGCAAACCTACTCGTTGCAACATACATCTTTTTCAAAGCCCTCGGGATATCTTGCCTAAAAATTGTTTAACTATTATGTATTTGACTTTTAAACTATTCATCTTGACATCAACTGCATCTCCCCCTCCATCTATTATCAATAAGTATAAAAGCTCAGCTCAACTTTTTCTAAGCATCATTCGATCTTTCTAAGGTCTAATACAACACTACAATGGCATCCAAGGTATAAACACAAATCTAATATTATTTTATTATTTAAACATATTATTCATTTTCTAAAAAAACCTTAAACAATTATTTATCTAATTTGTTATTATAAAATTATTTATAATTAATCATTACCTCAATTATAATAAAGTAATTTCATTCTTCCAGTTCATCGCTTTCGCAGCTGTGTTGGCCGTCGCCAATGCTGGACTTCTTCACACACCCAGCTACATCTCTGGACACATTGTCCAAGAATCTCCATTGGTCTACACTCCAGTTGCTAAGACCATTGTGAAGACTGTTGATACTGAATTCGACCACAACCCCAACTACTCATTCTCCTACGGAGTACATGACTCCTTGACTGGTGATGCCAAATCCCAACATGAAACTAGAAATGGAGATGCTGTCAGTGGAAGCTACAGCGTTGTAGACTCTGATGGAACCAAGAGAACTGTTGACTACACTGCTGATGATGTTAATGGATTCAATGCAGTAGTCCGCAAAGAGCCAGCTAAAATCGTTGCTCCAGTAGTCAAAGCTCCAGTTGTTCTCTCTGCCCAACCAGCTCAAATTGTCTACAAATCAGCTGAACTCGCCTACCCCCAACCTGTTGCATACGCTAAAGTATGGTAATTTCATACTTTCTGTAGTTATAGCAACCTTTTTTTATTCTACCTCATTGTAATAATCAAAAGCAAATAGATTAATGTTTATCTCAGAAAAAAATGTAATGTTTGATTATGATACTATTCAATTTCAATAATATTTTTATATTTGTTTGATGTAAATGAAAAATTGATTGTCTGTGTAATAAATGATTCTTTGAAATTAAATTTATATTTCATCATTTATTTCTTTAAAAAAAAAATCATTTGTTGAAAAAAAATTAAATTTTCAGATAAGAAAGCCTTGAGAAGTCAAGCATTTTGAAGAAATCTATTTGTTGATGAATTAATGGTTGTAATTTAGAAGATTAGTTGCTAATAGTTGAAGAAGGGGGTGGAATTTGGGAGTTGTCGACTGTAATAAAGGAACAAAGGGAAATAAGGATTGTTTTTTCATAAGCATAGTGTTGCCTCGGCCCACTTTCTATATAGTTATTCATGAGAAGAGCCGGTGGGCAGGGCGACTGCTCATTGTCTGAGTAACCATCAAACTGACCAGTTGTCCTTGGTGCACAACAAGACCCTGTAATAATGATTACCGTCAGTATCTTAACAGAAATATGTTCATTACATGATATGTGCTACAATCTGTACTTAGCACCAAACATTCCGTTCATTTATTCCTACTGAAAAATCCAAAATATTAACAATTGCATTTAGATGGATAAGAATTGAGATAAAAAACACTCTGAGACATTGAAAATCCATTTCATCACGAAGCATTAATTTTTTATGTGAAAATTGTTTCATATGAAATGAATAAGGTTTTATTTTATTATAATCCGTGAATTTTATCTTTGCTGAAACGTGAATGTATTTTACCCAATAATGTTGAGATTGAAAATTCGAGATAAGACCAATTGCTTATATCCACGCCTCAAGCAATAGCGTTATTAATTGTTCTGACTTGCGTAATTATATTGAAGAAAGAAATAATTTAAAATAGAATGGAAGTAAGATTAAATTCCACTGTTGAATGTAATCATTACGAGAATTATTTGACATGTTCACGGTCACATAAAAAGCTTTAGTTTTTTTTGTGATTGAACTTTATAGGTATTTTGCTTACCTTTCTAGGTTATTGTTATCACTATCATACGTTTGTTTAACGTACATATAATTACAATCACTGGATATTTGAATTTCTTCTAGAAAAAAATGGAGAATTAAAAATAATTTAATAAATGAAATGATTTAGTTGTTGCAGTAAAGTAAATGGAAATAAAAATAAATCTCTTCTTCACACCAATAAAAATTATGAGTCTCAAGAAAATGCTTTTTTTATTTTATATTATGTTGGAATTTATCGTGGTTTATATTTCATCCGTTTAAATTAATTCCAAAGACCATTTCATAAATATAATTTGTGTTCAAACGAATTTATATGCCACCAAAAAAATTTCTTGAGGGCAGTTAAGCTGGAGTCTAGAAGGTTTTAGGTGTGATGAAGTAGAAAGAAATATTCATGAAGAGTTTAAATCATTTTAACTTTACAAATAATTGTTTGCATACTTACTCAAGAATAAAATCTTTAACAAATAATAGTGTCAACTGATACAGTTTTTTTTTGTAGTATTAACGAAATTGAATAATTCTTTCTATATAATCCCAGTAATCATCAATTTACAAATTATTATTGTTAATTAATATTAATAAAGACTATACACATAAAAATGAAAGGATTTTTCAAATTAATTTCATGCTATTATGTAATATTTTTCCATTTAAAAATTTTTGAATGATTAATTTTGACCGTTACTTGATGAAGAAAAGCAATATAGAAACCTTGATTACCGATTATTTATAAATGATCAAGAGTAATATTGTATCGACGGCTTGCCGATGATGGCGTTACCTCCTTACCGAGAAAAAGAACGCAAATGTCTGATCCGACACAGTCAGTATCTACAAACATCCTTGAATAAATCATAAATAAATATTTCTAACAAAAAAGAGTCTAAATTAATCATAAAAAGACAATTTTCATCACGCAATGTCTATTCATGGCCAATATTAACCAATTCCATCATAGAATTTCATACGAATTTTTCAATTAATCATTTTTAAAGCCTTTCTAAGCATTATAATAGAATAAAAAAAAATAAATAATAGACTAAGACCATTAGATCCGTTTCCTTTTAGATTGTATTGGGATTACATGGAATGATATGTCCTTGTATGTAGCTTGCTAGATACCAAGGTATCAAGAATAGGTACCAAGATACTTGCTAGATTAATAGAGAAATAATATTTAAAAAAATAAGTGTAAACAAGTTAAATGGATCTAGATAATGACTTTAGAATTTTTCAAATCTACAGGAATTCCACTTCCGGAAGACCATGACCGCTAGGTTCTCTCTCTGATCGTTCTCCTTGTGTTATTGACTCACGTTTACCTTTCTAGCCGCATTTTCGCTGTTACGCCTGATTAAACGACAAAAACGATCACCTGGCGAAAGTAATGATGGCTCTGTACATAAATTTATATCATACATAGCTATTAGTTCTCAAGCAATTAATAAATATCAACTATACCAATGAACTCTGATACTTCGACAGAGAGAAATAATTGATCATTTCTCACCAGGTTTGTAATCAACTAAAAATAGAAATAGAAAGATACAATATTTACAAAGTTAAATAAATAATTAACTAGTCCAACGCATTTTTAAAAAACGAAAGCAGAGCAGGAATTTTTGTTTTTAGAAAACAATTTCTAATTTTTCTTTTGTATCTATAACATTTTTTGAATTCCTCTTTCCAATCTGTATCTGGATTTATAAAAATAAATTCATCGTCGTTCTTAACTACTTGAATAAAATCTTAACCATTTAAATTAATTAAATGCAATTAATTCATGACCAAATATTCACCCTTGATAATAAAAATGCATTTCCCGATTTTCAGAGCTTCCTGTTTGTTAATTAACACTCAGCTGACGAAGTTGAATGAATCCGGTTTGCTCTTATTTGTTGTCAGTGAGTTACATGGATGGTTAATTAATCGATTAATTGCACTCAGTGAATCTTACTGGTTGGTTGAGTGACCGCAAATGACCTTGAAGATCCTTGAGAAGAATCCAACGAGATGTAACTGTGAAAAACGGATGTTTCTAATGATGAGATTAGATGAAGGATGACTTGATAAATATTTGAAGGTGTTTTGATCGATAAAATGGATTCATCAATTGAATACACGGACACGAAAAATGACAGGGGCGTAGCGATATCGGAGGGCTAGAGAGTCGAATGACTTTCACTAGCTCTCTTGAGTCTTTTTCTCTCTAGCTGTGGGTCCGTCAAGGTGAAAGTGTTTCCTACGCGTTCAGAGCACCCGAATGTTTTAGCTCTTTCATCGAGACCACTCCCTGTATTCTTGCCCTCTCAGATCATTGCATATCGACTTCCTTTTTCAAATAAGATTACATGAGAAATTGACTAAATTATAGTTAATATTGAAGATTTTATATAATATACAGATATGTATATTTTTCTTTTACTCATCGATTTGGTAAGAACATGACAAATTTATCAGAAATGTATTATTATTTCCTAATAGAGTTATCATTTGATCTTATTTCTTCACAAAAATCGGATTCCGGAAGTTGTTAGATAACCAACCAGACATTGGATTGGGATTAGAAACGCGTTATCTGAGCCATGGTTTAAGGTCGTACGTAAACTAAACACATGGATCGTTAATCCATACGCAACTGCATCTATCAAAATGAATATACACTTTCCCATTTAATCTTATGTGATTGTAAATTAAAAATACTCTCTTACTCATTACTTTTGAATTATTCGATGAATTATTTATATGAACTAGCAAAAGCCTTCTAGGTTTCTTGTCTTGTTTCATTTTATTATAATTATATTATTAATTTTTTTATTAGCTGCATTCAATCAAAATAAATCTTTTCCACTAAAATTAACAATAACATTCTTTTCTTCTTATCACGAAGATCATTTTCGCTTCTTGATATTCTATTTTTAATTATTATTTTTAAATATTTTAAAAGAATATTTGTTGAAGTAATTTTCATTTTTTTGGATAAGTAAATGAGTGTTAGAAATGGGAGTTCTGTGTTATGAAATATTCAATTGTCAATTAAAATATTTTTCCGTCGAAATCCATTATTCCTATCGTTATACAAAAATGTGATGAAATTATTTAAATTAGAGTATCAGACTTTTATATCAGTTTCAAATTCACTTGACAGAAACTTTCATTTTCTTTATTACTCAAAACTAATCCTTATCGACATACAATTATGGCTGTTATTAAAGACCAGTTATGGATAACAAAATTATAAAAAAGTTCATTATTTGGCTTTTATTTATTCATAGAAAGTCTTATTAAACTCAAATGCGAGTAAGAAAATGACTTCACATGATCTGTTATTAATTTATAAAAAAATGATTATTGCATGAATTTGCAAAAATACTTTATATACTGTAAATAAGATAGACAAACGAGTTTTTTGATTAAAGATGACTCGTTACCCTCTAATAACAACGATAGAAAAAGCGTCGACTGAGAGAGACTTTCGATCTTAAGCAGGTGAAGAGTGAAAATAGTTGAAATGTGCACGCACCAGCTTGCTCTCTTAAAGAAATTTCATTATTTATCACCAAATTTTATGCACTAAAAATCACTTAGTTATATTGAAATATATGAATTTAGATCATTACTTTCCTTTAAACGATTTGATTAACTGGGTTTCAAAATTTATCAACCTACTCATTCATTTTATTTTCACTCTGATTACCAGAATAATCACAACAATGATGCTCTAGATGCTGATCAGATAAATTTATTGAAGCATAAAAGTGTTCTGATGTAATTTATTGCAACATCACCTGCTGGAATAATTTGGAAAAGAGTTTATTTTCCAAAAAAAACGTCATTCAGCACCTGAAGAAAGTTGAGTATCATGATTTTGATTATCAACCAATTAGAACAGTCCAGCTTTGGTATGTGCATGGATAAAAAATTGGAAAACTGGAAATAATTGGAAATTCAAACTTTAAACAAATTGTCTATGGTCTACAGTCAAATATCAAATGTATTGGACCGAACCAACCGGTGACTTCCACCACCCTCCGAGAAAATAAATTTACATTGGTGGAGGAAACTTTCAGCATGCCGAGCTATATAAGCGAAAGCCTTGGCGCCGCCGCAGAATAAATCCCGTGCGTGTAACTTCAAACTTCTGTGTTCTTGGTGTTTTTCATTCCTCCAACTATTACGGATTGACAGGTATTTTTTTTTTTATTCACACTTGCAGTCATCCCATGCATAATATTTCATTCAATCACAATTTATTTTTTCTTAATTAATTTGAATAATTATTTAAATATAACTCTTTAATAATATTTTTTATTTTTCAAAATATTTGGAATAAACATTTTAAATGTATTAATTATTTTGTTTAAACGTTTTTATGGTGCATGTTTTTTTAAATGATTGGAAATTTCACAAAAAAGATTGTAATGTCATTAGAAAATGTGTTTCGCGATTTTTTTTTGTTTATGAAATAGGTTTATTATGCAAATAATCTAGTAAATATCATTTTAATATACATTTTATATATATTTTCTACTAATTTTCACTTTATTTCTGCCAATAAAATTACCAATGGTAACACGATAAATATAGTCATTCTGGAAGAAATTATTAGAAAAATAATAACTCATATAAAAAAGAAGTTTATTACAAGTTAATAAAATTTTTTAGAAATCTAATAGCAGAAAAACACTTCTTCAATTATGATTTTCACAGTACAAATGATTTTTCATTTTAAAACAAATTATTATAGTTAAATATAATTTTCTTTCATAAAATTATTGTTCTTTCATCAATAGCATAAGCAGATAAATTTTTTGTTCGAATTATTAGACAATTTTAATTGTTAAAAAATGGTATTAACATAACAATTTTGATGTAGGACGCAAAAATTTGCAAAATAGTCCAACCTGCAATCTCATGTTATTACGAGATCAGGTATTTTATCAGGAGACAAGGAAAAGAGCCGGAGGAATTGCTTGAAGTGGTTCATGAATCGTTTTTCTCTCTTGAATAAGCTTGAATAAGCTTGTGTAGCGTGACTTGCTCTCATTTTAGTTTCCGACCAACTGGACAACTATCTCTATACCCTTGTTACTCAATCGCTTTCTTTATGCCGAGAGAATTACAGGCGTGTGGCTAACATATAAGTGACGTAGGTCTTACTGTAGAAACTGGTCACATATTTTTCCAATCCATTCAGACAAATTAATTCAACATTCTTAACTCTGATTACATTTCTTTATGTTAATTAACCGAATTTTCATTACTTATGTCATAGATTAGCTAATAGAATATATTTAAATTAAAAGTTGTTTTTTAAAAACATACATTTATAATAATTAGAAACATTCTTCTGTCAAATTAAATAGCACAATTAAAAAAATTATGTCAAATAAAATTAAATAATGAACTTTCTTGATATTTATTTGTTGATCAAATAATTGGTGAAACATGCTAAATTACTCCATTTTTTAATTTACCGTAGATATATTAAAAAAAGAAACCTTTTCAATTTTTTGAAATGAAGTAGTGCTAGAAGAAATTGACCAAATAATCAATGACGAAAAAATCAAAAATTCTTATCAAATAATTGACGAAATAACCATAAAAGAAAGTATAATCGATGGGTTAACGACACAAGAAAGTAAATGATGTTTGGTGAACATAAAAGGTGTGTCAAATGAGTGTGCAATGCAATCTGACATAAATTCCATCGTTCAATAAGACAAGGGGCGTTCACGCATACCCACCCCAATGGAACGCGACTCTAGATACACTAGGTGATTTTATATCTAACCGCAAAGCAGTAGTTTGCGGTCTGATATAGATTTATTTTTTTTCTTAGCACACAAGACCTAGTCCAGCCCTCTCACTTTCACTTGATACCGACCAAACAGGATCAAGACTAGACAGCAGTCTTGATGACCAGAGTTAAATGCTCGGTCAATCTTTAAGTAAACTATAATTACACTTATGCGTATGAGCTCTTTTGGGAATTAAAAAACAAAATATTGGTTAAATTTCATTCACAATTATAATAGAGGGGTCAAATAGAGAGATTGAATTGAAATTTTTGTCTGTAATCAATATTTATATTGTGTAGATAAATGTTATGATGATGCAGAAGCTGATTCACCAGATCATTCACCTTCGCTTCTTCTATAAAGCTATTATTATATAAGTAAGAAATATTAACCATCAAACTTCAACTTTGACCTTTAGAATTGTTATGTAAAATTGATTTACCGGTACAGAGTCACGTGTTAGAAATTTATTTATTGATTAAATATAAAATATTTTACATTTTATGCAAATGACTTCATTAACATATCAACATTTGCATTAACTTCAGTATAATTAATTTTAATAATAAGTTACATTTCTTCAATTAATTATTCAATAGCAGGTTTCACACTTCCGTACAACACTCGTTAGATATAGAAAAATATTATTTTATTAGAATGCCTGAAAAATTTTACAATTATTTAGTAATATTATGCTGATGGATGAATTTTTGAATAAAGTCTTTTACTTGGAATAAAAAGCAACATCCTTGATATTTGCATGCTGATGATTGATCACTTTTATTGGTGAAATCCACCTGGGTCCAATGATTTACATCAAAAAAACAAGTGAAAATTAAATAAATGCATGACAAAGTCGTGTAAGGACTAGATTATTCTCCAAACTTTCCATTGAAAGAAATTTAGCTTTAACAACTGACCTCATTCTGGAAAGACGCTCTCAGTCATCAATATAAAGTTAAAGATTCTCATGTAACGACTGTCTCACGCGTTTTACGATCATTTAGAGAAAACCATCACGTTTGTCCTAGTGAACGACATGACCTAGTGAATGAGGAAGAGTAACTATACTTAAAGAGAGAACATTTCTTTCTGTTATTTATTACCTCACGCTACTTCACAGAAGTTGCCCATATCAGCATACTTTTTATTTATCAATACATCTATCTGATGATTTATCACTTTTTTTTCATTTAATTATTGTATGTTTGCTAAATGATCATCATTTGCATCTCAAGTGATAATGAAAAAAAAATATATGGAAATCTATTTTTGCTGTCTGATGAATCATCAGTTTGATTGAGATTAATTTTCACGATCGTGAAGAGCAAACTTAGCGAAAGTTGGTGTACTTTTCTAGTTATTATGAACATAGAGGAAAATAATTATTTATTTTTGTGAAAGCGCATCGAAAATTTGCACGAAGGAAATAAAATATATTGATTTACATTTTTGATTCCGTGTTACCTGAGACGTTGATTTTTTAATTATTACTTTCAAATAGAGTAAAATAAATGCATTTATTATTCATAACTACATCCAACTCATTAGTTATTTTTGATTATGTCTAGTAATCTTATTATATTTATCCTCATTCAAATAAATTATTCAGGAAGTTGAAAAAAAATTAATTTGTTTCATTTGAATTGTTATAGGAAAATGTATCGAGTGTGTCTTTTAATGTGGGTAGCCTCTACGGCAGCCCAGAATCCCTACTCCGTTGATACAAGATCAGTTTCTTTTCCTGGAAAACAAAATAACTATGGACCTCTTTATTCTGCTGGCCTTGGATCCACTGCTGGTTACAGAGATGATAGTTACGAAGAAAATGTTGTTACACCTACTCCAGCACCAACTCCTCTTTATAGACAAGCTCAACAACCGGTAAATTACTCAAGACAAATAATTACTCCGCTTACTTGCACAATTTAGACGAGATAATTGGAAATAAGTTGCAAGGCATAAAACTCCATGTCATAACTTTTTCTTTATTTAGATTTATCGTAAACCCGAAGGAGCAATAAGAGTAGTTTCCGGACCACGTGGTCCAGTTCGTGGCCCCAACGGCCCAGTTGAAGCAGAAGAACCTTTGGAAGAAGAAAAGGAAGAACCTGATCGTCTCAGCTTGCTTTTGCCTCAAAGCAAATTCGATTGCGTTGGAAAACCAACTGGTTATTATGCTGATGAGGATCTTAATTGTGAAGTCTTCCACTATTGTCAAGACAACGCAAAACATTCATGGATCTGCCCTGAAGGTTTTACTTTCCATCAGGTAAAAATTTTTTGATGATGTTGATCTGCAATAAATAACCTTTATATTAAGATAACAGTTATTATTCTAATTTTATATTTGTATTGTAGGTTCACTTGATCTGTATGCCACCAAGTGGAGATATTAGCTGCAAGAAGAGTTCTCAATACCATTTCGTCAATGAATACCTTTATAAACCATTGAACTTACAAGAAGCAGAAAGCAAACCTAATGTCACACTGAGATACAGTGAAAGATATTTCCCTGGTGAAATTTTCACTGATGAACGTGAAGAGCCAAGCAACCCAAGTCGACGATACAACAATCAACCGTCACCATACTTGAGCCAACAACAAACCACAATCAATAGTATTCCAGCAACTGCACGTCCTTCTGGTATTCCTCAATACCGTTTGCCAGTAAATCAAGTTTTTCGTAGTCCTGAAGAAGTAAATATTCCTCTTCAACAAAGAAGACCTCTTCCACAACCTGTCCTTAGAAGGTACCCCCAAGTTCAAGAAGAAGATTATGAATAGATATTCAAAGTAATTTGATTATCATATTGAAAGATGAAAATTGAAATTGATAATGAGAATGAAGGTAGATTTATTTGTTGTTTCTTTTACCGCCATTTTATACAACTATAAGAGTTGAAGAAAGTGGAAGAAAAAGATTAATAGATTGTAAATAATTATTCATTAGAAGTATTGAGTGATGATTTAAGTTTTGAAATAACAAAATATTTTGTTATTATTTTTTAATTCTTGAGAGTTTTGTTAACAAACTTTTTTGATTTTTTTTAATAAAATCCATGACCTAAGTATGATGTATTAAATACTAATTATATTTTTTTTATATTCGTTTTTCAAATTTATGTATGTTATTCGCCTATAGATTCCTTGTCAATATATTATTTATTGTCAGACATATATTTCTCTTTGTCGATTAATACATTTTTATGACATTATAAATATTTTTGTTGTTTATAAAAATTAAAAATCCTCTCTCCTTATACAATTATTCATTTTCAATGTCGATTACTTCTCGAAATCGATTTTGAATAAATGAAATATTTCGAAGTGTTCAATAGGAGATATTGAATAAAGCCAATTGGCTCCTAATCTATATTTACACATTTGATTTATGTATTATGGAATTTTAGAATTAGTTAAAATCGAATCAATATTAACAACAATATTGACGAGAATTGGATTTTAATTAAAATTTTATTTTAGAAAAAAATAATTATTAATGGTTCGCATCTAATGTAGTTCTTTGATAATAATGTGGTGCTAATTCTAATAACCACTCGAGTCTAATTACAGTCAATTCTCTCATATAAATCTTGTTTGTTTGTAAAATTTCATAAAATAATATCCATTGCGGTTGTTGAACTGTATATAAGCAACTATTCGGATGAATATACAAATCACGATCACCTCGAACTGTTTTATAAACTCCTGAATAATGCAAATAAGCTGCATTAGGAAATAATCCAGCAGTAATGCATTTTAGAATCGTTGTTACATTTCCTAAAATATAAATATGAAGAAAAATGAATTTTTTTTCAAGAATAGTATTTATTAATAAATAAAAATAACTCACCAGAACATGATATGATCGGAATCTTTAAATTTTGCATTAAATGTCGCATTTTTGTACGAATTTCTGTAGCTCTTTTAAGCGCTTTAACATTTAGGAAACACTTTTGACACCACTTAGGTGTTTTATTTTTTTCATATGCAGTATAAACATTCAACAAAGTGAGTAAATCACCCTCTTCAACTTCAAACTTTCTGTGTTCAATTCGAGCTTTGATTGATGCTTGACCTCCTGCAGGGGAAATGAATACATTTTGTACTTGAAGCATTGCAATTATTGTTGATATTTCATCTGAACAGCCCATTTCACCTACAATTAAAACATTCAATTAAATATTTAATCTTATAAATTGCATTAATCAATTATTCGATTATAAAAAATTCACCTGAAATAATTAAACATTTAGCCAACACCGGCTCTAAAGGTAGTTCAACCATCGTCATTCCTGTTGGAGATGTTAAGTCTCCATTTCTGTCAATAGCTCCCAGTGCAAATAACAACTCTAATCCAGCAACTAGATTTTTACTAGGAGGAGATGATGGAAAATTAAATCTCAAAATATTATCGATTCCTAAAGCTTTAAGTTGAAGAACTGCTGGAGCTAAATCTGATCGTTGCATTTGTGGTGGTATTGAATCAAATAAATTATTATATTCTTCTTCTGAATACAATCTGAAAATCAATAATATGTAAATAATAAATGTCTATCAGAGTGTGTACATAAACTGTTTATTCTTTAAAAATTATTACCGATAAGCTTTTCCCGATTGAGTACGGCCAGCTCGTCCTGCTCGTTGATCCGCGGAAGCTTTTGATACTGGAGCAACTACTAAGGTATTAGTTTGCGTTTCGACTTCGAACCATGGAATTTTGATAAAACCGCAATCAATCACTAGTTAAAATTTAAATAGTTAGTTTCAAAATATTTAAATAAATTTTTTTAAAACAGAGTAATCCTAATTACCATAAACAATATTAGGTATGGTGATTGATGTTTCTGCAATATTAGTCGCTACAATGATTTTTCTTGTATCTTTCGGAGCTTTCCAAAATACTTTGAGTTGTTCTGAATTTGGTAAAGATCCATACATGGGCAAAGGTAATAGTTTTTCTACAATAATCAATAAAAAATTAATAAGCTGAATTTAGAAAGAATATTAATTCAAGAAAAAATTTTTATTACGTTTTCCTTCTCTGATAAGCTGTGCATGGTCTTTTAATAATGAAACTGCTCGATCAACTTCATCCATTCCCGTAAGAAAAGCTAGAATGTCACCTGAATCTTCATTCTCATGGATTTTAAGTGCAGTATCAACTACTGATTTCACATAATCTGCTATTGGTTCTAAAAAATAAACATTGAACTCATTATCTAATATACAATTGATTAAATAACTTTTATTACGCCGTTATTACTGTTTGGTTGTGATCTTGATATTGTTTTTATAAAGCATTAATCTACAAACTTTTTTATTACCTTCAATGTAGAATATATCTACTGGATACAATCGTCCTTCAACGCTCAGAATAACTGCAGTATCTTTCGATCGATCTTTCGTAGTATTAGTATTGAAAAAATCACGCAGTTCTTCAGCATCAACAGTAGCCGATGAGACGATAATTTTTAAATCTTTTCTTTTCTGTAAAAAATTTAATGACAGTAGTAAATAATTTTATTCCGAGTTATTCAAATGATGCAATTACAGAAAAAATATAATGACTTAATTACATTATTTGAATGCTTAAGTATTCTTGATTACTAACTCGAATAATTTTTTTTAACAGTCCCATTATTATGTCCGTCAAAAGAGTTCTTTCGTGGACTTCATCAAGGATTATGATGCAATATTTGGTTAGTAGAGGATCTCTCATCATTTCTCGCAATAAAATACCTTCGGTCATGTACTAAAAAGATATAAAATATGCATATTGATCAGACAGGAATTATATTGATTATTATAATGGTACTCGATATCATAAAATCACTCACCTTGATCTTTGTATTATCATCAGTGCAATCATCAAATCGTATGCAATAGCCAACTTCTGTTCCTAGTATGCACCCACGTTCATCAGCTACACGACTTGCTAGTGCAGTAGCAGCTACCCTTCTTGGTTCGGTTATTCCAACCATTTTGCCGTTCGCACTCCATCCTGCTTCTACTAAATACTGTTTGACAAAAAGAATAAGAAAAAATTAACTAATGATTGAAAAGCTATTTTATCAAAAATTCATATTCTTAATAGTAAAAAAATTGAATAGAATAATATTTTATATGTTTCAAGGATTTAAATATTTTAAAACACAATTTATGATTCAAATACCATTTATTTTTATGAGCAAAATCTTTTATAAAGATAAAAAGTAATAAATTATTTATGTTCATGTATAAGGCATATAATAATTCATTTACCACTACTCTATATTTATAAAATTTTTCTTTATCCATTAATTTTTTACATGTATTAAAATATTATTTATTATGCATTACTTATAAAAATTAAACTTCTCTTTTCATGTTTTATCGATTCAATAGCTATGAATATAAAAAAATTGTCATTTTTCTTTATGTTATCTTTAAACTATTATAAAACTAAAGAATTATTCGAATTTACATAAAAGTTGTCTGCGCTTACAGTAGATTCGATATTCCAAATAAATCGATAATTTTGAATATAATGAAAATCTGACAAATAAATAAGTATAAAAATAACTATGTAGCTAATCCAGCGAGCAGACTGTATGTATTCCCAAAGTCTATCTACAAAAACAGCTATTAAGAGGTAATCTGTAAGTGCGTGAGGGTTAATGAGCCTCCACGAAGTGGTTATTATCCAGAAAAATATGCTACGGATGACCACAGTTTGTCTGTTATAAAAATCTTCATGGGAGATAGCTCGATTTTTATAATTTCCTTCAAGAAGGTTTTGATATAAATCAATATATCGATTCCATGCAAGACTTGAAGCTACTAATGATCCAGTAATAAGTACAACTGATGGTAAGACATTTTTTGAAGTCATCTTTTTTTTGTGTACAACACAGGAACCAATCGGACCTTCTGTTATGGACGGTACTAAAGGTTGAAGTCTAATATATCCACCACGTCTTGCTAAGGTATTTTTAAGGCAGAAAAAAATTCCTATCAAGAGAGCAACACTTCCTAAAGAATCACATATGGCATCCACAAAATATCCAGTGCTACCTACATCAGAGTGTTCACCTCCAATATGTTTTCTTTTTCTTGCTATAAGTCCGTCGAGGTCATCAAGCCATGAGCGAATTTGGAAGACTAAAACTCCCAGTTTTCGTTGTGATAAAGACTTACTTGAGATCAGTTTTCCAGCAAGAATGGCGACCAATACGTGGAAAAAACTTATATGATTTGGTGACAACCATTCCCATTTACTTAATCCAAAAATTCTGTCAACTAAAGCTGCTAAAGGACTAAACACATAAAAATTCAAATAGTCTAACATTAATCCTTTAACTGTCACTACGCAAAATGGATTTAAATCACATGGAACATTCGATTGGTAATCCAAACTATCTTTGATAGGTCGAACTGAATAATCTTGTACTCTGTAGTAAAGTCGCACATCCATTATCAAACAGAAACATATATACACAGCAAAAAATGCAATAATTGATCGCTTTTCTTGAATTAGTGACACCACTTTGATCATCATGCTTGATGTTTAACGTGAAAACTGTTGTTGAGTTAAGAAAAAAACTTTGTAATAATCAAGTATTATGTCGATAAAGACAAATAAATTGATATAAATTTTTTTTTACTTTTATGTTACTTCCGTAGTAAAATTTTTCATTTATCTTATCATTGTCAGGCGTCATTCAAGATATTTATCTGTCAATGTATATTAACGCTTTAATGTACAGAAAGTTTGAAAATTGATCAAATGACTTTTAAATTTTGCAATGAGGTAGTATCCTTCAGCTTATCAGTCAAAATCTTTTTGTCTATAGTATAACTTTAGTTATCGTCACTTACTCATTTTATTAATAAGTATTTTAATATTATTTGAATTAAATTGTTTTTTCTATTTAAGTATTATTTATGTATTGAAATTTTCACAGGCACTTTTATTTGTAATTTTTTATAAATTATTATGAGCAAATTACCTGTGGGACTTGTGTGCTTTTCCCACAGCCAGTTTCACCTAAAAGCACTAGTGTTTGATATTTTTCCAGAAGATAAATAATATGATTACGATTTTTATGAATTGGCAATCGTTGACGTTGTAAATCTAACGCTAAAGAATGATGAGCGTTATAGACAAATTGAGTTGATGTGTGAGCATCAATATCAGGTTTATCCTCTTGCCACGAACAATCTCCTGAAAAAATTAAATAGATTAATATCATTTATAACCATTGAAATGTGATTGCTTGTCGTAATTATTATATTGTTACATTACACATTATCTCTGTTTGAAACTACACTGTTATATTGACTCACGTGAAGAAACCTATCATTTTATGATTAAGTTAAGAGACAAAAAATTTTTTTTTACTCTCCAATCGAAGGCTAATGGATTTGTAGTTTATCTATAAAAATCAGAACTTACTTGGAGCTATGAATTTCAGTTTCGACGTCATTGATTCGTCAATGAGATTTATTAGATTGTAAAGCCTTAAGAATTTGAGCTAATAATATTGACGTTTTGTCAATAATATCATTTATACATTTTTTTTACTGTCATGTAAAAATTCTTTTCCTATATTCTACACTTAATTCCTGTTTTATTTCACAGATGAGTGCTTATAGTTGATGCAATGTTATGCATTAGCCGCTACCGTTCACGTGTCTTTACTTTTTGTTTATTATTTTAAATGTGTGATATAATCAACAATACTCTTGCGTATTAATAAAATACACAGCCAACTTAGTTTTTTTATCAAGTATCCACTCTTGTGATTATAGCAAACTTATGCTTGACGACTGAAACATAAATGCTGCATTTGCACAATACACTTGCAATTATTTTGATCATCAACAAAAAAATGATAAGAGTTGAACTTTCTGTGTTTTTATTAAATCCCTCAGTTGATAATTGTGTTTGTTAGTAATAGTAATAACACATAGAGACCGCGACAGCAAAAGTTTTTTTCTCGCTCGGTAAATTCGATTAATAAATTGGCGCGAAATTTTTCCATGTGTTCAGTGTACACAAGTAGAGAAACATAACCTTGAAATGTTAAAAATAAATGCATAACATTAAAAAATTGTAATATAATATATATTTTTTATTTAAAATTAAATAATTAAATATAATTTAGATCATTATTCATTTATTAAGATAATGGATGATATTAGTAAATTGAAAAGAGCTCTTTTTGTTTTAAAAAAGAGTATTATTGAGTGTCCCATTGGTGCAGTATCTCCGGATGATTATAAACCAATTGAAGAAAAAATAAGAGATCTAAGAGTATCACTATCATGTTTAAATTCTAGAATACGAAGGCTTCAAGCTCAAACTTCTTTACGTAAGCAAAAAAAATTCTCATTGATATATTCGAAGGTATTATAAATGAAAATCTTGTTTGTAGATTCAGTTCCAAATCCTCCGGAAGAAAAGAGGCCTGAACTCCTAAATCAATACCAAAATCAATTATCATCTTGTGTCATTAACAATCATATGATGAGTGCAATACATCACTCAAATACAGTACAAGAAATATTTGATAATGATAAGATAGACCCTGATATACAAAGGTAAATTTTGAAGTTAATATCATTCTAATATTTTTTATTATTTGTAATTATTTTTAAGGGTGTAAAAAATGTTGGTATTTTTTTTAGAAAAACAAAAGTAGCTATGACTAAACTATTCAATTTGAATGATGTAGCTTTATCAATCCATCACGAATTGAATGAAATATGTTTAAGTAAAGAATTGGAGCTGAAAGACAAATGGGCGCAAACGATTACTGAATTTTCAGAATTTCTTCATCAACAAGAAAAAATACGTCATGAGAAATTGGCTAAATCAAATCCAGAAGCTGTAGCGTAAGTTACAATATTAACAAAAATAAATTGGAAAAGTTGACTTAATGTAATTAAAATTTTTATTTCAGAAAAAAAGAAAAAATACTGAAATTAATACAGAAAATCAATACAATGAAAAGGTTGATAACTAATTTTATAAGTACATCTAGCAAAACAATTAAAGATAACCCAGAGTTTATAGAGTTATTAAAAAAACATAGAGATCTGATAAGTCTAGAAACAATTATAATAATGTCTCAAAATAAATGTTAAAGTTATTTACATCTGTAATTGTAAAATAAATATATCATTACAGATAAAATTTGTCATTTTTTCATGCTTTTAATAAACTCTTTAAATATCTAATAAAGTAAATGTTAATAATTATCAATTGTAATTGTATTACATAACTCTTAAAAAAATAATAATTGCTATCATCATATTAAAAATCAGTTTGAGTACTTTGATCTACTTGAAATGCTCTGGCAGGAAGTGGAAGAATCATATTTTTAACCGTTAAGGCACCTTGTTGGAAACGTTGAGTTTCACGAGAAATTCCTTTTGGATATGAATAATCTTTCATTCTATCAATGGGTTGACGACCACGAATACCTTTATACCATCTTCGAGCTTTTTTTTGAAGCGGACTTTGGACAATGTTCAATGAATTAGAATTTTCAATATTAAATCTATCAACCAAAGCATTTTCTTCCCTAGGTCGTTTACATGATCGAGATCCTTGAATAAAAAGATCATTTTGAATGATTGGAGTAGAATGTTGAATTGGCGAATGTAAAAATGATGTTGAAGGAGAGTTAATACTGTTCGTCGAGTTCTTTGTCGTAGCTACCCCTAAAATTTTTCGTCATTTCAGAAATAATGTACAGGTTAATTTAAAAAAGGAATCGAGAGCACATACCTGATAAATTTTTTATAGCATTTTTAAAAACGTTAGCGACTGCAGCGAAGATTCCACCATTATTACTGCTATGTTTAACAGCTTGTTGATTCTTTTGAGGTTTATTTATTGGTTCAGATGTTTCATAACACTCGACACTTGATAAACGTGTGTAACTATCTACTGAAACTATTGTGAGTCCATTGTTCTCTTTATTTTGTTGCGCTTGTGCATTATTTGATGAGGATTGCGACACAATTGATTCTAGTTTCTTTAAACTAGAATTTATAATCGGAGATAATTCTTCAACACTAATATCTCCTGTCTTTTCCATCAGCACCATCATAACTACTTTTGAAGAGTTTGACGAACAATTATTTTCTTTAACTAATTTCTTTATTTCCTTCATTTCATTACTTATGTTATTTTTTTCGTCTTCAGAATTCTTCCAATCTATACTGGGTTTCAGATTTGAATCAGGACTTGGTAAGTCTTTTACTTCGGAGAAGCTTTGACATGTTTCAAAGAATTCTTCCCCTCCTGTTGTATTGAATGATGTTGAATTGACGTCTTCGTATTCACTAACAATTGACATGTTATCAAGTTGATCTGAAAATCTTACTTTTTTCCCAGAATCTTTCCTATCTCTTCCAGATTTGAGTCGTTTTTTAGCGGAATTTGAGGAAACTTGATTAGAAGAATCAGTTTCTGACCAACTTGAATGATCGTTTTTATCAGTTTCTTCCATCATTCTTTATCATTTCTCCGTGATACTATGAAAACAATTATCCTGGCCAGTGTTGTTATTCGAAAATGTTAAAGATGAAATCAACCTCAAAAATTTACAATGTGAAGAGTTTTTAGCGATAGAAAAATCAAAATAAACGGACTATTCCTTATTCTTAGTACTGTTTTGTTTATCAGTTGATTTCTTTTGTTTATCACCAATTAAATGAGACTTGATTAAATTCTATAGAGTTTCTAATAAAATATTTGGACTTTCTATCAAAGTATTAAATTTTTTCCTTCAATTCAATGTGCATAAGAGTTCTCGTATGCTTTGTCGATGTCGAAGGTGAATTTTTAATAAAACTTAAACAGTCGTCCATCCCATGAAACTCGTAAATAAGTCTAGATTTTAATTGCTACCAATTGCTACCTTTAAGTCCCTTATTTAATAAATAGTTACTAGATAGCTCAGGGTTATTTCTATTGCTGTGGAATACATATTGATTAAAGTACCTTATTTGGTAATTAATTTCTGAAATGAAAGTAAACACAAATTTATCAGCATGAAGATTCAAATTTATTTAGAAGGATTCGTGTTTATGTTCAAATGATATCTAAATTCCTCCTTTTTTTTTAATTGTAGTAGTTTACATAATATAAAAATATTTAGTCAATTTTTTACTATTTACAAGAGACTTAATAATTTTATTTATATTTTATAAATTAAAAATAATTATAAAAACAATATTTTATAATAGTTTCATTATTTACATTCATTATAAAATTATATTAATCATCAAATAGTAGTAAATTTGTTAAATCTGGAATGAAATTATTGCAATCGTCGTTTTCTTTAGTTGAACTCTTTTCTTCATTTCTTTTTTCATTTTTACATTTTTTCTTGAATTCATCAATAGATAGTAACATTTTTTTGGACTCATTTATTTTCGCTTCTCGATCAATAGCTTCTTTGTATGGGGGATTAATAGGTTTTTGAACTGGTTCATGATAGGTGTAATTTTCGTCATTTATCTGAAAATGTTAACAAAAAATAAAAATATTAAGATTCATAAACTGTCTATTACATGAAAATAATCATGTAGAACCTTACTAGATTCTTCAAAAATGCTTTAAATAATTTATTCTATACTTACAGGAAGCGGATAACAAGCATCTGAATCTGGTTGGTTTAAATCTCCACAAACCACAAAAGGAACAATACATTTATTAGCACCCGGCAAGTTATCATAATTTAATGGCTCATGAGTCAAAAGAGGATTCAACATATGAGGAACGTAGTCTATTGGTGGTGAGTAATCTTTACATACTACGAATGCCTCAATACTTGAGTTGCGGGAGCTGCTTGGTTTTGCACAAGCAACATGTCGAAAAAATATTTTTAATTGGGAAAATAATAAAGATCCTTCTCTAGCTCGAAAAATTTTTGCAACAAATGTACCTCCTGGCCTCAAAACATGAGTGGTAATATTGAGAGCTGATAAAAGCAATTGAGATTGAATGTAAATATCCATATCATGTAATCCCGTCACTGGAAAAAATTCATTTAAAAATGTATTTTTATCAGCAACATGAAGTTCATAGATCAAAATATAATATTTACCATCAGGAGCACCATCACAAACTACAAGATCAGCTTTACTATTTTCAAAATATGCTATTATTTTTTCTGCAGTACTAAGCTTGGTGATATCGCCTTGAATTTGAATAACTCCATTTAAAGGGGCCATAGCCTGTAAATCAACTGCTACAATTTTTGGTGCTTGAATAGCTTCTGTAGAACATGGATCTTGAGCTTTCTTGTGTTTTTCAAGTTCAGCATTATAACGTTCACTAACAGTAAAAACAATAGAAAATTAGTTTAAAACATTTAAGAAAATTCAATAAATTATTAAATGATTTAATAAATGAATAATAAAATAAACATTAATTTACTTCAATTTTAGTGACAAAACTTGACTCCAGCTTCCAGGTGCTGCACATAGGTCCACTACGTTAGTTACTCCTATAATAGATTACCATTTAATAAAATAATGAATTATTGTTGATCGATTATAAAGATAAAAGTAGAATATTACCTTCAAATATATTGTATTCATTATCAATTTGGAGCAACTTGAATGCACTTCTTGCTCTCCATCCTTCTTCTTTAGCTTTTCGATAATAAATATCTCGTTTATCTTTGGATGTTTTTCCCATGATTTAATCAAAAGAAAATATTTATTTAATTTCCAATATAGTATTTTCAACACTCTATTGTTTATCAATAATTAAAGTTGTTTACTTTAGATGAAAGGTTATAGACGTTATTCATCTCACTATGACGTCATTAAACATAACCAATAAAAAAAATTGAATTTGTAGTGTCAAATGGAGGGACATTCAAACCATGGACATTTTTGCAGTTGAAAAAAGATTATAAAACTTGAAATAGACGAAAGAAAAATTCTTGTCAAGTATTTTTTGAACCATTGAATAAATATTTTTTGCCATGTCGTCAAAGTTCAAGCAAATAAGGTTAAGTTTCACCAGAATAACACATATGAGTCAAAATTTTCTCATCCTTGTTTTATTTTTTATTTTTTATTTATTCTCAAAATAGATAAACCGATATGTTGAAAATAGAGAATTATATTAAGGGATACTAATAATACACATTAAGTAATCAATCGATAATTATATAGCGTGAAATGAAACGCATGGTGCTACGTTGAAGATACCCCAGTCTTTTCCACAAGGCTAGATATTATATAGAGATTGGCAGTTTCGGAATAGTCAGTAACGATAACGACCGTCAGTGTCTGCGTTGCATTTGATACGGTTGGATGTGTCTGAATTAAGCGTCGTGAATTTACATACTGTGTGAATTTTTGCAGCAGACACAATAAAAATTTATATTTCGTGTTATACTTATATTACATATATTGTTAATTGATTATTAACAAACTATTTATCAAGAATGAATGTTGTCAAAGGTAAAGAAAGTTTTTTTTAACAAAATTTACTGCAACTTGAACTCTTACTAAATTTATACCAACATGCTATTATAATGTTTTGAACTTATTTTATTTTTCAGAGTTGTTATTTGAATTATTAGACTGAATAATTAAATTAAAAATGTAACATTTTATTTAGAGAAAGAAATTGAACCGCGTACTATTCCTTTCCCTTTCTTAAGGCTTTCTTTCTCTCTCCTTAAACATATCCTTATGTTCTCGAATATTCTGAGCGTCATCCTTTTAAAATGTGTAATATTACAAGTTTTAAAATTGTTCGAAGAAATTAAATTCACTGGCATGTCATTCCTTTTATCAACTAGATTAAAATAAAGCAAGTAATGTTTATATTTATACACTGCTTATAACTAAAAAAAAAGACTTTTTTACAACAAAAATATTTTTAAACATATCTTTTGTTTTTAACAATAACAAATATCATAATAACAAGTTATTTTATCAGAAATATCCTACAACAATAAATAACAGTTATTAATTCAATTAAATTGATAAACAATTCAACTTTCACTAACTTTGTCCTGCCAATCATAGCTTTACCAGTTTCATGTGTTATCGTCATTTCAATATTTCTGCAAATATCAAATGTTAAAAGGTCGTTTTATTAAAAATTTGTTAATCTTGCTAGACTTCCTTTTCTTATTTATGGAAATTACTCAACTATAATAGTATGAGTGATTGATCTCATTGTCGACCAAAATAACTGAGATTCACTTGAATCACTAGTATGATCTTTCCTGCTTCAAATGTTGAAATTGTTGATAAGTCAATGTTTAATTTATATTTTTATAAAGAGTTAATCCAACAATAATATTAATTTCAATTCCTAAAAAGATTAAATAAACGAGTGATTAATGATAAAACGACTTTAATTAATGTAATCTTTGTAAAAAAAAAACAGAAAACCTACTTTATAATTCAGCTGATAATTATAAGCTCATTAGCATTCGAATAGTCTTTGGAGTAATTCATTAATATGTAATACATAAATAACAAAACATGTCTTTGTAAAATAAGTTGTCACTGAATATATTACATTCACAATTTTGTTTTCTTATGGAATGTAATTATAGTATTATTGATTGTAAAAAAACTTAATTGATTCATTTAATATTATTAACAAATCATGATATCAATTGTCTTTGTTTCAGATATTGATTACTTAATTGATAATATCAAGATTCATGTTAAATAATATGTGATAATATAAGTATCAATTACAAAATTCCAATCAAGACTAATGAAAAAAAATGATGATAGCAACAAGATCATCCAGACATGAATCTTGAAAATTTCCATTCCATATAAAGTAGTTGTAGATATGTTATTCATACTTTTTGTCTGAACTACTTCTTTTCTCTTGTTTAGAACTTTCCAGATAATAATTAGTCTAGTTTAAATCGTTATGCTTAACGAATCTCTGTTTGTCTAGATTTATTTGGTCTCATCAACCAGCAGCGATCCATTTAATTGTTCATCTAGTGACTTTCTTGAGCAGTTTGAACTTGAAAAATTGATATTAACGTCATCAATATTCATAGCTAACAAATTAAAAGCTTGTTATTAAAACTCGCATAAAAATTACATAATATTAAATAACAATTTAACAACTCCTTTATGTTCTCACATCCATTTTATTCTTACACTAATGACTGTTAAATAGACGTAAAGATTTTTTTTCAATTCTGCAGTTCTTTTCCATTGTCTCTGAGTCATGTTGATCTGTTTCATATGTTTTATCATAAAATGTGCTGTCTCAGCTCAATGTTATAAATGTAAATTCAATCAAAAAAATTTGCCACGCACCATTGATTGTCTTTTATAGTATACTGACCAATGACTCTCAGGGTTTATCTAACTTTAGCACGTAAATAATGTGATACGAATTTTAATTATATCCGTATTGCTATTATTAACTATCTTAGCATTCATATTACACCCATATCTGATTGTTGACCTACATGTATCCTCGCCCATGACATCGATGCCTTAGGAAGATGACATTCTAGATTATTTACCAGGAACCATACATAATACTAAATACTAAAGAATTTATTTCTTATAGTTCTATAGAAATAACTAAACAATTTTTAAAAAATTTCTTAATACCATATATTATCGTTCAACAAGTGCTTATTAAATAATTATGATGTCTAAATATCTTAACAACAAAATTATGTTCATGAAAAACCTTTAAGTGATAAATATTTTCCAATAATAGAGATAAGAAATGTTTTTTCTGCACATAAATATTGTTTTTTGTGCATTAAAATTAAATAGTATAATTCTAAGATTTTTTCAAGGAAAGAAAAACGTGGTAGTAATGAAATAATCACTTTAAAACTCAAAATGCAAGTAATGATTCTACTTTTATTTAATAGAATGGTTTGGACTATTAAACACACCTGAGGTACATTGGCTAAGATTAGAGTTCTTATTGTTAAAGTGTCATTATCTTTAATGAAGCACAGGTTATCCTCAATTGGAATCTCAATTATTTCTTTAAAACTTTCAGACTCAGGAGCTATTATTATCGGTGCAATCACAATTCTCCAGTCATTTATGCATATAGGTCTTCTTTATTGCTGAAAAGTAGCCACAAAGTTAGCTCATCATGATCAACCCAAAATCCAAGTTTCTTCATTGTTAAAATATTCAGTATTATTTTTCATCAATAAAGAATTCTATAATCTACTCTTAATAGGAATATTTGGTGGCTTATCTTCTCACCAACTGTATAAATAATTTCCTGTAGCAGACACAATTCTTTTACATCATTGTTATCAATAGGTAGTTTTTTTGAACTAAAAACTTCACTCGAGAATTTTACAGAAGCTTTTCTATCAATATTGATCAACATACAGATAAGATATGACGTCATGTGGTAATCTAATTAGGCAACTGAACTTTTATGTATTAAAAGTAAACAAGAAATACCAATATGTAGCACAATTGACTTATTGATTGAATCGAGTTTTTTTTAATTTGAATTAATCGATTGAATGAATAACAACTTGAGATAAACATGATTGAAATTTAATAACATGTTAACATGATAATGAATAAAGAGATATCATTCAAATATTTTTATGTTTTAGCATCACACACTATTAAGGGCGAGATGAATGAGACTCAGGCGATGAGATGGCGAAATTTCTTAGCATTTTGGATCCTGGGACTGTGTAATAATTATGGATATGTTGTGATGTTGAGTGCAGCACATGATATCTTGAAAGATAGGTTTGAACCTCCAGTAAGTAGAACAAGTCTATGTACTGTTTTTATAAGATCATGTTTTATTGTCTAGTAGATATAAATATTTTTTCATGTAAGCACTTAATTTGATTTATCAAAGACAAGTTATTGGAGGTTTGAGATTAACCTGAATATGGTGGAGTATTACGTAATTGCATCATACATTATTCATTGTTAGGCGGATTAAGGGTTGATAATTTTATCTTTGATTGTGCTCAATTATTTATTTATAGATTATTGAATATATTTTTTATTATTATTTTTATTAACCAATTTTGTATTTTCAGAAAGAGTTGATTAACGATTCGAATTATTTATGAGAATTCATTCATCCAGTCTCACTTTATCACCCACATCATTTCGAACAGTAAAGTTTTGATTTTTCATTTGACTATTGTTGACTAAATCCCAATGATTTTTATCGAAAAATTACTATGACAAAATTAATTACATTATCCAAACATTATTCAGTATTGCACTTTTATTTTTCAAACTTCATTAATAAACAGAATTTAAAAATGTTACAGGATCGATTTTATTCATAATACCATTAAGGTATTGCAAAACGAGTAACTAAATTAATCGTTAATAAAAAAATAATATTTTATTGATTATTATGATTTTAATAGATAATTTTTTTCTTAGGGTGCATCAAAATCAGAAGCATTTACAAATTTTACAATAGAAAATCCACGAGGTTGTAATGAAGTTTCAACTGGTGCTATTCTATTGGCTGATATAATGCCATGTTTGTTAATCAAAATTACGGTACCATTTTTACCGTTTTTTGTTAAGTGAGTATATTTCGCAAAATGCGATGATTTTTATTATCTGCAGATATAAAAAGTTGTACCACAATCTCGGGGCCACGACCATCGGTGGTGGTTGATGATTCGTGTGGTTCAGCGAAACAAGTTTCAACGTTTCATTCAGCAAGATCGCCTTTCTTCGACGTTGCAGTTTCCGTTTGGCTTTGTGTATCATCGCGCAGATCATGGGCTTTCTGTCAGTTGCCTTCGCTACGACCCCATGGCTAACAATACTTGGCGTTATTCTCACATCCGTTTCTTCAGGTCTGGGAGAGGTCACACTCATTAGCTACAGTCATAAATATGGAAGGTGAACAATGCGTCTTGAATTGTTAATTATGTCTGTGAAGAATAAGTCACTCTATTGAATTAATCATTTTCATTTTCTTAAGGGAGAGCATTGCTGCATGGTCATCAGGAACAGGAGGAGCAGGAATCGCTGGAGCATTTTCTTATGCAGGAATGAGGATGATAATGAATACAGAACAAACGTTACTTGTTATGCTACTTGTACCTGCAATGGAGGCTATTGCATTTTGGTTTATTCTACCACATCCCAAAGAACAATCAATTATAAAATATGGTATCAGTAGTCAAGAGGAAATAATTGCTATTCCTAAGAAATCTATATCAGAAAAATTCCAACTTGTACCTGGATTATTGATCTATATTATTCCTCTCTCTTTGGTTTATCTTTTTGAATATTTTATCAATCAAGGGCTGGTGAGTATTTCATTTCTTTATGTGCTTCATTTCTCAGTAACATAAATAATGAACAATATTCATTCCTATTTTTAGCATGAACTTATTCAGTTTGATAATATATGGTTGAATTATGCCGATCAATATCGATGGCTCCAAGTTGATTATCAAATTGGAGTATTTATTTCTCGATCATCAGCCAGTTTTATTACATTTAAAAGAGTCTGGTTAATGGCTGTCTTGCAGGTAATTGATTGTATTAATCACAAAGACATATATTGTTTTTATTTTACTGCATTCAACATGACCTTGATTATAAAAGAGAATAAATAAAACGTTTTATTATTTCAGTTTTTGAATATCATACTGTTTGCAACTGAGGCTATATTCTTCTATATGCCAAGTATTTGGATTGTGTTTGGTTTAACTCTTTGGGAAGGTCTTCTTGGTGGTGCTGCTTACGTAAACACATTTATTAATATGGCTGAAACGGTATGAACTTTTAAATAATAATTCAACGATTTTTAAGAGTCTTATAATTCGTAATAATTTTAATTTCAGATTCCAGCGGAGGATCTTAAAGATTCGTTAGGAATTGCGACAATGGCTGACTCCTTAGGAATAACTTTAGCTGGCTGGCTATCAATGTTAGTTCATGCAGCAATTTGCAGAATTCCTAGACCAATTCGATGAGCATTTATTGATGAAAAAAACTTCATCATAGAAATCTGCGATAATCAGGCTGTTAAAAATTAATATATCAGATTACCATACTTAAGGTATTATTGTAAATACCTTATTCATTTTTCTTCACTAGCATACCCGTCCAGGTTTGGGATAGCAGAAGAGATTTACAACGAAATCATGTCTGTATGAAAGACTTAATAGATATATTTTACACATCGTACAGATACAGAAATGTATGACTGAGTGTATTTAAATGAAAATACGCTTATTATTTTGATGAAAAATTATAATGACTTAGAAAATAGCTTTAATAATTTAATAAATTAGGAATTAACGATAAAATATCGACAATAATTCCGAATGATAGTTAAATACTATCGTGGTCAGTATTTTATTGATTTTGGTTGAATACATTAAATGAAAGCTGTTATTTAATGGACACCTAAATGGAGTAACTATGCCTGTTATGTTTAGCACCTTTTTTAAGCCTTGTTGAAGCACCTATTTCATTTGGTAAATAAATGGAAATACATTCAAGCTATTTAGATATGTTGATGATAGAGATTTTTCTTTTTTTGATTTACGATTTTTTTTATCTATAAATATACAAAAAACTACTAAATTAATTAAATAGTTTATAAATAATCATTAGTAATAATCAATTACACAACCCGTTTGCCTGAAGCATACATAAAAATTTATAAAAGTTAGTAAATTGATATCTTATAAAAAAATCAATATTTTTTAAATATATTTTTTAAAATAATTTATGTAAACAAAATAATAATTGGCACTAATAAATACCTTAATTGTATTTGTTTTATTATCTAAATACTTTGTTGTCATTTTGATTAACGATGAGATCATCATGTTCATTGTCGATAAAATTTAAAATTACGTTTGAGGTTTTTTTTTGTTGATAATTAATTACATTTATCAAGTATGACTTTACCCGATTCTTCATATTCTTGACGAGAGAGCCACATTTGTTGGAATGATCCTAAAGAGCTTAGTATTGAGCCACCAATCCACGCTCCAAAACGACGTTCACTTGGACTATTGGCACTGATTATTTTCAGCCTCATACTCTGGAAAATTATAAATAAAATTGATGATTCAATAGTAAATCATTTTCTCGAGTAACAAACGTATTATTTTCGTAAGAAAATATATTCACTTGAATATGTTGAATGCCTTATTGGCTGATAAAACTAATTCATTTATAAACAATTAAGTTTTCATGTGAAAATGCGTCATCGAAAATTATTGTAAAAATTATTCTTATCCTTCTGCATTTATTCACGTCTCGAAACTTCGAATGTTAAATTATTTTTAACTGAACGAGATTAATTTAGAATAGAAGATGTAACATTGAAACAAAATTATACTCGTTATTATTTTGATTAACAACATTGGTTTTGAAGGATATTTCATCAATTCTACTATGAATAGTGCAATGATAGTTTTATTTATCACATAAATAAAATCGATAAATAATTACCGGTGGTGTTTTACTGGCTAAATCTCTATTTAGTCGATCACTAAAACCTTGAAGACATGTGTTTCCGCCTGTGACAACTACACTTCCATACAAACTCTGAAAAAATCATCATTTTTTACGGTGATAAAAATTAATTAATTGCTACAGTGGAAGAATAGTTGAAAAATAAACTTACAGGCCTTATATCCATATCACACATTCCCACACTAGTGGTAACTAATGGACCTACACCAAGAATACTAGCTCCAACACCTTTAACATTGCTTGGATCAAACAAAGCTTCAGGAATCATCAGTCTAACTGAACTAAAGTCATCATTATATCCAGTTGGAAATTCAAAATGTTTTAGAGGTAAAGAATTGGCTACATCTTCATCATATGGAGAATCTGAGACTTGTAAGCAATTCATTTGGAAATCTTGGAGAACCTCTCGAACCATATAATTGAGCCATGAAGTGGTTGGCTGAGGTCCTGGTTTTTTGGTCCAACGCGGAGGATCTCTTTCTCGGACAACATCTTTAAAATTAAAAAATTTTAAGATGATAATTAAAAAAATAAATATTGATAATTACCTTTGCTAGCCACCATACAAGCTGGTACGAGTTCAATATTTTTTTCTTCAAAGTATTGTCTGCATTGCATTGTAATGAAATCTCCACCAAGAGGACTTTTTACGATACCTTGGGTAATAACATATCCATCATGAACAGGTACAGCACTTGTATGTGTTGCTCCACTGTCTACTACCATCGCAGTGGATCTTCCATTTGCATAAGCAGCAAGGACGGCGTTTTTGCAAATATACATTGCTGGAACGTTGAACTTTTCAAACATAAGCTCTAAAAGTTTCTCTCGCTTCGCTTGAGTATTCCAAGGACTTTCAGACATAAGTATCGGATGATGTTCAGGTAAGGCGTGGAGTCTTTGCTTGTATGTATATTCAGCTAAGCGTTCAAACATATCCCAATCGTCAATCATTCCATCCTTCATCATATTAACTATCTCCATGTCTATAAATTCATTAGCACATTATGTATTAAAAATTAAAGTAAACATTATTGAAAGTTTTGAATTAAATTCGCGCCAATAAATACAATTAAAATCGCAAACCTTTTCGTCGCACTTGAATTGCGGTAACATCGATGTTGTATCGTTTTTTGGCTGATTGAGTTGAATCAACATTGTCGTGGGCGTCCTCCCATACCCCAAGACTCGTTGGAATTTCAGCTTTCGGACTATCTTCACCACCATATCCAACTCGAAGACTCTGATGTCCGACGTCAAAAATAATGGCGCCGACCTCATCTATTCAATGAGCATGTGCAACCATTTATATATTTGTATGACGATTATTTATGTGAACAAATGTTCGAATAACAACTACTTACCACCACCGTAGACACCACCGCTCATAGTATCCAATAGTGTCTAACTGGGGATAATAATTTTGCGCATGCTTCGGATTCCGCGCAACCCTTTTGGTAAACATAAAATAAGATTTATGTCTGGTTTTATGCGATGCAATTTAGCAAGGGCGTTCTGTATTTTAATGAATAAAAGCAAATGAAACTTAGAATGAGAAGTTTTAAAACATCCATCGAGAGTATACTGTATTGTTTATTGCAGTAAATTAAGAGCTGAATTTCTGTTGGCTGTTTCATTGGACATCTAATTATTAATTATTATATTTAGAACAATTATTAATTTAACTTTACCTAGACAGAAGCTTTTAATTGTTTGTTTTTTTTGGAGTCAGATAAGTAATAGTGTTTGAATTTTATGTTTGTTTTGTCTTCAATTTTATTTTAGACCTCTACAATCGTGGATTTCCAATTTTCAGCTAGACTCGAAACGGAATTGATAAACTATCTAATGTTGGTAAAGTAGAAACAATCTTACATTGTTGTTTATATTGACTGCAAGATGACAGTAATTGTATCTTTCAGAACTTTAATAATTTTTTCATAAAAATTCTTAAAAACAAAATGAATACAGTGAAAGGGATTATGCAATCATATAAACAGTAATTTTCAATCAATATTGTATATTTTACAAAGTAAATAGAATATAAATAATCTACAATCACCTAAAACACAAAAGTGTCAATTTTTCTTTCATGGTAAATAATATATATATATAATATATAATAAAGTATATTTATATAATATATACGATATCAACAGGAAAAACTCGATTTATTAATTTTCTTTTTAATTAAAGTGCCGATTCCAGACATGAAAAATTTTTTTTTATGGTTAAAAAGTTAGTGCCACACGCGCCGAAACGATGGCAGTGCTCTTTTTTGTTATTTTATAACTTTACATTTATATTTTAATATTAGTCATTTTTCATCTTCATATTTATTACATTAATTTTCATTTTTGTCGTCCAAGTCAATTCGTTAATTCAAAATGTGAGCATGTGAACGAACAATCTTATATTAACACATCAGAAAAAGGACAATTGTTGCATACTTTCGACAACAGGGTTGGTGGAATAAAGAAGGAATTTTTTATTCGTTTTGTTGATGACTTTTTTTGTAGTTGAGTCAAGTCATTTGCACAATTATTTACACCGCAATTACGAAATCTCGTCTATTTCTTTGGTTATTTCGACCACGATCGAGGTCACACTCAGCTTCGCTTAGCTCAAGCGCGTCGGAGAACCCCGAGGGTGGGTCCAACTTGGGGACGAACAGGTTTCCTGATCCTGCATCCCCCCGCTGCTCCTGCTGCTGCTCCCTGATCCTATTGCTCGGCTGGTGCTTGGAATTGCCAGGCCTGGGGATTGTCCCGAAACTTGTACGGGTCTCCTCGCCGGTATAACGCGCCAACTGTAACATCCTGCAAAAAGATTCCAATAAATCAATATTGTCCAGAATAAGCTGATCAGAAAATCAGCATTTAAATTTATTGATCATGGTAAGTCATGGAATTTAATTCTTATAGCATGAATTTTAAGTAATCAATTAAATTTATGTTTTACACTATTTTGTTTTAGGTTTATAAAATAATGAGAGTCTTACTTGGGTCGTCCCCTTCCAGGAAACGATTTTCTCTCAAAAATCGGTGAGGGTTCCGTAGACGTGCTAGATTCTGGTCCATGGTACAGGAAGTCTGTATAGAAAAAGTATAAATTATTGTAAAATAATGATCAAAATAATATTTTCAATGATTAAGCTTGTTAATAATTAGAAAGATTAATTGAGGGTAGTTATACTGTGCTAAAATAATATTCAGAAACACAAGAATGAGAATAAAAATTGAAATAATATAACTAATAATTTAAAAAATAGTTAAAAAATCAAATATTTACTTTTTAACCACAGAAAATCTATAAATAAAAAAAAAGTAAGATAGGAAGCGTCGTACTGTGAACACGCGCGTCGGCTGCAAAGGCCGAGTGGTGCGAATCGACGAGGTGATTGGAAGACTCAGTTCGGCTGCTGGTCCCGACTTCCGTGTCGCTGTCCGAGCCCAGGGTGTCGTACTCTTCCGACTCGGACTTGCCGTGATTGGCCTTGTGACTTTTATGCAATGGTGCAGAGGACGAACGGCCTCCGCGCACCTTAGTGTACCGGTTGCAATCCGACTGCAATCAGACGGAATTGTCATTCATAATTTTATCTAATAACGGAACGTCATCGTGTCCTTTTTATTTTAGTTCTCAATCCTCTCTCATTCTTGTCAACTAATATTTCTCATTAGAACATCATTCACTTTGGATGATGAATTATGTTGTATGTTTAACGTATGCGAGCGGATTGACTGCGAAACGAAGCAAGGAGGGACCAGCAGTCGTGTTAGAAGTAATGATTGAGTCTCTACTGACGACGAATGAGCTACAATTTTTATTAATGATTTATCTACTGGTATTGGTTTCTTTATTTGCAATCAATTAATTCATTCATTGATCAATTAATTGATGTTTTATGGTAAGAGTAATGAAATGAGTACTATGAAAGGTTTACGAATGATTCCGAGGGTCTCTAACATATTCCATGAGTTCATTATGTCTTTGTTTCAGCAAGGATTTTTTCTGCAGGATTCAAGGGCTTCTTCATGAATTATCATGCGTGTATACAGGTGCAAAGGAATCTATTGAACTACAGGAAAAAATTTGGTATGACTTTAAAAATATATTAGAATGCTTTTTTGAAATATTCACCTCACGTAATTGAAGAGTATCCGCAGCTGAAAGCCTTGGATCATGATAAACAAATGTTTGTAACGGTGCAGCAGAATCACAACGATTGTCTCCTCCAGCTGGTACGCTTTCCTTCAACTGGAATGTCGCGTACGGATAGATGTCTTCGGAGTATTCTATAAGTAGTCAACAATTGTGTTCGTGGAATTAAAAGCTAATGCGAAGCATGGCAGGTGAGTAAAAAAATAATTATTGATGAATTAAAAAATATAAAAATAATTTTTGCTATGAATGATGTACATTGCTGATAGCAAATCCTGAAAAGTAATGTCATTAAGACGTCAACGCTCACCAGGAATTCTTTCAAGAGTGCCCATTTCATGAATAGGTGATCTTAAAGGTTTTCTAACAGTGGCATAATATTGTTCTCGTTGTTCCATGTTTTGTTTATTGTCCAGCGCAGCGGCAGTTTGAGCATCATGAAGACTTCCTATTTCACCTAATAAAGGACCTGTTTTTGAAGAGTGGATTAATTAAATGATATCCATTGAATAATTGGTTGTTATAAAATTAACAACAGTTAACAACATGAGCAATTATTGTTGGAACACTCTTTTGTATGTAATTTTTAATAAACGAGTGGAAATTGTACTCACGTTTACGGAAACAATAAAAAACAGCACCAGCAGCAGCAATAATCGCGAAAGAACACAAAACAAGTGGAACAATAAGCTTTAAATCAGGTAAAACTGATGATTGTTGGGGGATGTATTGATCGATTTCCACCGTGGGTTGAGTCGTGGTGATGTGAGGCTGGAGTGTCGTGATTTTATACTCGGCAACTGATGATCCAGCATTATTGTGAGCTCTTACACGTATATCATACGTTGTTCCTGGTTGGAGCTCACTTAATGTGTATGACTTTTGAACCTAAAAAATTTTTCATTATAATGAAATCGTTAAAGAAAATTCAACTATACAACAATAATAAATTCATGATCCTTGAATAGAAAAAAAAAGGAAACTGGATAAATTTTTTATGCAAAAATGAATCGTTTGTGCATGAAATAGGGTCAATAGATCAATAGATAGACCAAAGAATGAACAATAAATGTAAAACTTTTACATATCTAATATGCACTTGTATTGAAAAAATTATCCTTTTTTATTTCAACTTTTTCTTTTGAACGTGAAAAAATAATTGGTCTATTTTCTAAATTCGATTCATTTATTAGTTGATTCACTTTAATGCACAAAAAATAATTTTAGTGAAAATAAAAAAGTTTTAAATATTTTTTTATTTTATTTACTTCAATATTATTAGACACAAGAGTCCACAGTTCCTCTCCATTCTTCTTATATTCAAGCTCAAACCATGTAATAGGACAGCCACCATCATTCCAGTTGCTTAAATGTAAAACAATCCAAGATACATTGACAGTGATGAACTTGTCTCCACTTCCGGGTGAGTTGGCAGGCTTGGAGCCTTTAGTTGTCGCTTTAACAAACTCGCTCGGGGAGCCCATGCCAATTCTATTGTACGCGGTGAGGTAAATCTGGTACTCAGTACCACACCAGAGCTTAGACAGGAGGTGACCATTTATCTTATGTGAGACTTTTACCTCCTCCCATTCTCCAAACTTGCGCTTGTAGTGGAGAATATAGCCTCTTATAACAGCTCCACCATCGTCTCCGGGTTTCCACTGAACACTGATAGAGTTACTGGTTGTGCTGGTAGCAAGGAGAAGTGGAGCAGATGGAGGAACTGCAAATAGATAAAATCATTAGTTTGCTATTCAGATACTTAAATTCATGGTACTTTCAAAAAATGCAGTATTAAAAATAAAATTTATGTATCAAGATAATTTTTTTCTACGTAAATTAAATTCTTCTAAAAATTGCAACATGCTGGGAGAAAAATTAAATCATTGTTAGTAATCCCATTAATATATATTTAAGTAAGAAAGTGTGTGAGTAATTAGATTTGTTATGATAATTTAAGTAAAACAGATTATTTATTAGCTTGAATTTAAAATTAAATTAAACTCAATAGTAACTTAAAATAAGTTGACAGATGTAAAACCTTTACAATAAATGATCATTTGATGCGGAAATGAAATTTATTCGGTTAAATTCGAACAAGAGATTTGTTAATTGCTGATAAATCTGGTTAGCTGTTACAAATCTTTTTTTCACTTTATCAACATCAATTTAACATACCTTGGACTATCAATTTATGTGTAATCTGATCAGATCCATGTTGGTTTTCCACATGACAAGTATAGTTGCCGCTATCTTCTCTATGAAGATCAGTGATCTGTAGCGAACCATCAGTGTGAATCGTAATTCTTCCTGATGCTTTTACAATTCTGCCCCACTGTTTCCATAGCAGTGACGGTTTTCCAACACTTTGACACGGTAAAGTTACATCTTGTTTCCAAGGGACAATTGGACTCATTCCAAAGGAATAAATTGCAGCTGGAACTGAATAAAATAAAAATGTAATTAGTTATTATTTAATGCTATTATATACTTGTATAGCTTTTTATTTTTTTCTTCTTGAATTCTTTTTATGAAATTTATTCTCTTACCATGACTGGAAGGAGAAGCAGAAACAGATGGAGTTTTAGGTCCTTCACCAACTGACGTGACAGCAGCTACGTGAAATGAATATTGAATCCTCTTGTGAAGATTCTCAGCTCTATAACTAGTTTTGTGAGCTTTGAGCGTCTGCTTATACCACTTATCATCGCTTTCATTACTTTTAATGTAAACATAATATGAAGTTATCACTCCATTTGCCCTCAAAGGTGGTAGCCAAGAAACTATAATTGATTCATTTGAATTGGCTACTGCTTTTATGCTCGCTGGAACTTCTGGTAAGTCTTCTTTTGTTCTACAATAAATTGGAGCTGATGGAACACCATCACCTGGCTTTGTCATTGCTGCTACTTGGATTGAATAATTCGTATATTTTTCTAAATTATTTATCACAACTGTTAATGCTGCAGTTATTTTTGTGTCATATTTTGGTGTTTCTGTTAAAGAATCCATGCTTTCCCAATTCACCTTGAATCCTCGGAGCATTCCATTCAAGCTTGTATCTGGGGGTGCTTCCCAAGATACTTGGAGTGATTGGGATGAAAGGGCTGTACACCGAATATCTTGGGGTGGACTACTTGGCACTGAAATTATTGTAGAGTTGATGAGGTATTTCAATTAATATTCATTACCATATATAAAAGATCTATTGCTCTCTTAACGTAAAAAAACTGTTTAATATTTTACGTTCATATAAAATTTTTAACTAACAAATAATGTTGTAAATATTTTGTAGCTTATAAAATTTTTTATTAGCTTTACTTAGTTTTATAAACTATTTTAAATAAAAATTTAACTAATTTCAGGATCAAATAACTTTAAAAAAAAAGTAAAAAACAATGTAATAATTTTTTTTTTGTAAACTATTTACAAGGACAAACTTTTCTGGATTATCTAGTGCCTAGTGAAGACTCAATGTTTCATAAAAGTTTTATAAAAATAAATAAATGCTGAAATACGTTCCATTTTTTTCTCTTACCATCTTCTAAAGTTGTTGCTACAACTTCAGCAGTCATTGGTCCCGGGCCGAGTGCATTGTAAGCTTGAACTACTACACTGTACTGTGTGTACTTCTTTAAATTTGTCAGCTGGCATTCACGACCTGGTATAGCAGTTCGGGCCAACCCGAGAGTTGCGCTGGCAGATATTGGACGACCTTCTACCGTTTTGTACGTATATTGTTCTGCTGATAGCCTATTAAATTTTTTAATATATATAATATTGACTTTTTACAATAAAAGAAATAGAAAAATTGAAATTTACGAACAAAAATAAGTTAAATTATTGCTAAAATGTTTTTTTTTTCCTCAGTATTCCATAAAAACGAATTTACTCTATCATGTAGCAATAATAATTTTTTAAGAGCTGTGAACAATTTATTACAAAAAATATAATAAAATAATTCATTAATATACAAGTTCTATTTTAGTAACAAAATTGATTTATGTACTAATCTATATATATATAGAGTAAAGTTTGTTATAAATTAACAATTAAATTCACTGAAGCTTGATAAATTAAATCAATTATTTAGTTTTTGAATGAACACAATATTACCTGAATTAATTAATTATATTTTATTGGATCGATTCAAATGAATAATTTGTCTGATGTAATTGATGTAATTTATTTATTTAATCAAATTTATTCAACATTGCATCAATGTATCTCTACCTTTATATAAAATTAACTAATTATTTCATTTGAAATGAATTTTTCTCAGAAATTGTTGTCTTTATAAAGGAATCCAATCAAAAATCTAGATCAACATAGTCCAAATTAGAGTAGAAATTAGACAAACCTATGCTCTTTAAAGCCAACATGATATCCTAAAATTTCTCCATTCCATAAGTCTTGGTCTGGTGGGTCCCAAGTGACTTTGAAATCTGTTGAGCTAATTGGTTCGACTTTGAGATTACGTGGTGGTCCACCAGGCTTCTCTCCATCAGTTGTTACTTCGAGAATCTGGATAGAATAGTTCAATTAACTTGTTACATTCAATATAGCAAAGTTTTCATTATAGATGCTTTAGAGAAGGCGCGAACAAGAGAGACAGAGTCTTTAGACGTAATATTCTCGGTTATCGTTGCAAGGGGAAGAATCGATAAAGTCAGTTGCCCGCGGCTTGTCGGAAGAGGCTTAAAAACTAATTTACGGGGTCTAGGTTTATATACCTACATCGCTCGCTTGACTACGACCCAATTCGTTCTCAGCAAATACCCGAAACTGATAACTCGTAGCAGGTCGCAATCCATTCACATGACCGTAAGTCTGGGTTCCAGAAACAGTTGTGTGGAACGTATGGTCATGCCAAACTTCTAAAAATAAAAAGAAGTAAATATATTAATAAATCATCATATTAATAAAGTGGTAAATCTACCCAGCTTTTTGATAAAGTTAGAAAAAAAAACTACTTGAAAGTTACCTGCGTCTACTTTATATTCAATAATGTACTGAGTTATTGGACTGTTCCCGTCTTGACTGCTGGTCCATCCTAATTTTATGTAACGACTTCCTTTCTCAAGTACGTGAATATTCCTTGGAAAATCTGGTGGCTCTGAAATAATATCACTGGTATTAAAAAAAATATTTCTATCATAAAATATTTTATTTGTTGAAAACTTCCTTTAACTACTTTTATTTCTGTACTTGATTCAAACTAAGGTATTGAATTCTAGTATTTTAATAAAATTATTGGCCAAGTTTTATTGTTGATAAATGTTTTAATTAAATTTCAATTATATAAACTTGTTATTGAAATGAAAATTATCATGGTACAAGTTATGCATCTCTTTTAATGAGTTTATGTATCCATAAATACAGAGTCTGCTCTTTAAGATTCTGGGTGATTTCTGCATGAGTAAATGTGCTTTCGTATGGTTTAGGATCTAGAGAATTAGGGGTAATTGCTAAAACCTAGAGATAATGTTGTGTGAAATTATCCTAGATAATTATCCCAGATAACACACTGGACAACTTGTTTCAAGGATTCACTGAAATTTATAAAAATTTTGGCTCACTTTCAAATAGATGTATTTCTATCAAGCAAGGTATTGGAGTAACTTTCTAAAGGCTTTTAAAGCTTAAACTTCTCAATTTTTAAGTCATAAAGTTGAAACTTTTCCCTCAATAATTTATGAATGACAACAACTTCAAAATGATACTTTTTTTTTATTAAACCATATTTTATTTATTCTAAGTAAAATGAACTTTTTCAGTAAGTAAAAAAATCTAAATTGATAATTAAGTATTATTTATTTTAGAATATTCTATTTTCAGCATAATAAAGTGAAGTACTCATTAACACTTTTTTGATGAGCTTACAAAGTCAATAAACCCATTAGGTTCTCAGAATTCTTAATAAACCCATTAAAAAAAATTCAGTAGTATTATCTGATTTTAGTCAGACATTTAAAATATATAATTAGTTTTAAGACAACTTGAAGAATAAAAATATTTGAATTCTTGTAGAATGTAATCTGAAATGGTCTAAATGTCGAGTAGAATGGAATAATTAAATGGTATTTACCTTGTATGTACAAATGCATAGTCATCTCATCACCTCCATAAGCGTTAGAAGCAGTGCAGTAATATCTTCCACTATCTTCTCTAGATGTACTAATGAGTTCAAGGATACTAACTGCACCCTCTGTGGTATTCATTTCCTTCACTGTGTACCGATAATCGGAGACCGCTGGTTCTAATTGGAAGCCTGCTCTTCGCCATAGGATGTTTAAGGGGTGATCACCCTTCGCTTCACATCGTAGAGAAGCTCTCGAACCTAGTCGAGCCGTTTGGTTACGATGTTTCTCTATGATACGGGCTGGAGCTGGAGATAATGAATTGCTTGTTAACTATATGAATTAATAGCTTATATCATTAATTTATATTGGAACTCAGAATGCATGCTTTGATTGCTGCATTCAATCCATTACAAATATTGTTGGTACGTATGATGATTAAATTAATTGACCAATAATTTTTTTTTTATCATTTTTTTGTATAATATGATTGAAGAAATTATAGATGAATATTAATGGAAAATATAAAAGTAGAGAAATAGTTTTAATTTATATAGATAAATTTAAAGAGAATGATGATGATAAATTATTAAAGTAACATTGAAGAATGAAAGCTTTTTTATTCAGCTTTGTTTTTGTAATTTTTTTCAAGAAAATATCTTTTATAAAACCTCGGTATGAAAACTAATATTGTAATGTATTAAAGAGACTTCTATGAGTGGAATTTTTTTTTTTTATTTTGACCCAGTAAACTTTTTATTTATTTATGAAATAAACTGTGGATTTAAAAATAATTTATTCTAGAATAAACTAGCTTTAAAATGACCACTAATGTAAATAAAATTGAGAGAAAAATTATATTCTGAGTTTTCCATTTGACTCAATTTTCTATTAATTACAAAAAAAAAATTTTTATTGTAATTTAAAAAATATATTACATGAAAAATTGATTTTATATAACACTAGAAATTAGCGTGAATGTACAATGAAAAATAATTTATTTTTTAAATTTCCCGCATAAATAAAAGAACCAATAAAAAAAAGTCGCTCATTTTTTCGATATATTGCGATTATTAGCTAACTTCACATGTCAATGTAAATTTATAGATTCTGTACGTTACGATGCCAATAAACTATTATTATTATTAAATTTCTATATAGGATTATTTACTGTTCTTATTGCAAAATGGCTAATTAAATGTTTCTCGAAATTTTTGATGGAACAGAGATTAAATTTAAACTCACCATTGACAGTCAAATGAACAACTTTACTGAGACCAGCACCAATGCCATTATCAGCTTCACAAAGATAATATCCTTCATGATCCTCTTGGACTCTTCCAAACACAAGAGAACCATTTGAATGAATTCTGAGCTCTTCAGCATGCTCATGACTTGTAATATCATGATAGCTGCCTGGTCTAGAGCCCATTCCTCTTCTCCATGTGACAGCTGGTGGTGGAAAACCATCCGCTCGACAGTGAAGCATTAACTTAGACATACCCTCAGGTGCGTGAACGTCCTGTGGTTCCATCACCCAACGTGGAGGTACTGTATTCACGTAAATATCATACAAAACCACTAGAGTTAGTCAAATACATTGTGAGAAAATTAAATGCAAATGCACGAGTTGCTCGAAGTATATCTGAGGTTTTGGATAGCTTAGTTGTGTTGCGTTATATATGTTTAATAAACGCACATACAAAACTATGACAAAGGAATTTCTCGTTTGTCTGAGTATTTCAAATATTTCCATTTAGTTGGGATCATCACGTCAGAAGTTCTTCGAAACTCGTATGGAGTGCACTGATACTACATGGCTTGAAGGTGGATTACCAACAATCCTTTGAGGCCAATTCTCATGTTTTATTTTTATTATGGATTCCAAGTTTACTATTTAAAACAGTTGTGGTAAAGTCATTTGAATAAATACAACATTCGTTCACTAAAACAATTAAAACTTTATATGTTCAACATTTTATTATAAAATGGAAAGATAATTTATTTGTGACTTTTATTAACAATGATAAACACCTCAAAGGATTTCTGTAATACCTTTTACTTGGTTTTTCTACTAAAAAAAATTTATAAATAAAATTATCGACTATTTTATTTGCAATATAGACATTGAGATATAAAAAATTGGTGCATTGAAGTGGCAAATAAGGTGAAATAGTGACAAATATACTTTTTTGGACTTACCTAAGGGTGCGGATATCTTAAGGAACATAAGAAAGTGCAAATTAAAGTGAAAGTGAAAAAAAAAAATTTTTTCTTGGTGAATTAAATAAATATGTGTAAGTGCAAGTATATGTGCGTGTAATAATAAGTGCTTAAGTAAAGTGTGCAATTAGTGCGGTATTGCTTTTGCGAGATATAGATGTGCCTTCGTGCTCTGCAAAATATTTCAGTATTTAGTTTACTCATTTTTCACTTTTTAATTATTAAGACTAATTTTTAGTTTAAATTGAAATTATTGATTTTTTTTTTTTTTCAATTAAATATATGGCTTTGTGCGCTGGCTTTGATGGCTGTGCTGTAGCTTCTACTGCTGCTTCATTTTTTTAACAATACAACAAACTAAATGTGAACAATATTTTATTTAACAATAATTATTATGGGGATTTTTGAGAATCTTTGTTTTAAAAAAAATTACGATAAATAATGGAATAAATAAAAGAGAGACATTTTCTAATAATTGAACATAATCATACTAGTTAATTCTTGATGCTATTAAAGCAATACTATAAATTTCAATAAAGAGTAGCTCAAGGCAAGTAGACATGAAAAAATAATTTTCAAGTGTTTTTAAATAAAATATCAACATGAGAGTAACCGTCTATAGTTGGTATAAAAAATCATCAATGATTTAAAACAAAGGTAATTTCATTGTTAATGTTGATGATCTTGGATCCTCAAAAATCTCCATTTCACATAGTGGTGCGAAAAGTATAAAAATGGTGCGATCTGACAAATTTTTTTGGCTCTTGGTAAAATTTACTTTACCACGAACGACTAATTGTGCAGTAGATGAGACTTCAGCAACGGAGTTGCGTGCTATGCACGTATAGTTGCCAGCATGAGCGGCAGTAACACGGTCGATTGAGATGGTACTGGAGTGGACATCCATGCTGGTAATACGTAGGCCAGATATGCTATTGGGTAAGTTGGTTTTATGAGTAACAGTACTGCTTGCAGACCCAAAGCTAGAAGGTGATGAAGTGGCGATTGGTTCACCATCTTTAGACCATATTATCGTGAATGGCGGGTCACCTTTCTCTATTACACAAGCAACCTGAGCACGAACTCCTTCCGATAAATCCTTGTTAAAACTAAAAGGAGCTATGCTAGGTGGAACTGTAATGGAACAAGAAATATCCATCGTCAACTCAATTTTATCTTAATATACTACTAATTTATTTTTTCATCTCCCTTGCTTCATTTTTCTGGTGATTATCACTGTGGCAGGAGAGAACACGCCTTGATATTTTTAATCTTATGATTAGTTTCAGAAAAATATTTAGATATCTCGTAAAAGTTATTTTAAAAATCAGGAAATTAATATTTTTTTTAGAAAGGAACTTTAAAGATTATTTAATTCAATTCTATCTTACTTGATTTAGAATTGATCAGGAAAGAAATTTTAATAAAAATTTTGTAAAAATTCTTAACATTACTAATACCTGTCTCTGATGGAATTCTTTTAATAAAATATATTAATAATCATTTTCATATCAACTGGAATGTAAAAAATGTATCTGCATGAAATAAAATAAATTTTTTATCTCTTTGACATTTTGATAGATGAAATTGAGTACGTGGAATGTTTTTTCACGTGTAGTGATAACGCTTTTGTTAAACATTTCAATCTTGAAAAGACCTTTAGGGGATGAGGAAAAAAATGAATAAAAAACGTAGAGTCGGCACAATCTCAGACACCTTCTGTATTTGGTTTGTGCTGAAGACTAGAGATTACATTTCTTAAAATTGAATTACCACCGTATCCGGCGCATGGCCCACGGCTCAATTCATTGAATTGTAGAAGTTGTAATATAAAAAGGTTCCAATGCTATGACGAACATGTCTGCTGATGGTACAAATTGACATGCCAAGAAGTATTAAAATAATTCATGTATTTCTTGGTTGAAATTTTTCATCATCCTTCTAGGTTTGCTCTTTGGGTCTATCTGATAACGTCAAATACTTCAACCAAATATTGTTATAGAAATGATTTTATTTCTTGACTGGTTTGCTGACGTTGTAGATATAAAATAACTTCTTATTTTCCTTCTGAAGTATATTCAGCTTTACTATTCTTCAAGTTCCACTTTCCATAAAAAGATAAAAATCGTCGAATAGATAATGATCTATCAGCACAATAAAATAACTTAATAAAAATATTAGTTAGTGGATCCAATTGAATTTTATTCAATTTACTTCTTCATCATTAAGATCTTCAAGATTTGTTAGGTTCAATTGGATCCTAGTAAATGAATGCTTCAATTTTATCAATGAATTATTTTTAACCAGTTGATAAGAGTCTTCAAAAGCAACAAGAATATGAATATAAATAAAGTAAAACTCTTGCGAGAATTTTTCTGATATAAAAAATTACGTAATGGATCAAGTTCAACTGTTGACAGTGCAAATGATCGATTAACAACAGGCAGTAGTAGAGCAGAAAAATTCAAGTAACCACGACATGTCTTGATGTCTAAAGAAAGAGAAAGAAGTGTCAGCGTTATTCCTTGTTACTTCGCTTGCTGTATTTGTCCCCTCACGTGCACATGTTCATATAATCTTCTATATGCTCGCACTCAAACTCACAATGCAGTGTTAATGTTCGTGTGTGTTGAGTGTGAATGGAATGTTACGTACTGTCTGGAAATATCCGCAGGCATTTTCTAGGCTTCATGTGTCTGTATTCACAAGTCTGTGTACCAGACAACAACGAGAATAATAATTATTCAACCATCTCGTGAATTTACGAGGAAGCTCTGCATTGTTCTTTGTACCGAGATTATTCCTATTGTCATGAATGGTCTCCGGATGCTTATTGATTGTTTTGAATAAATTATGCTATTTTTCACTCTGTTATTCAATACCAAAACTCATCAATAATCATTTATAATTTCATTACTTAAATATTTCCATTTTATTCAATTGACTGCAGTAATTTCGTGGAAATTTATTTCTATTGATTTTATTGCTTGCAGATATTTCAATAAAAGTAATCAGTTTGTTTAGGGATTTCTAAAAGTGTGTTGAAAAACGTGATAAATGATAAAAGACTCTGGGTAAATATTAGAATAAAAAAGGGAATAAAAGATAAAGTCTCAATTATGACTCGACTTGTCAACGTAACACGTAACATGAAATTGCTTGGGGGTTATTTGTTTCGTGTTTCGTAGACAGTCTGCAAGAGAGAAAAGTTGTACTTGTTTTGTTTGTACAGATTTATTTGTCTAAAAAAGCGTAACAGAAGGTACCTAAAATGTTAATGCAGGATATAGACTAGCTCACGGGCATATATGGAACATATAAAACAGACGGAAAGGATGTGATGAGAAGGAAGAATGAAATACTAAAGGTGTTTTAAATCAAAATTATAACAGGTAATTTTTTATCAACTCTGTAATCAAAGTTGAGTATTTGTTTCTACCTTCTATTTACTCGTTATTTAAAACAAGTAGGATATGGAATTTCATAAAAACAGCTTTCAAAAATTTATTAAACTATATGATCTTTTTAAATAGAACTATTCATGATCAAAGCTCAAGTTAGACTGTTGACTTTAAGCTTCCACAACTAGTATATAACCACAGAAAATTTTGAGGGCAGTTGTAGAAAGTTCAAAATCTCTTCCCCATAATTTATTTGTTTATTTTATGAAAAATTTCCCTGATATTCTATGAAATGAATTTAAAGGTAGCTTTAAAGCTGATTTTCACATATTTTTAAAAAGCATAAAAGTTGCTGGAGTTTTAATTATCATAGGATTACTTTGGTGGAGATGATTGATCTTACTCCACTCTTTCTCATATGAATTAAAATTTGCAGAGATAGATTTATTTATTATTTTTTTTTTCATTAAAACATTTTAACTAATTCAGGAAGGAAATGATTGTTAAATAAGATAGTTCTATTATTATCTTAATTAACTTGGGCATTGGAATTAAATAATCAAGATTGCTAGGATGAAGAATAGAAATAAGAAAAGTCAATAGTCGATAATAGATGGAGTTAACTGATGAACTCGTTAAGATGAGATATGGATTAATGAGTTGATGATGATAATGATTGACTATGAATATATCCCTGTCGTACCATGAACCAATAAAGGTGCTGTATGAGATACTTGAGCAGCATCGTTGCTCGCCACACAAGTGTAGTTCCCATCATGAGCAGGAGATGCACTTAGTATCTTTAAAGCCAAGTCATATTCATCAATTTGATGTGTCGTAGCTTCTCTTGATTTTAACGGTTGACCATCCTTTAACCATGTTATTTTTACTGGACCATCTCCTCGACTGACAACACATGTCACGTGGACTCTGGCTCCATAATGAATATTTGCAGGAAAGCTAAATGGTTCGATTTTGGGTGGGACTGAAAATTTGTTTAAAAATAAACAAAGTTGAAATTACATTAACGAATATTGAAATAAGTTAATAATAATCATAACAGAAATAATTCTTCCTTCTGTCAAGATTTTAGAACAAAAACATGAAAATGTCTTTTTAATTTGACTGAAAATGATTCATTTCAAATGACAGGAGATAAATGAATGATAATAAACGATTGGATGTGGAGATACAAAGACAGTAATAATGTTCGATCACAGGCTTCCGATGAAATGGAAAAGTCGATGTCTCTACGAAGGTTTCATAGATGAATAAGAGAAGCAGATGGGAATTGCGTCCTTATGAATGATGGAACTACTGAGACTTTACACTGAAGCCATATGTCTTGTGGTCTCAGGGGTTGCCAATAGAATAGCTTCTTGTTTCTTGTCTTTTTCTTCTTTACTATTTTCGTCATGTTTATTCTTCTTTTTGCCCAATATCTTCTTCACTCCTTTTCATATTTTCCAAGGGAAATAAAAGAAAAAATATCAACAAAACACACGGGACTTTTCTTGAAATATTGATCGTAGATAAATAATTCAGCTGACTTTGTTTGCACTGCGTTAACTTCCTTGAATAATATCACTTCACTTTAGTTGTTTAGTTGCTTTAATGGAAATTATTCTGAATTATTTAGTCATTTATATGTTAAATATTTCAAACTGTCAAATTGATATTCATTACCTATTAAAACCTATCAATTCTAAATGATGTAGAAAATTAATAAAATATTTTTAAATGTATTTTAATTAATTGAATTGAAAAAAAAAAAAAATACTACATACCTTTAACTTCAATTTGAATTGTTTGAGAGTCATAATGGCCTTGTTTATTTCTCGCAGTGCATGTATAAGAGCCCCGATCTGTATTGCTATCTACATGATGTAGTACTAGTGTTCCATTTGATGAAACTTCTTGTCGCATGCTAGTCGGCAATAATTGACCGTCTGGAAATAAATTGTATAACACTATTATTGAATTATTGATGGAAAATATCCAATGTTATTGACTGGAGTCATTTCTCTCCATAAACTTTTAGAGTCTAGTTTAGTTTCGAATTTTCTCTACCACTAACGCATTTTACTTAACAACTTTTCAAAAATGTTACACGCGACATTTAAGCCATTCTTTAACTTACTTGCCTGTTATATACAGTGTCATTTTCACGAAAAGACCTTCTTGTTCGCGGACTCGAACTTACGTTAAAGTTCAGTTCATCATCACGAAACCATTGGTTTAAGATCTCAAAAGAACTTTCTCAGTATCCTGGTATATTTTCTCCAAGTTCCTTTCACTTAAAAGCTCAACGCAAGCACCAGAATAAAAGCTGATAAGTCGTCTCGCCTTCAGAAATGCTCTTTTTACTTGCCAGGCTAGTTTCGTCATTCAAATTTTAAAACAGTGTGATGATACACTTACTAATTAGTCCTACATGTGTTTGCTAATTTAATTTTTATTCATTAATTTTTTTTTTTTAAAGATAGATTAAGTTTATGAATAAAAACTGTTTATTCATAATTACTTTCAGGTATTAATAAATGATGGTCGCTTCAGACTAATGTTATTAGACAGTTAATTATAAATCCCCTTATTATAGGAGGATCAAGTAAAGTATTTTAAATTGAATTCAATGTTTTTGAAAATAACTCTCGGACAATTTAATCGGATCGATTTAAAGTCTCACAGCATTTATTGCTATTAGATGGTATTATTAGTATTACTGATGTACATTATAAATTAAATTATCCTTAAATTATAGTAGAATAACAAATTGTACCAATGATAGTAAAAGGACCATCAATTTGACACTGATTTTGAAGACTTTATTTTTTTTTTTCTTTGCAATAGTTTGAATTCAATGTATAAATTCATTCATAAACAATTATTTGAACACGATAAAAAATAGTTTAAGTCAAATATTGTAAAAAAAAAAACTTCAAAGGCAGAATGATTTTCATTTGTTACAAAATTCGTTTTTGAATAAATGCTTCATGAAAGCCAAAAAAAAATTTAAATTTACTTTTGTATTATTTGCTTTCTTTTTTTTTTATCTCAATGTTTGCTGCATCACAAAAGTTTAATTTTGTTGTATTTACTATAAATAATAAAATAAAACATCAGGCATAGGAATTGGACATTTGTCAATATCAAAATAAATGAAAAAAAAGTGAATGAGTTCTCGAGTCAGCGAATAAAAGCGGATATATAAAAAAAATAAAAATTCAATTGTTACCCTAGCGATTAAATTGATTTGTGATTGGTAATAAATTACAATCTGACTGTACCTTTTTCCCACGTGATACTAGCAATTGGAAATCCAGCTACGGGACATTTGATGACCGTGGTCTCACCCGCGACCGCAGCATAGTTTCCCATTGGTCGGACGTGTGGCAAACCATAGATGTTAAGTCTTGCAGCATGATGAACTTTGGCGACACGATTGCCGGCAGTACATCGGTACTCTCCACCATCTTCTACTCTAACAGTACTTATATTTACATGTGATATCACATCTCCATGAACTGTCACATATTGTCCAATCATGAACCTGAAATAAGATCATCAATAACTAAAAATATTCTATCAAGTATCTTAAGATTGAAAATAAAAAAATCATTCAAAGATAAAGTAATGATAGTCTATTGAAGTTGAACTAGGTGTTATCAGATTTAATTTTTTTATTAAATTTAATTGTCTTAATTCAATCTATCTTGATAACATACTTTATCAGGATTAGTTCAATCTAATTAGATCTGATTGGATAGAAATTTAGATTTAATTGGATCTAATGATATAATTCATGAAGATTATCTGGATTCAATCTATTCTAAATACTAATTATATTAAAATTTTTTTTGATCATAACTAACCAAGATAATTACACTCATCCCAATTAATTATTTCCAATTTAACTGATGGAAAAGTATTCCAATACATTCAATGTCTTTATCAATATCACAGAAGTTTATCACAAAAATAATTTAACATCAGTGAACTTTACTTGCCACTAAACTGCAATGAATTGATTGGAATACATTTTTTACCTCAGAGTTAGGTGAAAAATATTAGAGATAAAATTTTTAGGTCATCGAAAAAGTTTTCTCTTCAAGCTCTAATATTCTTGGAAGTTTGTGCTTTAGCATTTGATATGCCTGTCAGTCCTCTAAGCACGTACCTGTCATTTTGAGGCAAAGGAAATCCATCTAGAGTCCACGTGAAATGAGGTGTCGGGTTACCAGTTGCAATGCACTTCAGAGAGACAGAAGGTCCTGGTTGTATTGTTTGCTCGATGAATTTATATACAAGTTGTGGCGCAGCGTCTGATTAAATGATAAAATAAGAAAATATAATTAAATAATAAACTTATTTGAAGATATTTTTATAGCCTTAAGCAAAAGTTGTTTTATTATTATTATTTTTGTGGCTTGTCAGAGAAATAACTAACGAGAAGTTTATTTCTTAACGCTCGGGGAATGATTTATAGAACTGTTAAGACAAAGAGTTTACGTGTAATCCGTCACTGTGGATACACGAACGATAATGAGAGTACGAGAAACTCAAGTTGGAGATAATTAATGATGTTACCCCTTTTAATGGATGTTAATGTAATATGTTTAAGTGAGCTACAATTTTCAATGTGTTTAAATTTGTTGTAGACCTTCAAGAAGCGATAGAAAAAAAAAGAAAAAGATATATGTATGCTTTATAACCACTCACTTCCGGAATAAAACCGCAAGTTATCTTCCTGGATTTTACAAAAATAAATGAGATATATTTCACCTTGTCGTTTACTCACATTTTCATAAATCTTCAGCATTCTCTTTACGAGTATCTTTCACTTTAACTTTTTAACTCTACAGTTTCTTCAAGTTTTATCATACATCTTACTTTTTATTGCTATTTTTTGAGACGTATTCTTCACAAAAAATTGAAAGGTCACAATAAACCAACCTCAAGCATCATTTTCTTTACTCACTAATTTAATATAATTTTTTTATTGTCTTGTTAACATTGAAGATTTGTATTGTTAACAAACATATAATAATAATAATACATTATTAAGATCGTATTAAAAAAAAGACATAGGGTCTTTTAAAATGAAATTGATGTTTTCATCAAATATACACACTAGATTTCAAAATAAACAGCTGATGAAAACTGGGTCCACCATGATACTTAGTGAAAAAGGACTTTCTTCATGTTTTTAATAATCTTTAATTCTGATGATGTAAAAAAAAAAATTAATCTCAATCGAAATACCTTAATGGGCAAATAAAAAATGAAAATAGGTTTTTAGACAAAGGTTGTTCATGATACGAAAGTAAATACAAAAGTTATTAGTTTGAAAAAAAGTTAATATATTCATGACTTTAAATTGACGTTAATTTATTTTAGTTTTATCAGCATTAAAAATTTTTTGTCTTTGTCATTACATTGTAAAGTCTCTTGTCTACTTTCTTTACTGTTCCGGTGCTATCGTTAGTAGTAGAACTAAGCAATAACTCAAGCGTCAAATTGGTTCAAGAGCATAGTAATCTGCATTACTAACTGTAAGTAGTATAAGAGCAGATGCGGGTAGACTATTTAGGATCTACGACACGTCTTGTTCTTCTGTAACGTTAGAAAATTTGTATTTTACTCTATGAGATAAGATTTGAAGCTTCGACTTTATATCACTTTAAAATTCATATTAAAAACTTTTAAGTGTTTTTGTTTCTGTTTTATTTTTGTTCTGTAGTTAGCTATTTCATTACACTGAGTATTTTTTGAGTACACTTATCTATAAATTTTTTATTCACTTTTATTTTATTTCAATTATTTAATATTTTTCATTATATAAAGTTCTTGAAATTTACTGAATAAAATTTTTTGACGAAACATGAGAGTGATTGAAAGCTTTTCAACCAATAACAATTACTCCAAAATTGAAGTAAGCATGAGCAGTATATTTCACTTCTGCAAAATGTTAAATTATTGAAGGAAAAATCAAGAATGTTTAAACCAATATTTTTTATTATTTAATAAACTTGAAAATTATTCATCAATTTCAGATTAAGTCCTAATATAAATTAGAACATTATTATAAACATGGCTATATTATAAGCAATCATCTCAATAGCTTTGCTTTTAGATCATAATTAATGCCTTAATCAAGAAACCAAAAGGTTGATAATATTAGTAAGAGCATTAGTGAAAGTAAAATTGCAATGAACAGCTTTACATTTAGGCAAAACTATTGATTTGTGGTTTAACAGTGCAATTGAAGTGTCACCACATGAATTAACTTGAAATTACAGAGATGGCAATAATTTAAAGCGTAGTAATTTCATTGGTGGAAGTGGAAAATGAGAAAGGAGAATGCAGAGTGACAAAAGGATGTAATTAGAGAATACAGAAATGCTGTATAGGTATATAGCCCGTTTATCCTACTCAGTATACATCAAAGTGCATGCTGCAACGATGATGCTTTATTCTTATGTATTACTGAGCCATCTACTTAAAGACCAATTATTACTACGATTTGTATAGAGTTACTCTAGTTCTTTCATCTCTATAGAAGTACTTTAATTAAAACAAAAACCATTTTATTATTTATAGAGTGCTGGAAAAAGAAAATAAATCACTCTTAGATTATAAAAAAATCTTTAACATTAGTATGAAAATATAAATATTAATTAGTCATGTTTAATTAAATTTTATTTATTTTTTAAATTTTTTATTTGTTTAACTGCTGTGTAATTAGAGAAGTAATTTTTCAATAAATTTCTATCTATCATATTGTATTTAAATAATATTCTGTTATAATTATTATTATTATTTAATCACATAACATGACAAAATTAATTTAATTTATAGGTCATATTCAAAGTAAATTAAATACAGGGTAATTATTACTGGTTGTAATTACATTAATAAATACGCAGAATTTATTTATACTCAATGGTATTGAATGAATCATTTATTAAATGACTTTAAAAATAAATTTTATTCAAATTCGTAGGAATAATGCACTTTTTAACTTTTGATTTACTAAATTGTATTATAAAATATAAAAAACTTTTCAATTAATTCATTAAAGCAATTATTTAATAAACTAACGAGACAGTAATTAACTAATGAGAATATCGCTGACAATAAGATTGAAACAAAAATCAAGATTTTAACAAAAAAAAAAGAACTATTGGAATTGAAAAGTAAAAAGAAGAAGAACGATAAAAAGTAAAAGTGTGAAGAGAAAAAGGGAATGATTGTCGTGGGAATTGATTTCCACAGCTGCCAAATTTAGAGAAATGGAATGAAACGAACGAAGAGAGTCACGTCGACGCCATTCGTTTGTGTCTCTCGAGAGTTTTTGCGATCTGGTAGAAAGTTCGACCGTTACAAGCGCCCACGATGACTAAGATAAATGAGCATGTATTTATCCTTTCTGTCTAATGGATTTTACGAGTTTCCAATATGCCAACCTCCAAATATTCATTTTGTATCAACAGTTTTTGTCTTATTTATAAATATTAATTATGGCAAGACTTTTTATCAATATTTTTCATAAATCATTCGTTATCGGTCACTTATTTCCTGGCCAAATGAACCTCTAACTCTACCTAGAAATAGTCCAACATAAATCATTGATTAAGTGTCCAATTAATTACCTTCATGCAGACATGAGCTTGTACATTTTATTGTGGAAAAACAATTCGTTAGACTTTTTGTGGTTTCTTGGAGAATATTAGATATTTTTAGACGGAAAATAATGCATTAGTATTTTTAGAAAACATGAATTTAAACAAAATGATAAATTGTTGAAGGAATCTAGATAAAAGCATTTGACTTATTTCATTCAGACCAAGGTATTCCGAAAACTATTTGAGATTTTTCTGATTCCCTAACTCAGAATGATGAAGAATTTCTTGGTCCTGTCCACTGATAGAAGTAAATGAAAAGTTCTGATTCTTTTATGAAATACTCTACTCCAATGTTGTGAGGTTTGGACCCAGATTTCTATAATCAAGAAGCTATTTTGATAGTGTCTTCAAAAATAATTTAAAAGCTTCAACAAATAATAAATATCACAAGATTATTTTTCTTAATGAAAAATTGATCGATGCACAACATTTAGAGAATTTTTTTAAAAATATCTACCACTACCAAGTTGTGATGGATCAAGATGATTAAATAAATGTTTAAAGATGAAAACTACTCAAATTATTACAACATCTCAGTTGAATCAGGTTTAGTCATGACAATATTTAGATTGTCGAGTGTGATTGAAGTCAAGTAAGTTTCAATTACATCATAATGTTTACTCTGACGTGACTAGGAGATTGGTTGACTAGTGAGTTTAACAAAGCGACCATGCAGAGTAGTACAGAGGAAACGAGATGAGAAGGAAAACCACCGGAGATGGAGTAGACTGGTGTGCATCTCGCACTAAGAAAATCGAAAGCAGACTAGATCGACTGTGCAAACGACCAAGTCGCCCAACGCATCAAGGGTATGCCAAGAAGAGAGAATAAAGGGAGTGAGGAATAAGAAATAGAGGCATCCCTGGGATCCTCTGCATTCAGTCAAATAGAGTTCTTGTGCTAGAGAGCATTTGGTTCTCTGCGTTGGCGGCGACCATCGATCGCTCGATTGGGTCGTTGCCCATCCAATCAACTCAACAGCGATTTCACGAGAATCTTCTAGCAAGACCATCCAACAACCGATCCGGAAGCTCATCCTAATTGTTCCAGTCGGGCTTATACACATCCCAGACGTGCCACTTCTCCATTACTCCTTTCAAGCCAAGATCTCGTGTCATTATTATTTTATCTCGCTTAAACGTTAAACTGTTGGTTGTAGCCAATGAATTTACTCCTTGCTCATTCACGTGTCTCAAATCCTTACTTCATCCTACTCACGTACTAGAAGTGTTATTCGCAATTAAGACCAGATGTAGCATTCGACATTTTCTAACCACCCGTGTATACTCTAGTCACGATTCTCACGAGTAATTCACTCAATTCCAGGCATCATGACGATTCTAACAAAAGAACCGTTCCGTTGACTGCTTTGCTCGATTAATATTATTATACCCATTATCATTAATACTTCCACCTTACTTGAAACTTTTATTATTTTACTACTTTCTAAATTTTCTCACTGTTGATCCTGTATTAACTTGGATCAATTTATTTGTGGTAAACAAAAAATCAGTGTTGATGAAGTTTACTTGATGATGTATTATTACTCAACTGTACCCAATGTAAATTTTTATCTGAAATTGTTGAGAAAAAAGAAGTAGAGCTTTGTGAAATATGAATCTTCAAAGCTTCAAATATTGTCATACTCTTGGTCTTTTTTTTTTTATTTAATAAAACGGTTCATCATTCATGGAACGATTGATGTATTTTTAATTTTGAATAGTGCGTTCTTCTAGAGTATTGTCAGGAATTCTATTTTGTAAATAACTTATTATTTATTGATAGTGTACAGTTTAATACTTGTTTTCCATGTAAAAATTCGACCTACTTTTAATAAATTTAATATAAAAGTTTAACCAGACTGTTTCCCTAAGGCTATAATATAGTTGAACTCTGTGAATTTTTTAGTAAAAGTTGAAACAGCAAACATTCCATCAGACACTTTATGTTTGTTGAAAAAAAGTCCAATGTGCTATAAATTCTATAAGTATATATCGTAAAGTCGATGTGTAATTTACTGTAAAAATATCTGATGTAATGTCTGATAATAGTGAAAAATATTTATTCCATTCATTATTCATATTCATTCAAACTTTTCATGATTGCTTTATTGCTTTAGTTTGATGAGGGAAATTTAAATGCTGTTAAACTTTACCTCCTAACCGAAGTTCTGCAGTAGCTTGGACCATCTCATGATCATTTTTAGCAAAGCACTGATACATTCCTTTATCATCCCTGGTGATGGAGGATATGTGTAACGTTGATCCTCCATTGCCAACAACTTTTATCCTGCCAGCACCTTCTCTCACAGGAAGTCCATCTTTTGCCCAGGAAATTATTGGGGTGGGTTGTCCTGTCACAGCACATTGAAACTTGGCATCTTTCCCTAAATCAATAGTTACCTGAAAACCATGTTCAGATTTTAGCTAGCTGATGTATATTCAGTGTAGAAATTAGTTTGATTAAAATCATTTACTGATGATAGTGTATGTGTCAACTGCTTGAAAATAAATATCAGAGTTTTAAAATGCAATCCAATAAAACAAACTTGTTATTCCTAAAAAAAAAGCCAACCAATTAAAATACAGCTAAGAGCTATTTCTTATTGTTTTTTTTATTTTTTTTTGTTGCAGTACAAATTTTTTTTTATCAATTATTGTAAAGATAATATGGCTGAATTGATTATAAAGTGTTTGAATAAAACCAAATAATACCACTTAAAATTTCAGAGATTAAAAAAATTGAAAAACTGAATGTTTTAATTAAATAAAGAACACTTAGGGGATTTTGTTAAATTGAAAGCATCATTAATTGATTGAAAATTTTAGTTGTAATTAAGATAAAAAAATGAATTATGAAATGAAAAAAATATAAAGTTATAATTTTTTAATAAATAGAAGTTTCATATTTTAATTCCATGATGCTAATTTCTTTCTTTAATGATTGAAAATCAAATATCAGACATAAATCGATGATAGAAGTCTATTTTACAAAGTAGATCAGTTTATGATGTTGTCAGAAATTGATAAAGTTTCATTAAGGATGACGATGATTCTGACAGTTTCTCATTATTTTCGATCGACATTCCATGTCATTTAGAAAAGTTTAGATTATTATATTGATTCAGAAAAACTCTAAGCCTCATTTAATTATCATCTCATTAGAGACTTTTATTTTTAGTGACATTTTTTTATCAATTATCTCATCATACTATTATTTTAAATAATTAATTACGTCATTATTAAAATATCCATTAGAAGAAAAAAATAATTTATGCATTAAATACCATAAAAAAATATATTAAACATCATGATACTTACTTTTCCATTAAGTTAATGACTTAATGACATAACTAACTTTATTCTTCTACTTTATAACAATATACAATATGATTGTTTTGCAAAAGACTTAAAAATATATTATAGGAAGTCATAAAAAGTTTCAGGTAAATTTATTTAACCAACTTTTTTTCTTATAAATCAAGTAAAATATCAACAAAATGAAACAAAAAAATTTCACAGTTTCTAGAAACTTTAATCTTTGCCTCTAATGAATCAGTAATCATTTTAACTATAATTGCCACTATTTAAAAAAATATCTCTTCCCTCGAGGCATATAATAATTAGAAATATTTATTGATAAAAACTGTTGAATGATGCATGAGTGAACAATTTCACTAATTGTTTTGTCAATTGATTAGAAAACTCACTTGTTGTGGAGCAAGGTGTATTGATAGACTATTTATAATTGAGACTTCAAGTTCAACACGTTCAGAACCAGCAGTATTGTTCACATGGCACACGTATCTACCAGCATCTTCAACTCTTGCTGATTGGATAATTAGGACACCTCCTCGAGCGTGAATCCTCTCTGAATTAACGATAGCGTCAGTGCCGCCTATTGACTCACGATACCAGAGATACATTGGGGGTGGATTGCCTTGAGAAATGCAGGACAGGACTATTGTTTCTCCGGCACGAACAGGAGCTGGGCTTACACGTTCATTGATTCGTGGTGGCTCTGGATTGCGATGTTCTGGAAATTATTAGTCATTCGTTAATTCATTCATTCATTTACATTTTAATACATATTCTAATTTTATAAAAAGCCATAAAAAATATGCTTGGAAAATTTCCTGCATTTAAAACAAAAATTGACAATGTAGTTAATGAGGGTAAAATACCTTGGTATATTGCTGTTCTGTTTTTATTGGTATTCTGATTCTTATTGCAATAAAAGGAATGTTTATTTATAGTTAGTGTGTTAGTTAAATAGTATATTTATTTAGTTGTAAATAACTGCATTGAAGTTGAGTCTATTTTTTTTCGAGCAGCAGATTGTAAATCTTTCGTTGAAGTACCAGAATGCAAATTACATTTAAAGGTGGGTTGTAGACGTAAATATTTCCAACTTGGTTGAATATTTTTATTCTTTTTTTTTCATTCTTTGTATTTTACTCTCGTATTTAAGTAGATGGTGGAATTTCATTAGCGTACTAAACAAAATAAAAGGGTAGGTAAAGTGTATATAAAAATTGGTGATTACAGTGTATCACAAGATTTAAATGTTAGTAATTAACTATCGTTAGTGTAGAAATATTTTATTTAAGTGTCATACGTGAAATATTTTGTGGAATTTGTTTTTAATTTATTTTTAAATTGTATTGAATTTCCATTTATTGAAATTTGAACTTTTTGAACGAATGATCAAAGTATTTCTTTTATTTTTATTTTATTTCATTTACTAACCATTTTTTCATGTAAATACCAACGATTTCCATTACCAGGATAAATCAATATTTAACAAATTAGATATTTTTACTTCTAAAGTGCTCCAAATGCTCTTCACTATCTTTAGTCATTCATTTATATTTCAGGTATTGAATATTTAATTACAATTCCATCCGAACACATATTGATTGCGTTGAAAAGTCAAGAGTACATTGAAAATGAGAGATACACAAGAAAAAATTCATTACTGAAAAAATACTCTTATCAATTATAACCATAATTGGCACTTTTTTTCAAATAAATTTTTCTTTTCAAATCAATTGATGCTTGACTTCATCCCTTCAAACTCGAATTGATAATCAACTACAAAATAAAATGTTATATTTTTTTTTTGTTTACAAATATCAAAATAAAGTCATACATTCCCCGAAATGAATGAATAAAAAACATATCTAAAAACTCGAATGATGAATAAATGCATGTAATTATAATTATTCTATTTTTTTCAACTTATTAAATTTCGATTGAATTAAAATAGAATTTTAATTAAATTTTTTATAAGAAATTTTTTTGGTTCATAATTAATTCAATATCGAAATGAGTAGCCTTCAGAAAAATTCCAGACGTATTTTTCTTGTTTAATTAATGAAAAAAGGAATAAATTAGGAAGCTAAGTAACAAGGGGGTTCATGAAGACGACATATAGAACAATAGACCGATCGTTAGTAAGAATAGATTAGTCTTTACTGAGCTATTAATTGAATAATGTTTAGAAATGGTTATAAAAAGTTTTTTTTAAAAAATAATAAACGAAATTATGATGGAATATTACGAGCTAGTTTAACGGCGGTTTTACTTGCTGCTTATTTTCGTCATCCGTCCGCAATAACTGCCTTGCATCCGTGGCGGAACTCTGAGGCTGCAGCACTAAGTTTTTTTTTTTTTTACGTTCACTTTAGTTTTTTCTTTTATGACCGGCTAACTTTTCTAAAGCGCTCAGAAAAGTTATGCACTTTTAAATCGACCAGTTATAAGAGAAGAAAGGCTAGATAAAAAATGATGAGAAAGAAATGAATAAGAGAAAGATTACTTTTTGAAGATTCTGTACTCATTTAGCATATCTACCGTATAATTACAGCATTCGTAATGAATGAGAGTGAAGTAAAACCGGAAAATTAACGCTAAGTAATCCCTTAATCAAAATTTTGTGAATGAAAAAAATTTTATCCAAGTGTAATAATCTAATTATTATCTAGGAAATTAATACACCATTGTTTTTAACAATAATTACAATAAAATGAATTAAATTCATCAAAGATTGGTAATAATTGTTGACAATTAACCCAATATGTCTTTGATAAATAAAATTTGATGACAATGACTGTAATTCCCTAGCAGGAAGATTTAATGGATCCATTCCTGACCCAATACTGTACCAGTCCAAGTCAACCATGGTTCAATGTTGGATCATCAATGAATCAGTCTTGCTTGCGGCTAAAGTTGGAAAAAGATTGGTCCATTCCTGGTCTAACGTTGGACCAAGATTAAGAACTTGATCCAATATTAGACTAGGATCCAACAAATCATTCTTCCAATCAAGCTGTCCAACTTGGTTGAGAAATAGGTATTGATAATTATTAATAATATTTAATGGATGGAAGAGTTTATTGGAAAAAAGAGCATTTTAATTCTTCGATTGAAAGAACTTGTAAAAATTTGACAACCAGATAACGATAGATAAAAATCCATTCTGACCTGCAGTTGAGTGAATACACGTAACCTTTTGCATTGATCACGTATATCTAAATATGATTGACAGCTAGGACAGGGTGGGTTATGTTATCTTGATATAATGCACAGTAGTTGCAATGTACTTGAAATGTGTAGAACGAGATGAAGGCAGCATTATGCTGACCAAGCTCGGTGATGTTCATACAATAGATATTTTGATTTTCCGGAAAATTCAATGCTCTCTCGATGTGTCGACGTGCACACACTGGCTTCTCGCTTCGTTGAATTGTAATTCAAGTGCATTCAGTTTCGTTGGCGAATTTCAATTTGATGAAATAATGCGGCTATTCAATACCAAATCATTTAATTGAATTAATCATAGTCACACGAATTAATATAAATATATAATATAATAATTTATTTTATTAAATCTTTCTTTGAGATTTCATTTTATTATTTATAACATGTACAATGTTCTGGTAACTACAATGGTTAATAGAATCTATTATTTCAGAATATTCATAAATAATACTGGCTTGTGTTGATTTAATTAAAAATTTATACGTAATTTTTTATCAGTCGATTTAACCAAAAGTTATTCTGTTCATTTTTTTTATTTATTATTGCATTGGTTGTTATTTTTGTAAATATGATCAAAATGGTCTGTTGAAATTAAATTTTCAAATTGTTTGCACTGGTTGTAAGAAACGGTTCAACAATAAGTATTCTAGTTTGATGTTGGATTATTTCCAATTGGATGATTCCATATTTCAGTGAATGTTGATGAGCATGTATGAATAATATGATAAATTATTTTATTTCACACAGTTATCATAAGTTGAAACATTGATATCATGAGAAATATAATGAGTGGAAAACAAGCATCAACTTGTGTAGCTTAATTATTTCAACCAAGTTAGTTCTGATACCATAATTGTAGATTGTTAGTAGCTAGAAACTACTTGTATATATAATTAATGATTAATAAATTCATTTATAGAAATTTTTAGATGCAAAACTACCGTTATTAAACAATTATTTAAATTAGTAGTTATCAAAATTGATCATCAAGATCCTGAGATGATAAACATTTTCTGATAGAATAAAAATAGCAAAGAAAATGAGCAGAGAAAAATAATCCTAAATATTGTGATAACTTTATTCACTCTAACAAAAACATGCTAGGAATTTGACTTTATAGAGATCTATTGGAAGTATTGGACAATAAAATAGTGAATGTGAAACAAAAAAAATGACATGGTTGCAAAAACTGAACGACATTGATGAAGCTAAGCAGACTGAAACATCTTTCTCATTCTCTTCAACACTATTTTTGTCGTTTTCTCTCCCTCGATAGCAGTATTAACAGTACCACCAGCATCAGTTCTATGTAACAAGGCAGGCAATTCACTTTTCTTCTCATCCCACATCTCTCTTTTACCCTCCCTTTCTTCTTCCAACCTTAACACTCACCTCACAGCGCATTACCAACGTTGCAGAGCAGAGTTCACGACCTTTTATGATGATACTTTATTTATCCCTCACCCGTAAAAATATCATTAGCAACGAGAATGTATACATCCAAAAGTATTGGATATTAGTTTATGATTTGTTATCTCTCGATTCAGGTACATGTAGGGAAAAGTGACTTATGGGTTATTGGAGATATCCAACGTGCGACCAATATCAGACATTTGCTAAGTAAGTTTGCTAATCAAGCGTATAAACATAGAGAAAATCGATTTTAGTTCAGTAAATTTATTTTGTTGGAATCAAATAATATCAAATTACGTGAACTATTGTTAAATTGATACAAAAATATTTATTTGATCAATGAAGTGTATTATTAAGTTATCCAGATGATTTTTCCCAATTTTATTTTATTTATTTAAAAATATCTTGAATTTTTTTTTTTTTTTTAAGTAAAATACTAATTAGATAATTTTTTTCAATGAACCTGAGTTTAAAGTATTGTGAAAGGAATCCTAATTAATATAATTAGAAGCTCAGTTGAGATGAGCAGATTGACATACTATGAGGCTCGATTTCTAGCTTCCGGCTTTGATCTCCATTGTTGCAAGCTTAACAATTGATGTTTATTATTGTAAAACGATTTCAATATCATTGTATTATAAATAGAAGCCTGGATTTATCTTTAAAAAATTATTGATAGCTTCATTAACATATCCTCATAATTATTAAATTATCTTATTGATTTTTCTATTTATAATAATTATCAAATATTGCAATATTATTTATTTATTATTGCAAAATTATCATGACAATTTAACCTCGATGTCACTATTTAATCCTCTAGTACTTTTAAACCAATTAAAAAATCATTAAACCATTTATTACTTTAAATAAACATTCTCTATTGAACATTATTTATTTATAATTATTAAATAAAATTTTTATTGTAAAAATAATGTGTGTATTAGGTTTCAAATGATAAGATTAGATAAATAGGATTGTTTTCGAGGGAGTTCAAAGATCATAGTGATAAATAATGCCCTCAATCCCAAAATTTGATAATAAGGAGAATAAAAGAAAGCTCGGCAATATGGAGAACCACGTGAGTGTAATAAAAAGTTGGTCTCGAAGGGATAAAAATAAACTTTCCTACGACTATAGCAGACGATAGTTTCAAAAAAACGTTACGGGAAATGTCCCAAAGGATCTGCCGACAACCGTAGGAAACTCGTTTCTCTTGGCAAAGTTCCGGACGATCAGAGCTGCCGGAAACGTACAGACACTCTTGTGTAAGCTTTCTTTCCTTGGTCCCACGCGTTTCAAGAGGGGTCGGAACACGTCTTGAGAGAATTCATCGGCTGAAACATACGAGAATAGGTTGAAAGTACGGGGTAACTTCTTACGATCTTACCGTAGAGACTTGCCACGTCGGCAAAATGCTCCCTTGAAACACCTGGGAAACGAGAAGCAAGCCAACAAATCCGATGAAATCGAATTCGCGATTTTGTGAGTTCAGAGCTTATAAACGGTAGATGTGGTGCTTGGCAAAATATCTTTATAAAGTCGTGAAAAATGTAATGGAAAATTTTCAAATGGGTTCTATCTAATAAATTTGACTAAAGACTCTGGAAAATTGAACATCATCAGAATTTATTTTTTTTGTTCTTTCGATTAATTTCATCTTTCTTCTACTATCAAATCGACTTTGATAAATCATATATAAATTAGGTAATAAAAATCTCCACAAGATTTGCAGAAAAATTCCGCAACTGGTTCTTTTTTTTTTTTATTCGAGTGAAATTTCAAGTCCATTGATTTCCGAAAATCGATAAAAGATATCCGAGGGCTTAGCATGAATAGCTAGGGTTAAAAATTGATATTTCAATCTGTATAAATTCATCTATCGTCTTTTGTTTTTCGCTATTTTTATGGAATTTTACTGCATGTAACAAAAAATAATTTTCCCTATCTAAAATCAATAATGGCAAATTATTTTTATAAACTCAAACATGGATATTTTTTATTCAATTTTCAGAAACTTTGGTGAGATGTTTTTTTAATAACATTCTAACTTGTAAAGAAATTACGTTTAACTAAAATTTAATAGTTAATATAACGATGATATATTTGATCTAAAATACTCTGGAAGGTGATTTTAAATTTACACATGTCAAAAATGGTTGATAATCAAATATTAATAGTTTATAGACTTTCTGTCATTTTATCTTGGAATCATAGCGACTATTGACCTGGAAGAGTCGAGTTATTTAGATTAGGGTCGTCGACTTATCGTAAGTATCGATCTTTACATCTCGTCGTCTCGCCACATGGAACCTGTAAAATATCTTAAAAATAACTCGCACTCGTAATATTTTATCAGATATATTCGCTCTCTTCTTGTCACATTATATTCGTGCAAAAGTAAAGTCGGAAGTAGTCGTAAATTCCGGAAAAATATCGTAAGAATTTAAATTCGCTTGAAATTTCCGGTTACTCTTGAGAAAAATCAACATTTTTATGCAGCAAAGATCACTATAGAATGGCTTTTACATTGTAGACAAGTTTTATGGAAAAATCGTATAGCGAGACGATTTTACAAAAAGTTGCTTTTTTTCAACTTTTCTAAGACTACATAAAATACTATTCCACATTTTTTATTTCCCTGTTTGTATATACTTTGAATGACAAATCAGTGCTTCATACCAATCGTATTGGAGTTATTTTAATCGAGATTAATTCTTTCTAAAGATTTGTTTTTCGGAGTGATAGAAAGACAAATCAATCAATTTAGCCAAAAAACAGCCCTATAGGCTTAATAAAACTGTGTCATTCAAAGCCGAGTATTTTAATTACCAAATTAAATAGATTATTAATTCTTAGAAAAATTTTGTACTTTATTACATATAATAAAGATAATGTTTAATAAAAAATATTAATTCGATTTCAAAGAGCCCTGAATTTTTTTTTAAGCAGCTCGGAGCGATCGAAATACCTTAAAGGATACTGCGTCTTAGAATTTCCACTGAGAAATCTTATCAAATAGAAATTTATGCACGCAATAATTAGAAAAAATGGCCGAGATAAATCTTGTTTTAGTAAATCACTATTTAAATAAATACAAGTAACAATTTTTCATTTTATTTTATTTAGCTTCTTCTCCTTTTCGTTTTTATGGATGCCATAAACTCATTTTCTCCATTACATGTTCAACAGCGGAACAATTTTTTCATTAGCCCGAGAGAACGAGGGAGTAAACAGTAAACGTGTGTTACAGCGTATGCTCGTTACGCAAGTTTAGTTTGTTAGTACAGGAAAAATGTCAGAGGGGTCGTAATGAATAGTATAGCAACCATCCTCTGTGTACACTGTATATATCTAAATGAAAATGTAGAATAGGTACATATTGTTGTATATCTGCTCGACACAAGTTTCATCAGCACACTTTCGATTGCAGGTACCACATATGCAATTAGTTATAACGAATCGTTCTCTCATAAACGCTTGGTACGCGTGCAATGAATTTCTATGTTGCGAAATTATTCAAACAAAATTATATAGGAAAGTTTGAAATCATACAGCTGAAAGAAATAAACTAGGATGATAACAGATTTAATGCAGCTACTGTGTTATTGTTTATTGAAACTTTATAAATTATTAATTAATATTCATTTATATTCCACTATATTGAAAATATACATCAATTTAGATTTCAATTTAGCTGGGAGTTTTTTTTTTTTGGTTTACTTATTGGATTTCAAAATAATAGATTAAATAATAATAAAATCCTAACAAACTCAAATATATTGGGATACTGTATTGATAAAATTCATTAATTTATTGACACACACCTGAATTCAACAGTGTGAATGATTTTTCAAACCTATCTATTTTTATTGTTTAAACAAAATTATTGGAAAAAGAAATATTTCATTTTAAAATGGAATTTATTTTTTAATATGTCAATTTAAAATGTAAAATTACATTCATACCATTATTTTAATAATAAAATAATCAGATTTCTTTCAGATAATTTGGTAAAATTGGATTTAAATTCCTGAAGTTTATTTCTATTCAGAATTACTAACGGTAAGTGCGCAATGACGATTTGCATTCTTTAGGAATTTAACCACCTCATACTTGGGAACTAATTCAATTCCTAAGAACTTTCTGTCCAACCTCAAGCATATCTACATTACTTAATTTAGTTTTGATGTTATGATAATTCACGAAATGATTTAATAAAGGCATTTTGCTAAATCAACTTAAAAATTTCTTTAATTAATTAAAAAAAAATTATTTTTAGCAACTTTTAGTGTAAAATTAATGAGAAATGGGTACACCACATGAGGATTTATGTTAATGTGGGGTTTAAATATCGTTTTAATGAGAATATAATTACGATCTGAGTACCAACGAGCCAATTACGAGAAATAAAAATGACTTACCAGTAACAATAAGTCTGGCATGGTTTGAGCTTTCAACGGTATCTCCAGTTACATGATGGACGGTTCTACATCGATATCCATAATGAGTATCAGCCGCAGTAACAGAGAAGATGAGGAGCTCACCGGTAGGCAACATGTGATACTTTCCGTCTGTAACAAGCAAGAAAAGTAAGTAAATATACAAAAATGTAATCTCATTTCTGTTTTTCCATATCTCTGCTTCTATTTTTATATTTTAATGTTTCATTTTGCTACCATAATGAATTCATTTTTTGTTTTTGTTTTACATAACTTCACTCGTACTGATGAGTTTACATGTATCATATCCCAGCAGAATTTAATTTCTTCATGGTAACAACAATCATAGATGAAATGTATGCTCATACATGATTATCACTTGGGGGTTTCAACGTCATGAAGAGAAAAGAAGAGGTCGAGGTGATATGAAAGAGGAAAAAGAAATACCTGGACTCTATCAATATGCAAATTTCTTTAATGGAAAATCTCTCTGTTGTTACCGGGCTGACATACATGATGGCCAACGAAAAAGAGACGTTACAGGAAGGTAAAAAAAAAAAATATCGAGAGAGGAAGGGAAGGAAACTAAGCCAGACGCTTGGATGGTCCTTCGAGAATGTCGAGAGCAAAAAAAGGGTGACTGAAAACCAGGAAAAAAGCACGTGATATAGAAGGAGAGGGTGCTGATAGAAGTGATGACGTCAGTATTATGGTATAGATATAAAAATCAAGGTTCAAATTTCATTAGCTACAAGCAAGAAAATTCAATAAAATTTAATAAGAAGATTTTCTCATATATTTTCAACTTTAAGATATCAATTGATCACCTTTTTATATTGTAGATAAATGTGACTCCAATATTTCAAATGACTTTTTGTCGAATAATAATAATGATTGTTTTATTATTTAAATTAAAAATTTTGGTAAACTAATATTCATAGTATTCAATAGTTTTGCTGAAAAAAGATATCAATACTCTATTTTAATTATCATCTTTATTCTACACTTTTTATGATAGGTTTGAGTTTGTTATTTTTTGTATTCATATTTCTATCAATGCACAGGTTAATATCGCGAATTTGAGTAATCTGAAAAAAAATTGCTTTCGAACTTTTCATTTCCATAGATATATAGGATTTTTTTCTCTCTTCCAAATCCCTTCTTGGAAAAACTTGTGAATACCTGTCATAAGCAGAATTTCGCACCATTCTGTAATTTCTCTCATCATTCATCATACTTATTAACTTGAAAAGTACATATTTCAAATAAATTCCGAGTAAATAACTGAAAGATATATGAGTATATTTTCTTTCATATCACTCTTGGTTTTCCTAACATTCAAAATTATTTAAATAATTTGATAATTTATGGTATATAGGACATTCTAATATCTAAAAATTAACAAAAAAGATTTTTAAGAATTCATAATACATTATAGAAAACGATAATCTTCTTTTCTGTAGAATTAACGAATGAAGAATGTATGGAAAAATGTCAATACTTTAATCCATTACAATAATTCCTTTCATTCGTTGCAAAAATGATAAAGTATAACGATACATCTGACATAATGTACTACATAGAATTTTACATATCTCAACACTCCAACGGTAATAAAACTCTACTGCGAATTTGTATAGCAATTACAACTTTCTGTCTCCTCCTCTTTACATTTCGTGCACTCACTCCTTTCTTCTCTCTTTAATACTATTCATCATCAACGTAGAAGTTGTTCTATAACTTGTCTTGGTACTTTGTACGCTTGTCGAACCTCCAGTTCAACTCTATCGAGTTTTTCTCTAATCTATTTTATTATTCCAGCTAAGTTAAAGTTTTGTTCCCTTTTTATTTATTTATTACTACGAGAAGATATTTTATTTTTTCCTGTAATTTCTTCTTATTCAATCGACTATTCTATTGAGAAAGTACAGAGCAATAAAGAAGAAGAATAGTAAATAAAAATTTACACAATTTAGATATATCTATACATTTATTGATTTCATATCTTCAATAGAGAAAATGATTCCAATCAAGCTCAAGTTTTTCAAATTCAATATTTCTTGTTTAAGTCTTTTTTACACGTGATAAAATGACATTTTTACAAAGTTAGCTTCTTTCTCAAGTAATAAATGTCATCAGCGAAATATAAAATCAAGAGGAATATTTTTTAGTTGTTGATAAAAATTTTTTAAACATTTTAAAAATATTTGTATCAGCAAAGTAAACATGAATTTTAATATTTCTATGAATTATTTAATAGAAAAAAAGATGCTGAAGAAGAGAAAATATGTTTAGCTTTGACAAAAAAAAAATGGCTTTCTTATTTAGATAAAACTGGTATATTCAAAGAGAATTAAAAGTTCGGAATTTCATTTTATCACGAGTAAAAATATAAAATAGCGTATTGTCTGTTTTCAAGTCGATTTATTGAAATACGAGATTACATTTTTCCTTTTTAGCTATACATTTCATTTCTATCATTTTGATTCCTTCTTCCTTCTTTTTTTATTTCACTATTCCTCTTTGTTGGTTTGCCATTCAACTTGCTCCGACTTTCTTTAACTTTCTACGCTCATGTACGACTCAAATAAACGTCAAGAAATGGTAGCTACATCTGGCTTCTTCAACTTACTCCTTACTATTTTTCTTTTTCACTTCTTACTCTGAACTTTCAATGTCTCCTTACGCTTTTACATAAAATATCTTTTCCTCTTTAACTTTTTAGATTTTTTTTTTTTGTTTTCTTGTTTCTGCTTCATATTTTATCCTATTTCACTAGGCAGGCGGTTGAAAAGCTCATATTCTATCGTTAATAATTCCAATATCCTGAAAAAAATCATCGATGGAAATATAAAATACAAATAAATATTCTTTTGCAAAGAAAGAGACTGAGACTCTAGCTTTAAGATGTCGACGTATATATATATATATATTTTTTAATAAAAAATTTTAATGAAAATCATCCAATCATCAGTAAGTGAGAAATATTCGATTTTATCAAAATTTAAATAAATATTTACCAAGTGATTGTGATTTTTTTTTTTAATTTTTTAAAATTTGCATTTTATAATTTATCGTTATTGTCTAGGTGAAAAAATATAATTATTCATGAAATTTAAATTTGAAACAAAATTTTATGAAATAAAAACTATTATCCTCTACTTATTGTTTCTATAGTTTGTTTTTATTTAGCTACATCCTATGACCTATTTTCTCAAGGAAATAAAGGTCGTTACGGAAGTTGGGAAAAAAGCTTTTTTTTTCATAAATAATTTCACTATTTAAAAGTATAATTATTAATAATTGAGATCATAACAGAAAATGAACAAAACTTATTCGAATTTCTTTTAATTAAAATTTAAATTGAAAAATATTTTCATTATACAATCAATTCACTTCTTTTAAAATTGATGAAATAGTTAACAATCGGATTTTTTAGTATTATTTTTCATTTAAAAAAAACGTAACAATTAAAAAAATAACAAGAAATAATTATACTTCATTCACAAAAGCAACGAACAAAAGTTTATGATTTCTATTGAAAAAAATTCACCAGGGTGTAATGCATATATTACGTTATTCACGTATGTGCTATAATTAAAATTACAAAGTTTCAAATAAATTACACAGTTTTAATGGATTGCACACAAAACACACTAAATGCTCTAGGGATTATTTATAGACGGAGTTTTTGACTCTACAGGGATCCATACAAGTTCAACTAACTATGAATATTAATATAAATGATAGATGAAAGCAAACCAATGGATAAAAACAATTAAATATAATAAATAACTTGAATAATTTAAAAATTAAATAAATTTATATTATTTATATTCATCAAACTTACCGCTTTCAGGTGATGGATAAATATTAAATGCAGAATCCTGTACCCAAGATGTAACAGAAATGTATTCTTTAGTGTGTGTTGGAATGTCACAACGTAATACTCCAGTATTTCCAGCGAGTACATGTGAGTCTTTAACGCCAACTTGATACTTTTGACGGACAACTGAAATAATAAAATTGTGGAAATTGAAGCCGTCAGTTATGAAAATCACTTTTAATTATATTTCATATCAAAGAAAATGTAATAATTAAAAACTTTTATTCATTAAACATAGAAATAAATATGCATTGCGTTATTATTATTTGTATGAATGTCAAAAGTCCACATCAACGTGTTTATAGTTTGAAATAAAAAGAAAAAAACAAGAAATTCGCCAAAAACTGGAGCTAAAAGGTTTAAGTAGACCTTTTTAAAATATTTCAGCAGTGAATAAGATGAAAGGGTAAAGTTAAAACCATAGAGAAGAAAAAAAAGTAGTTGGTGTGGTGAATATACCAAATCTTGATCTTGGCAATAGTCCGCGTGAGTCGGTCATTACCCGTTTTTGAGAGTGAAATGGACTCTTATGAGTTGGCATCTCGAGTGGAAGAGTATACTGAGATCTAAAGATATGGTGGACTTTGAATATCCAACACAGTACTGAGTTAGCTTAAGGAACTCAAGCAAGCACTACGCAGCTTTTGAGAACTACTGCTAATCGCTTGAATTTTCTTGAAATTTGTTGAACTTTGTAAGCTTAGCAAGCTACCAGAGTATATCAATTAGAATCTCTAGTTTAATTAACAAGTAATTAGAATTCACTACATTATATATACATTTACAATTTGATTTACTAATTATTTATTTTGAAAAAAAAATAAATTAAATTCACCTTTGATATGGAATATGTTAAATCATGATTTATCTAGAGCCATTTTATAGCATTTAAATTATTCCTTTAATGTATTTATTTATTTATGTGAAATGCAATGAATGATTTATGTTCTAATAGGTAGATAAATGGTCCTTGGCACGTTATTGCCATAAAAAAAAATAGATATGTGGTGAAAGAAATTGAAAGCAGTACGTCGATCTATGAAAGTGGTTGGCTCGCCAATGTGAATCTCGATCTTGGCAGTATGTTGGTGGTTGTTAGCCACTAAAGGAATGGAATGAGTGAGAGAGGTGAGTAGCGACCAATCTATCTCTTCAGAGGATGGTAAACGCAGTTGGCGTGATTCCCCAAAATTCTCACCCCAAACACATTTATCTAGCTTACTTGCTCTCCAATTCTCTTGCTATACCTACTTATTCACGAATACGATTCTAAAAGCGATGTCCTAATTGAATTCATTGCGTTTTTCAACTGAAATAATGTAAAAATTCCTAAAAATCATTACCACCAATTTCTTTTTATTTTATTCCACTATTTTTAAAATCAGAATAAAAATTTTTCTCTTTTAATTTGTTACTTGCAAAAATTCTTTTCATTTTTTTTTTCTTTATTTCCTTTATATCTTTTTGTTCTTTAATATTTTTTTACCTTTATTTTATTTAATATTGTTCCTAATATGAGCTTAATATTTTTTCTGATTGAGTTGAAGAGCTTTTGATTACTTTTACCTTAGGAATATATATATAATTTTTTTTAAAAAAATGTCTTATGATTTTTCCATTAGGTAATCTCAGTTCAAAGCTGAAATCATATTTTCAGATTTACAACTCGATTATTCGCGAACAAATAGGGACGGGAAATTATTAGAAAAAGGAAATTGAAGTTAAAGTATACACATCCGAATGCAATTTAGAAAATTTCACAGTTATTTTTTTCTATGATAGTACCATGTAATAACATGAAACGAACTTTATCCTTAAACTGTTCTTGGTGCTTTTCGTTTAAATAAATCAAATGGAAAATTTCTTCAACCAACATTTATGAAATATCATAACACATTTTTTAGTTCAATATTAAATTCAAATAGTCAATTTGCAATGATTCTATAGCAAAAAAAAAACTTATCAATGAACATAAACGTCATTGAATCGATATTACACTACGTCAGCTTCACGATTCATCAAAATGATCGTAAAAGGATCCAGACATTTTTCGAAGTGAATCTCTATAATAGCATTCAATGACATTATCTTATAGTATCAATAAATCTTCTTTACGATCATCTTTAAAATTATTTAAATATTTATCACAAATTTAGAAAAAATATAAATTCATTTAAAAAATAAATGTTTAAGAAATAATACTTTACCAGCTTTCACGTTGACTTCTCGTCCAAGGACTCGACCAACAGAATTGGAAGCTTGACATCTGTATACAGCAGAATGAACATCATGTCGATAGCTTTCAGCACCAAACGGAAGAAAATACATGGACCCATTGACCAAAATCTCTCGGATGTTTGGGATAGGATGTACAGGTGAGCCGTCTCCCATCAGCCAATCCACTCTTGGTGCAGGACTGCCGTGAGCTGAACAATGTAGCATTGCTCCTGTATCGTTGGAAAATTCCACGGTCGAGCGCGGCTCTGATACCAAAATTGGTCCTTGGCTGTCCAGCACCAATCCTCGGCCTGCAAAACAAAATTCATCACAACATGTAGATCAATTAATCATCAGAAACAACAATAATCATTTAATATCACCTAATATTAATGTTCTCGACGATATAACATATTTTTCATCTGCTAATATTAATGAAGGAATGATGATATTAGATCTCCTTTGTCAGAACGTAACAGCTATTAATAATAGTCAATAAAATTTTAAAAAGCAGTGAATAATTATTTATCATTAAGTACGAGGTTGTCTTTTACCTTTAATAGACAATTCTAGTGAATCCCAAGGAAATTATTCTTCCGTTAATAAATTATCTTGGTAACATCAGAGTCATGGTGGTCCTTGGGCAAGCAGAAGTAACAGGAGTATATAACCTCCACCCTTGCTAGTAAATATTAATTTCTCGGCGGGAAATATCTCATTACGTGCCAGCCGTGTTGGTTAGTCTATTCTACCGAGAATTTCTTTTCCTTTACCTAACGAATCGAAATGGTTGAAAGAACTTGATGAAAAAGAAACCCCAGAGATTAACCCAACTTACATATTTTATTTAAATCTTGCATTATTTGAAATTGCATGTCAGACATAAAATGAACTTTAAATGAAGATCATAATATTTAACTGATTTATTGTATCGCTCGTTATTGGAAAGATAAATTTATCTGACAGTCACAATTGACACTTTTAAATCTGATATTGTTATTTATGGAGAATCGTACATTTCCTGCAATCCCTCTTTATATCCAGTGCTTTTTGAAATTCAAGATCCGTATAGAAAACCAAAGAATCCTTTCAGTGAATTATCTTCTCTGCAATATTTGAATTTACTATCAACACTTTCACTTTCATCCTCATTCTCTAACTCAACTATTGTTCATCTATTTTTTAAATTAATATTAAATATTCTGACTTGTGTTGACCATCTAAATCGTCAATATAATCCATTTCAAAGTAGTTTTATTTGGATTTATTTATAGAAATGTTTATCTTCCCAAGTATTCCATCTTTAAAGAGCTAATACATGAAATAGCCTTTATTCATGAAAAAAACAATTTTTAAAAGCTCTTGAAGAGTCTTTGCCTTATTGATTTCTTTCCGGATGATAAAGCTCAAACGACGATCATGCACGATGCAATCCGTCACGAGTTACCATGTATCACCACCACCCTACACTCCAACTTCTTGAATGTACTCTCATTGGTTATACCTCACTCTTTGGTATTGAATGAAGTTGAATGTTTTCCGCTTCGATCGACCAAGAGAAAAGGCAGCATCACGAAAAGAGAGTAGGAATCGGTAGTTGGTGCATTATGCATGAACGGGGGCTTGATAACCGCACAGTGTGGTGTAGGAAGGACCAAGGGTTGAGATAGATAAGGGGTAGTCTGCGGAAAAGAGAAGAACACAATCTGGTAAATATCATCAGTGTTTGCATTATTTTCTCTTGTTTTGAAATGCAGTCAGCAAACTTACTAAGAACAGAAATCAACACAAATGCTTTTTATCTCATGTCATTTTCAAATAATTGTCATTCTAAAAAAGAGAACTTTTAGATTTTTTATTTGAAATTAATCGAATAATGAGAAACCATGTTTTTTGTCTAAACATTGCCCGAGAATGTACAGCACAACAAGTCTGTGGTTGGCAACTGTGCTATGTATGATTATATACCGCTTATGTTGCTTTTCTCTCTACCTCTATAGCCTTATGTGCTACACCTGCGTTCAGTTTATGCCCATTCCCTCATTCTCCTCCAGCATAGTTATATTTGTATCTCGTAGTGACCCGTAATAGTCGTTATGCATCGAAATACGCCCTCTCACGATGGCGTCCTGAATTACTGCATATTTACCTCCCAATGTTCTTCTCTGTAATAAAATCTAATTTTTGTTATGCAGTATTTACTTTTTATAACTCTCCTGTTTTTTCAGCATTGCTGAGCTCCAGTTTTCGTAAATTACCATGAGAAAGTGTGTAAATGCTACAAAAGGTTCTCTATATTTATACGCCTAACGCCTCTCAACCCTTTACCTTAATTACAGAGAATCTCACACCATTCTGCTACACCACTCACGCATCGTTATCATTAAACTCGGCGCTTGGTTACACCAGATTACCATTCGTCGACTGTATAATCAGCCACAGTGACGCTACGGTGATATAGAATTTTACACAATGCACAAATGGACTATCACAGCTCGATATTTTTTTTTCCGCTTTAAATGTGGTTCTCTAATTCTCCGTAGACAAGTGTAGAGGGATGGAATTTTTGGAACGTTTATACTTTTTTTTTTATTGCTGAGAAGTTTTATTACCCCACATAATGGTCGTGAAGAGAGGGATGTGACAATACTAGTGTTTCAAATACTCATGTAGCATATTGTCAAGATAGCATTTTTATGAAATAAAAAACAAAAAACTTGACAAATTTCTTTCACTCACTTTTTCTTCCTCTATTTTCATTTTCAAAACCTCCAAATACAATACAAACTATTATTGAATGTCTGAAGCAACGTGGAAATGAAAACTTTTTAACACTGATCATCAATGTATGCATTATTTTCGCTATTGTAGAGTAACAAAATGGTTGAAAAAAAAAAGAACAAAAACAATTGTCATGATGCAGCGTGTCGTTAACACCTTTCTGTATCGAGAAAACGACTCGAGCCCAGCAGTGTACTTGTTGAGATTCTTCGGGAGATAGGTATAATGGTAGGAGAGTGACAGGGCTTGCTATTCTCTTGATACAAAGAGGTACAAGCGTGGATGTAGTCGTTGTTGAGTTCAGGGGATGCAGTAATATTTTTTTTACCTCTCTTACCGATTTTCTCTTTTTCTTCAGCCATGCTGAAAAATTTGCAGAACAACGCTTGCACCTCAGGCTGTTTTATTCATGTTCTGAGCGTACAATTTTATTGGTGTCTGTCTCTATACTCAACTGATAGTACATCGATAAGTGGAGTGATCTTGCGTGGAGGATGAGGTACCAAGCAATATTGCAGGAAATCGAATAGCGAAATGAAGAAAATGAATATGAGCCATTTGTATGGGAAAAGGATCATGGGGGGATGTTGAAAGGGAAGGGGAAAATGAGAGATGTCGAAATGCATTCCATCGTAGGTTAATCTCTCAAGTCAGAGTCTGCTTGAATGACTGACAATTCCAAAGATTCATACCTCTCGTTCTTTACTGGGAGATGGAGAAGTTCACGTCTCTCATCTTCGTTCAAACTTCCAGGCCTCATATTATCGTTTCCAATCGATTCTTCCCATCATTTGTAATATCCCGATACGCGACGTAAATGGATCGTAATACCTGCTAGAGGAATTCGATGTTAAGAGACGAAGTGAAAGTTTCAACGAAATCTTATCAAGTCAGAGGGTGAAGGTATATACTCTCTTCACATATAATACTTGTACATTCTTATATATCAGCTTTTGACAATTTATACCTCATTCGTTCTATGATCGATCATCATACGAATTATATAGAGGCTGGAATTTATTTCTTACAAGCAATTTCAGCTCAATTTTACGCCTGATAAAAATCTTCATAGGAAAATTATTTGAATTTGAATAATGTGATATTAATTTCAATAACATCAATTATTGTGAAAACAGATATTATTTATTATTAGGAAGACATCAGAAAGATCACTTTTGTTTAGCCTACACCTAGTGCAATAGCTAGGATGAAGTTAGAAGTCGTTTAATTTAAAAATAGAAATTAATGAGATAACGTCAATTTAATACATCTTTATAATTTGATTGTTAGAACTGAAGTGTCACTCCAAGGATATTTTTCGTTTACCAGATTGCAACATCCATTTAAAATTTTTAATTAAATAATTTATTTAAATTTATTAATATAAAATTGATATTTATTTCTTTCAATTTCTTTTACATTTGTAATTAAATATTTTTGCGAACAATGCTTCTGACAACATTTTATATTTCTTTGCATATTAAATTTCACCTGAAGTATTTTTAAACACAATAATAATTGATAGAATATCATAAGAAATATTTCTTGAAATAAATTCAGTGATTAATAATAAATTTTTCAATTTATTTCTCAATTTTACATTTTAAATGAAGGGTGTGTAATGCCACATGACGTGACACTTTTAAAGGATAAATAATAAAATAATTTTTCTTTATTCATTTGATGGAATAATGATTGAGTTTGTGATGGGAAATAATATACAATTGGAGTAATTAAATAATTAATGAATTACCAAAACACGGATGTACATAAACTTTCAGAATACAATTTTATCTAGAGTTTTGACTTAATTTTCTTTCTTAAACTGAGATAACTTTCTTAATTCCTCTCTGAGCGGAGAATTAATCTCCTTGTTAGATGTCTGTACGATTCAAGAATTAGAGCTTTCTATCTGAATGTAAGTGTGTATACAGCTGCTAGTAAACGAGTGGAAGTACAGTTTTAATTATTTTTCTGTTCCAGAGATGAAAATATTTTTCATAAAACAAAATAAAAAAAAACAAATATTGAATGCAGATTCGTATATTATAAATTGTGTAAGACAATAATAAAAAAGTCATAAAGCACGATGTCGACCATGAAATTGCAGAAATAATCATAATAATATAACGAAGAATCCAATGTAAAATGATATGCGCCGGTCGTTTATACGAGTTCAAGTCGAGACTTTTCCAATTTTCTTCAGGCGAAGAAATGTGAAGAGAAAGAAAAGACGTGCAATAAAATGCAAAGCCATAGAAAACGTAGTCTTGAGGTCGACTGTGGGTAAAAGGGTAGAGAAAAGAGAAATAGGGTGAGAGACATCGCGGTCGTCGAATTCCACAGGAAATAAGTCGACGGATAACTCGAAATGGCATGTAGAAGCGTGAACAAGTTTCCCCCAAAAACACCCACCAACATTCGGTGATACTCCTCAAGTAAAAGAAGAAAATCGGCAAAGGGATGAGAAATTTAAAATTCGACCAAGACTTTGAAAGAGATAGGAACTGAGAAAAGTCCAGACGAAAAT